CATTTTTTGATATACATGGATTTCAAAAGAAGTTTGGCCCTTGGCCACATATCAAATACATAAAATGAGTGTCAAAAAGTGTGCTTAGGCACACATGCTGACACTTGCATATGAACAAGAATATATTTAAAAGAACTTCAATCAATCGAAATGACCTAGGGATGTTGTGCACCCAAAACCAAGGCATCCGTACCTGAAAACAGCTCGATAACTTTAGGGTAAGTAAACAAGTTACTCGTAGGGAATGAGCATGCATAGACCTAACTTTTTACAAGTTTATCACATTAACATGAAACAATTCAAAAGGTCATGCCACCTAACGTCTATGTCAAAAGTGAAACTAAGGGATCATCTCAAGCTACACTAGCAACTGAAATAAATTATGACATACAAGGATACATGCTCAGTATACAAAACAATGTTGAAACATGATATACGACATATAAACATACATTTACAAGTTTCTAAACCATATTAAAACAAGTTATGCAATGTTTGAGTATACATACACAATTATACAATTAATATGGAAAACTTGTAAATTAAGTATACAAGCACAAGTATATTAAGCTGAATGAATTATGCATAAGACAAGTATACACGGCACAAGTATACTAAATGAAGTTTAAATACACAAGCAAGTATACATGTTTAAGTATACTAAATAAGATTTAAACGCACAAGGCAAGTACTAATTCACAAGCTACAAGTAATCCATGATTAACAACTTGGAATTGAATGCGAAATCAAATCAGATAGTGGAAGGACTAGGATACTTGGTTACTGACCAAAAAAGTTATTCTAGGCAATTACAACTCGCAAGGAACTACATAGTGCACGCGTGTATAAGTTATTCCGGGTAATTTCCGCCCACAAGGTACTACCTAGCGCGCACTTCATATGACTAAGGAAACTCTTGTCGCCGTACTAGAGCCAAACTTTAGCCAACACATGTATATTTTCTTTATAAGCCTTCCAAAATTAAAAAGTTCAAAACTTATGCAAAATCAATAAGTCAGACCAAACTTATATCAAATCAAATAATGCTTAGGAATCACTTTCCATGCACAAGTAAGGTTGAATCCACACAAATCATGTCCTAGAGTTTCAAGTCTACAATAACATTTAAAATGTCGAATCTTCAATGTGCGATTCGTTATACGCTATAACAATATTATTCCAATATCGAAAACGTAATCTCATCCAAACAATCCCTAATTAATATATGTTAAACAATATAGTATGGTCATTACATAAACCAACTCAAAATCTTAATTAGGTCATTGGAACAGCAAAATAGAATTTAATTAAAATACAATTATTAAATCTCTAGATTCTAAAACAACTCCAAATGGCCCCAAATTGATATATACTAGTGAACAAGTTCTAGACATTACAATTATCAAGTTAAAAACTCAATCAAATCAATGGAATCATTAAATAGATTTTAATTAATTCATTTAATTTAAAATCTCTAGATTTCAAGACCTATCCAAATGATCTTAAATTAACATAGGTTAAAGAGCATACCAATGCCTACTTTAATATCACATTACAAATTGATTTCATGCTAGTTCCAACCATGTGAATTAAACTTTCATAAAAGAAAATTATTAAATAAAAGTTACAATATTTAATCAAATACTACCAATTTAAGATATGTTAATAAACATATCAAGGCCTAATTTACTAGCATGCCACAATTTAATTCTAAGTTATATACAACCATGAGAATTAAATTTAAAATTTGAACAAAGTCATGCTAGTTGTATATGCTTATAAAGCACTCAATACAATATTAATATAAACTTAAGATATCCCTTACCTTAATTTGAGATAAAAATCTCAAAAGCCACCAAATGGAAACTGCCCCGAATTCGACGATACTTCGGGGTTTTGTCGGGGACAACAAGGTGCACATTAAACTCCAAGGAGGTCACACCAAATTCCAAACTTGGTTTCAAACCCGAACTCAAAAAATGGCCAAAACCGGATCCTAATAAAGGGGAAATGATCGCCTCGTCAAGGCTTATGATAAATACAAAGGTACTACGGCATTTATTACGAGGGAAGAGGTCGGAAAAAAAAAGAAGAAGGGTGGTAGCCCCTTGGCTGCCATGGTTGCCGGCCAATAGAGAGGAAAGAGAGGAGAAATGTTTGACTTTTCTTTTTAGAACCCCCTATTTATAGAGAAACCTTAAAAGTGTTCCGAATAGGTCTCGTCGGGTCCGAAAAAGTGGAATTTGACCAGGCGCGCTCAAATGGCAAAACATCGTGAATGAAAAAAACCTGAAATGAGAAAAAATGAACAACGGAAAAAATGGAGTCGAAAATTAAGTCCCGAGTAGAGAGATATGCCCCAAACAAGTTTGGCGCTAACTCGGGCCGAAAACCCTAAAACTAGGGAGATTGACCGCAAGACAATTCTAAGAGTACACAACTCGACGAAATGTGAAAATGAATCCCGTACAGGGATTCAAGCCCTAAGGAGACACTTCGCAATTAACTTTCATTAATTGCATAAAGGCCCCTACACAAAAAGATAACTGCACAAGTGACCCAAATGAAAATATTTTCCAAAAGATATTTTCTTAAAACCCCCCAAATCAAAATATCTTAAAAAGATATTTATGAAAAATACCCCAAGAAACGAAAATGTTTCTGAAGAATCTTTTCATCCAAACCCCTACGGGAAAAAGAGACAACTGGCGAGCTTTTCTCTAAAAGTAAAGTTATGCCTTTCAAGGAAACCAACAAGAATGCAAGTATGTGAAGTCAAAAACCAATTCCGAACATGAAGAGTTGGTTATGCGAAAGGAAATTTTAACGAAAAAATTTAATCCGTAAAAATGGAGAAAAAGGAAAGGAAGGAAAATGACCAGATCATTACAGTAGTCATTAAAAATATATTTAAAAACCTAATCACTTACGGTCTTCTGCGATAAGCAATAAGCAACACTCCCCCACTTATAAATTTAGTCTTTACCGCCTTAAGCTGTATATTAAAATATTACAAAAGGCAATTATATTTTTTAAAATTACTTACCTTGCATTCAACACTGAATTAGGAAATCAAATAGCCCTTATAGTTTTTGGTAGCTTAAGAGAAAAAAAAGAAATGCTTTTATTTACTTTATGTGTGTATGTAGATTTAGAGGGAGAAATTAAGAGAAAAAAAAAAAAAAAAAATCAGTTTTAGCTTTAGAGAGAAAAACAAAGATAAGTTGCTTCTTCAATGAAAGTTAATTATATATATATTCTTTCTTCTTATTTTTATTTATAGGAACTGTTTTAACAATAACACTAGTTATTGGGACAATCTGTGTCTAAAAATATTCAGGTCATTAGATTGGGGACTTGCCTATTTAACATCCAATCAATTTATAACCCGTAATAAATGAATTGATAATTACTGACTAACCTGTTTAAAATAGTCATAAATGGATTGATAATTACTGACTAACCCGTTTAAAACACGTCCAAAATCATAAATACATTGATAATGGTTTGCTGACCTATTATTGACTATCCTGTCTAAAACCCACCCAAAACCACCTAATTGCTTATATGTTTAAAGCATAGATTTTAATTCTTTTTATTTTTATTTTTATTTTTATTTTTTATGAATAATGATATTTGAACAGAAGAGTTTGGCAAAATTACTATATCTACCATATTTGATTGATCATTAATGCATGAAATAAAAAATTGAAGGTCCCACTTCTTATATTTGGCATTAATGGACCAATAAGATATAATAAGTCTAACAATTCTACAAAACTATTCTGTTTATATATCATTACTTTATTTTTATTTATTTTAGAATGCTCTTCAGTAAGAACTTTAATTATGGAAGTAATGTTCACCCAAGTAACTTGTTCAACCTGGATTTTTAAAAACTTGAAGAACCCAAAAAAGTCAAATAAATTCTTATGGGATGGCATGGAATAAAGTTTACTGGGTCTTTAGCTCGACCCGGGCTGCAATACCTCCCTACCCGCCCAAGTCCCATACATACCACAAAAAAGTTAGTGATATTGATATCAACTCATGCCATCCAGTGAAGAAGAAATGAAAGAAACTTATATTATTTAATTTTATTTTTCAAGGCTAGAAATGTTAGATGTTAGATTAATAGATGCCAAGAGTCAAAATTTAATACTTCAAAATTAATGGGAGATATTAATCCACTGAACTAGAGGCAATAACCTTATATTATTTCACTACACGAGCACAAAGATAGTTATAGTACTTCAAGAAAAATACCTAGTGTTAGAACCAGAAACTTTTAACTATAAAATGAGAAGACACCACTCATGAGCCAATCTTATATCAATTTCACATCACTATCCTTCCTCTTCCCTCACTGAACATAGAATACACAACATTTCCACCATTTCTGATAACTTTAAACCATGTCCGCCTTTTTTTTATTATCCACAAATAAAAAAAAACTCGACTAATTACCGTTTGAAAGTTGAAACATAAAACCAATATAAATCACATGCTCTGATTTTTATGTCTGTTTTTTTGTGTTGGTACTCAACAAACTAAGACAAGCTACCAAGGTAGTCAATCATCAAGTAACCATGTATAAACACTCGGAACTAAATCAATTGCAAGCAATAAAATCAACAAATCTTGAACAAAAACCCTATGAAACCCACAAAACAAAAGTTTTTCTTGGTTACACTCATGTCTATGCTTTATGGAAGCATTCAATTTATACATGTGCACGTGCAAATATATTACCTCAATACAAATATTTACTACGACATAAAGCATCCACATCATATTCAATTATGCTATCTTCTCTCCTTTCAAATCGAATGTCTCTCAAGACACAAAAAAAAAAAAAGAAAGAAAGAAATTCAATATGAGTGCGTTTCTTCTTTTAAAAACCTTATAATAGCTTATCTGCTAGTGTAATTGAGACCAGGATTGCAAATTGGGTGGAACGAATGAGTTCATAACTTGATGTAAATGATCATCACGCTAACTAGGAAAAAAATGATTATCACGCTACATCATAGATAAAATAACCAATTGTGCACATGATACTGATCTAGTTTGTGAACCAGTATCTCCTTGAGCTTTTTGTAATTCCCTTATTCTATTCTAAAAAACAACACTGAATAAATGAGTATTGGACTATCATAAATAAAATAAATGAATAAAATAATCATACACCATTTATTTTCTGGGGAAAATTAATATAAGAATAATATACAATACATCAGCTAGTGCTACCAGATAGCTCTCCAGAGAGTGCGCTTCCATATGATACTGATCCAGTTTGTGAACCAGTACCACCTCGAGCTTTTTGTAATTGCCGCATTCTGAAAACATCTTTGGGCAACGGTTGGCTCTGGACAGTTGCAGTTTCATCATCTTGCCCTACAAATGATAAGGGCACCTTCTAGTTCTCAGTATTCATACAACGCATAACTAAGCAATGACCTTTTGACATGACTCATGAGCAATTTATTGTCTACCATGTACATATCAGTATTCACGAGGTCAAATTACCATTAGATTTCTAGTTTAAAATTTTTTAAGTCCAAACAAGGGTAATTTACACAGACCTTCCCTAAGGTTTGCCAAGATTATAAGGACCTCCCCTCTGGTTTGGGAATTTACACATACCTCCCCTAAAAATGAAACTAACCTATATGGACCTCCCCTCCTAGTGACGGAGGTCAAATGGACTATGGACCTGTTTGATTTACTAAAATGCCCTCAAGTTATTATAGTAAATGACTGAACTGCCCATATTCTTTCATATATATATATATATATATATATATGCATATGTGGCTCAATTTCTCTCCTCTTAGACTCTCCATCTTCAAAACAGCCGCTGCCACACCTCGACCACCACCCACCGGTAAACCACCACCATCAATTTGTATTATGGGTAGATGTGTATTCTAATTCTCTATACGTTATGTATTTTATATTTGCAAAATGACTCATATCAAATGGAGAGCCGTTGAATCGCCCCTGAACGACCATGGCATATGGAGAGCCGTTGAATCGCCCCTGAACGACCACAACATATGGAGAGCCGTTGAACCGCCCCTGCGTCTGATTGCGATCTCGTTCTCTTCAATTTGAAATCAGCAGCTTGTTGTACCTCTCTTCTAAAGCAGAGGAGGTTTATTGTTCCACTAAACTCTACTCTATTAGGGTTTACTTTGTTTTGCTTGCTCCGAAGAAATTAGGGTTTTTGTTTGTTCAAATCCATCTCTATAGGGTTTTGTTTGTTCAAATCCATCCCAGTTTCTTTCAAATTCAAGCGATGAATTGGAAGAAGAAAATGTCAGATTTCCTACCTCATGATGTGTTCATCGACGTCCTCACTAGACTACCCATCAAAACCCTCGTCCGGTGTGCCTATGTCTGCAAATCGTGGTACTCTTTGTTCACAAACCCTAGTTTTATCACCACACACCTCAATCGATCATCCATTGTGAACAACAACAACTTTATACTAGTTCGAAGCCACTCTGTTGATGATTGGAAAGCAGTGCATAACTAACTACTACGGTCCGAAAATGGAATGTGGTGTGATAATGCAGAGCTTGAGCTTCACTGAAGTGCTATAGAAACCCTTTTTTTGAGGATAATCGGTTGCTGCAATGGCCTCGTGTACCTTTCCAATGATTTGCATGGCTATCGGGAGGAGCTCTATTTATGGAATCCATCAATTCAGAAGACGATGGCCCTTCACCCATTACGGGTCAAGCTTCGATCACACGGTCCTTTTATGCATACCGTTGGATTTGGCTTCGATTCAACAACTGATGACTACAAGGTTATCAGGATTGTGTATTACTGGCCACCCAATGATTTTAAACCTCTGGAGATTGACATTTTCAGTCTGACCACATGCACATGTCAGAACAATAATTTATAGGGATAAGGGTACTATGGGTTTTTAACTTAATTAAGTGGATGACATCAGCAGAATTCGTTGTTGACTGGCGTTGACCGTAACGGAAAGGAGAACCGTATAGGATAGTTTCATTTTTAGGGGAGGTCAGTGTAAATTCCCAAACAAGAGGGGAGGTCCGTGTAATTATGGCAAACCATAGGGGAGGTTTGTGTAAATTAATGCAAACCATAGGGAAGGTCTGTGTAAATTACCTTCCAAACAACTATTTCAAATCTCCTTTTACCACTAGAGATTGGACATTAAGATAACTCTAAAACTCAAACGATAAACACTAACAAGATGCTGGTGTCCAACACTCATACGACGTCTAGCCGTCAACTTTATGTGACACAAATGCTGACTCAGACATGTTTATGTGTACACCATGTCCATAATTAATTAAGGTTGTTCTGGCCTCATAGAATAGGTCTATTGGAGTCAAAATTGTAATTATAGTACTTGCAAGCACAGAAATTGACTTGTAACATGGATAAGAATTAGCCAATACTTTCAGTGGATAGGAGGTTTGAAACATACTCTCCAAATCTTTCCTTTTCCCAGGCAGTCGGCCTCTTGCTTGTTTGAAAGACGAACCACTTGGAATGGGATGAGACTTGCTTGATCCAGAAAGGTCACTTGTACTCGGGGCATGGCCAGCTTGCAATTGCATAGATGGAGCTACTGATTTGCCACTTTGCCCCACTAGTATGTTGCTTTGCAAACATATTGACAATACAAAATCAACATCCGGTGACGGACCTAGCATTTTCACCAATAAACTATAAAAAATTAGACACACCCAATAGCATAATTCACTCTCATAATATTGCACATCAGTGGATATGATCATATTAATGTAACCTATTTATCATTAATGATTAATCATGCAATTTCAGCTACCAGACTTAAATATTGGGCAAGCTGACAATTGAAATTAGCGTATTGGGAACTTGTACAAGATTATTGCATCATTGCCAGATAAGATTCATGAAAATGGAGAAGTGAGATGTTCAAGTGGATTGCAAAACAATCACTCGTTATTACAACAAAAAATACACATCTTTCTGTAATTAGCAAAAGGAAAACCCTTAGCTTTTATTTATTGAAAAAAAAAAAAACCCTTAGCTTTTGTACTTAATTCTAAAAAAATAAAAATGAAAGTATCTTAAAGCCTTATTTGAAACTTCTATTTTATTTTTTATTTGTCCAAGGAAAGGCTACCAAGTACCCAGTGTAGGGTGTCCCTCCCCCTGCCCATGGATCCAACAACCAGATGGTGGAATTCAGTCCCAGCTCTTTGGCACTGCTGTTTAGACTTCACTAGCAATGCCAGTAAAGTCTTCTGTGAAGATTTGCTTAAGTTCAAAGGCATACTTTTTCACCTTAGCAATCAATACAGGTAGCTTTTTATGCAATAAGGCAAACAGACGCAATACCAGAAATTACGAATGCCCTATAAAATAAATAATTGTGGATTGTTGATCTGCCTTACTTAGAGTAGTTAGGTTGTGTACACACTCAAAAATTAATATGGAAAGTATATATACTGATACAGCCTCACAATTTAGAGAGAAAAATAAATGTAACTGAACCAGTAGTGAAGTTTTAGTGATTACCCTCTACAGCAGGCAAATTGGCTATAAATGCTACCAATGCAGGTGGTGTTGCTTTCAAAAATTCATTAGGTGCATTGGATGTCCCACAACCATTTAATGCAGGACTCATGGTGGACATGATACTTGAATTAGCAGGAAGTCCAGGTGCAGTTGTGCCTGAAAAAGAATCAGAAAGTACAGACAAGTCAGGCAGGCTCCAGAAGAAAGAGTTTTTTTTTTTTTTTTTTTTTGTGAAAGGAAAAAGAAAAAGCTATACTTTAATGTTAAATGTATAACCATGAACATGCAATCTAATGATCTAAATCACAATGGAACATTCTGACCCTTGATACTTTTCTTGGTGAAACCCAACCAAAAAAAAAAAAAACAAAGAAGCAAAAGCTTATGGAACCCATCTTTCGAATGCTTATGTTTCAGTTTAGAACACAGAAACCAAGAGATACATCTTTTCACTAGGTTATATTTGACATTGAATTCACACTAAGGCCAATAAATCAGTAATCAGTAGTGTGTGATAAAATCATTTGTTTTGCTTTAACATTTGGATTCCAACACATCTCCGTGCTTGATGTACTGAACTGTGATAACAGGGAAAAAGTTTATCCAGTAGCACCGAAACCATTGCTTCATATTAAAATTAACTTGTTTGGGTTTTTTCTCCTCCTATATGCATGTATGAAATACAGAATCAGGTATATTAAAGGACTTAGAGTCAAATTCATAGACTTGCACTAAAGTTGAACACAATAGCATATGATGCAAATCATTCTTTCCAATAGTGTGTGATTAAAGTTGACTATTCCCTTTGGAAACACACAATAAAAAATCTTGATCTCACTCTTGTAATTTTCTGAAATGTTAATTTTCCAAAATATTCTCCTCATTCCATTAATTTCAAAATATTTGCAGGACTTTCATGGGATTCCAGAGATTTGTACAACTTAACTCCACTTTTGATGTTAGCAAACTACACATCGGTGTCAGAATTCAGAACCTACTGCCCGAATCGACACTAGAAATGCATGAGTCTGTCATAATAAAAATGCTAGGCACATAAACAACAAAGAAGATACATCATACCAGGCTTTTGCCTTGGATCATAAATCAACATCCTTGAAGTATCTGGATAAATAACTTTTACTGAGGGATTTGAATTGGTTTCAAGTGCTGAAAGACCTTTATCTGCAACCCAGAAGAGAATGATTTACCCAGTGAGAACCAAACACCAACTCTAATGAGAGATCAAATTTGAGATTAAACACAATAGTACCTATAAAGCCAGCCCCAATAGTTTGAGCAGGGTTCTCAACTTTCTTATCAATGTTTTTAGAGAGCCACTGAAAAATAAAAAGAAAGATGAAGTACAAGAATCTAGAACAAATAGATGAACATATACTAAAATAATCTCATAAGAACAGCACATGGTAGCAACATACATCTTCTTTTTTTTCCCTAGTTAGCAACATACATCTTTATCTCCACATTTTTAATTATGCATTGAGACCACAAGAAAGATGTATATTACACACACACACACATATTTATATGAACATATATAGAAGCTAAATAAAATTCTCTCACTCATCAGAAACAAAATCCTTAAAACATATGATTGCATGGACTCTTAAGTGCATGTTCAGCCTGAGAGTGTGTCTAGGACCTGTCATTAACAGAATCCAAGCAAATTTACTACCAAGAGACAAAAGCATTTCCTTAAGGTAAAGTGAAGTGCTCTAGTAAATTGGTGCCCCTAAAATGGGTGCTTCACTATTTCGGTGGACTCCAAACTCATAGAATCCAGCAAATCTACTACCAAGAGACAAAAGCATTTCCTTAAGGTAAAGTGAAGTGCTCTAGTAAATTAATGCCTCTAAAATAGGTGCTTCACTATTTCTGAGAACTCCAAACTCATATCTCAATTATACTGTGTCCAGTACTGCCTTCATACACTTTGAAGTATCCAAATTATACACCAATCACTGACAATGAATAGTGCCACATCCCACCTATGGAAGTTCCACACTATGAAAATCTCTCCACCACTTCAAGTTGTTGAGCACTGGAATTTTAAGTGCAGCACTTCAAGCTCACGTACCGAAGTTTCAACTTTGACCGATCCATAACTTCTCAAACCTGTCAATGGTCTCTAAACATGTTTATTTGGAATAATCCTATTCAAGCTGACTCAACGTCCCAACTCCCAGTTTGGACCTACATAGGAAACTTCTATGTTCCATTCATCCTATAAATTGCCACCGATATATGATATATCATTGAGTATCAAACTTGAACTTTGCCAATACGGAGAATTATGCTATATTGGGCTGAATCTGACACTGAGAGACATAACTATGGGACTGAAGAGGGATGAGGAACCCCACTGATCATGGCCAAGGTTTTAAAATGCAGTCGCAGCTGGGGTGGCACGTTAATAGGTGTTGTACATAATGGGTATGGGCCATTGCGGTCGTAAAAATTTTCAACACTAAGCAAGATCAAAACAAACTGAGATGTGACTTTTAATTCCAGAATTCAATAAATCATGTTTTAATGATTTTTAATGAATTTATTGAATATTCATATGAGTAATGGCCTATAAATTAAATTTTAAGGCGTTGTCAGCAGTATCAGTGTAATAGTTTGTATTTTGCACTAAATCTCTTGCGAAAACAGTAACATTTTTTCTGGCCTAGATCCCAGCCTGACTCAGACTCGGCCGAGTTTTGAAATCTATTGTCTTAGCTATAAATGATGAATACTAGACACACTGTGTATCGGCCAAGCATTAATTATCCCACAAGGCAAGTACATTTGCAAGAATAAAACTCAGAATTAGACAGGAGCCCGCACAAGCATGAATCGTCTTTATTGTGCTACTAGTAGAATTGAATATATGAAAACAACTATGTATGGATCACTATCATCATCATCATCCTTCCCTTAATACCACATGGATATTAATTCAATTAAATTATATCATTTGATAGAAACAATTATGAAAAAAAGAAGAAGATGCAAATAGACAATGAGGCTGGAGAGTGGAGAATCCCATCATTAAGTTTCATCAGTGCAATTTTTCGCCCAAACTCGCAATTTTTTAGCATATAAATCATTCAGGAGAAAAAATAACGACTTGGAGAATTAAAGTAAGCAATATATGACTTCCGTAAATTTAGTTATTCAAATGGTAGAACAATGTAACAGTGAAGAATAACTGAGTGACATTGTTATTTTTCACCCAATTTCGCAAAATGGGATATATTAATTTTATTTTTTATTTTTGCCATGGAACAACAAAAACTTCATAAATGCATTATAGCCTCATATTCTTGTATTCTTGAGATTTTGATGAATCAATTTACTTACCTTTACCAACAAAAAACGAAAAAAATCATAAATGCATGCCTAGGTGTTTAATAAAACCTTCGTCAATACTGCATATAAGTAGCACACTTGACTACTTTGTAGCTGACGTAGCGGATCAATGAAAGCAATTAAAATAAATAAGAATAGCAAAGTATTCTTTAAACACTCAAATCCACGAGAAGAGGTTGAGAGAAACTCTCAATTTTTTGATATTGATAAAAGTAATAACTGATCCCTAAACTATTACAATAACATGTATTTATAGGCCTAAGCAAATCTTAAACTATATAGGAAATTAAATCAATAGAAACTTTCCTAAAACAAACACAAAACTATTTAGGAAATTAAAACAATGAAAACTTTCCTAAAACATATACTAAACTATTAAATTAAAACATGAGAACTTTCCTAAAACAGAAAATGCACTGTTCACATGTACTACATCATTAGCATAATACAAGAACCGATAGAAGATGTGAAAGGACTATATGCATAGTTGTCACAACATTTAAACTACCAATAAATCGTTCAAATTGAAAATGAAGTTACCTCTTGTCGGGCCAAATGATCTAAATCCTTGGATGAGCAAGGCCAAAGATCCATGAAACTATAACGTGATACCACATCTTGAAGGGAACTCTCTAACGCTGATGCTCCCTCTTCACCACTTCTAGAAAGAGCCTCTTTCCTTCTTTGCTCAACCTGTTTCAGGATAACTGCAGTTAAAGTTCATACCTGAGAAACTGAAACTTACAGTAATTCTCCGGTCTCCCACTGATACTTATTCAGGTTCTTAATTCATCATATATATTTATACCAACCTCCAAGTTAACAAATGTCTCAAATTCTGTAGTGTGTAAGGCGCACAATAATAAAATTGCCAAAAGCATATATAGGGCTGAAGAAGCTAGCTAGATATCTACTAGTCACTTTATCTGAATAGACTAGTGTACGCCTTGCTGATTCTTTGATGTTAACCATCATCTACTAGAACTTCATATATAATTCAAAGAATATATGACTGAGACAATGCTCTAATTATTGTTCTCCTCGAGTTGCAACTTTATTTCTCAGCAGAATTTCATTTTTTTTCCTAAAAATTGGAAGAATTTTCATTTCTTATAACATCTATTTACTGATATAGCTGAACAAGAAGAGTCAACAGCTGCAGACTAATCAAAATTGGAGCAACTACTTAATGTTGAGAATGTATAAATAAATGGACACCTATATAGAGGGAGACAAAAAAGAAGAAGACATATAACACTAATACTGTTAGCTTATATGCCCAAGCCCAAAAAGAACAAAGCATAAACATGGCAATATACGAACACATACAACCAGTACTCTCGAACGCATACTTCCAAATCAAATATGCTTATAGGTTACAAAATACTCTCTTAAATCATATGGCTTCCAGGCCCCAAAAGAGGGGGGAAGGGAATGTTCTAACTCTCATCTCTCTCTCTCAATATAATGTGTGTGTGTACAGTTCTGTATCAATGAGGTCCTTTAAATTCAGAAAAGCCTATCCCATGTCTTGGATAAATAAAATAAAATAAAAAACAAAAAGTAAAAAAGAAAAAAATCTGGGTGGTAACAGCATGTCTGACAGTATCACGAAGTCATCATTATTGCCTTGTTTGACATGCCTAGAAATATGTTTATGTTTAAGAAATGGCAACCCTAGCAAGAACTACTATATTTGATAGTATCTGTCAGAAGAATGTTAATGTAAAAAACTTAAGGGGATAATTAAGTGAAGTAGCTTAACTTAAAAAGATGACAACCAATGGTTCACATTCTTTTAATCTACAAAGTCAAGTCCGAACGAAAATAAAATTCCAAGGAATGGAACAAGAAACATAAACTAAAAGATGACACAACAAAATATAGCACTTACCTTCAACATGCTCGCAAGATCTCCATATGTTTGCTCAAAATGGGTGAATCTTTTCCAAACCTACAAAAAATAATAAATCACGACAATTCATCAAAATATCAAAGAGCAACAAAAAGAACTGGAAATGAATGCCAAGGATCTCACAACACAATTATGAGATGGAGAAGTAGAAAGATTTTAAAAACTATTATCAAACAATTTTCCTTAGGGTTAAACAGGGTGTTAGTATTAAGCCTCTGATGCAAATCAATAATGGTACTTTAGTTAGGATTGAGGCAGTCAATGGTGCCTTGAAAAGTGTCAAAGTCTATAAAGTAGTAACTATGGTGAGGAAATCTGAATATGTCTTGGAAATAGAAGTTGTTATAAATGTTCTGTGTGTAGTCCAAAAGTCAGTCTAACGAATTGAAGAGTCATTAATGGTCTTATTATAAAAAGGATAGACCTCTATATCTGTTGTAACCAAGTCTTATCAATATCAATTTTAGTTATTTTCCGAGTATAAACTTCTCCCAAGGCTGGTGCCTAGTTGGAGTATTTCTAGTCTTCCTTGCTACTGTAAGAAGACTCGTGTTCATTTCCATTTGCTTCAGCCTCAAGGCTGGTGCCTAGTTGTAAAGAGAACAACCTGACTTCAAAATCAAAGGAACATCTGAGACAGATTACGTTGTGAGCCTTTTCATCACAAAATTACGACTCAAATAGAAATCTACATTTGCTAATCTTTAACTTTTAAACGGTGGAAAATTTTATATAACCATTTGAAGATTTACGATAAAAGGATATTGTAGTACATATGCGCAAGGATTCAAGACATGGGCATGCAAAATTTTAATTCATTTCTGCTTATATCAACTCAGATTACAATCTGAGTTGTTATAATTCAATGAGATTTGATGCCAAATCACAGAAAATTTCAAACCCATTATTGTTTGTCAGAACTAGAGCAGTCCACAAAAAAATTATTAAAAAATAAAATCAAAGAAAGAAATAATTAAAAAAGACTGTCTTGAACAGAAGTTCAATCACTAGATTCTATGATTTTTTTTCCCTGGTCACACAATGCACTTGGGTAGACTTGAACCCTCTACCTTTCACTTTTAAAGGAGAGAAGTACCACTAGGCCGAACAAGGGAAAAAAAAAAAAAAAAAATGCACCACTAGGCCAAAGGCCTTTGTCACTACTCACTAGATCCTATGTAATTTATAATTACAAAATGCATCGAACCAAGTAGAATGTTCATCCTTAATTTACCCATATTTTTAAGGTCATTTTTTCAGTTTTATGTTTGAAATAACCAAAAAAAAAAAAAAAAAAAAAAAAAAACAAAACAAAACAAAAAAAAGAAAAAAAGAAAGTGATATTTAAGGGTACTAGATTGTGTGCTCCTGTAAAATTGATTTTCAGCCAAAAGGAAGGTGATAGGACAAGGACACAGACATGGCAAGGATAAAAATAATAATATAATTTTTTTATTATATATAAAAAAGTATTTTTTTTTTTCTCGATTTCTAATCCGCATTCATAAACATAACCCATTTAAATTAGGACCACTAGATAGCCCATCATCATCCTTGCCCCTTTCCCAAATTAATGGGGTCGGCCACATGGATTCTCTTTCTCCAGTCTATTCTATAATGTTTCAAAGTCATTTTTAATTACTCCATCTCATGTTAGTCAATAGGACCCCATGAAAAAAGAACTGATGCTCTCCACCAAACATTCAAAAGTAGCACCAACCACCACCTCTTCAGCAGTTCAGCTAACACGAATTCTTTTGTTTCAAAAACATCTTCAAACTCAACAAGGTTCAAAGTCAATGCAGGGAAACAAACGTGTAAAGAACTAAAGTTGTGCCCAGAACCATCCTACAAAATATAGCGCAATTATCTCCATAAAGCAAATGAGAAATCATCCCTCCCCCTACCACAAAACCACTAATCAGATTACTATTGAAGCTTTTGGACCAGCCTAATAAATGATTCAATAACAATAATAGAAAGCAAGGATTCCTCCACCAGAAGGGTTTAGTAAGTTCAAATTTGATGGGCAATCCCTTGTAGTTCTGGTGCAAACAGATATTCCTGATATATTTTTACAACTGGTTCAATTGATATTATCACAGAGCTTTTGGCTTATTTAGTTGTTCCGAGAGGCTCAAGATAGGGGTTCATTCAATAACTTTGTCGAGGAAGACTGATCAACTAAAATCAAACGTGTTATGGTTTCTCTTCTGGCTTTTAGAGATACTATCATCTTGAAAACAATTTTGGATCGTCTCACCACCATTGTTAATTTGTAACTCTAGGAGCTCAAGTTAAGATCACATGTCAATTTGAGACCATTTCATCATTCTAGTTATAAGCATGAGAGATAAAATAGAAAAACGAAAGAGAAAGAGAGATGCAATCAACTGCAAATTAGTGCCAGAAATCTTCAGAATTCTGAATATGTTATCGCCTCCTCCAACAAATATAGCCCTAGAAAGAGCAGTTATTCAAATTCATAGGTGAATCCACATTCTCAATACTCTTTGTATGATAATGATATTTCTTTCGTTCACGTTTTGTTTTATATGTTTTTTGGTTGTTTATTTTACCCTTTTTTCTTTTTTCATTTTTTTTTTTTTTGGCGTCGGTTTTCGGCATATCAAAGCAATTATCACACAAATAGGTAACTCTTTCTCTCTGCATACACATGTTTGAAACATCTAACAAATGTTTGAAGGAAATTGAATTCTGCAATTTATTTTTTGCCATTAATGATTTCCTTCTGTCCTATTTGGAGTATCCCACAGGAATATGCATAGTTGGGGTCAGTCTAAAATTGAAATTGAAATTTATTTTTTGCTGCAATTCGTACTTTGATGACAATGTAAGTATTTCTTTGAGACACACTGTACGATGATGTTAGTTTCTAATGCCTAATAAGTTGAAAGAGAAACGCTATTTGAACTGCTATTTGTCAATGGGAAGGATCATGTTAGAACTCAAACACAAAGTATCCAGGTTGCAGTTGATACACACAGAACAATTCAGGGTTTTTATGTGAACATAAAAACAAATAAAAAAACCAGTACCTCTACGGATTCCTTTGGCGGGAGCAAGCTCAATGCACGTTCAAATAAAGCCCGAATATTTCTATCATCATTCAGACGAGACAGAAAATCTGCATATCTGCAAAATTAGGTCAGGACGTGGAAAATGCTGTGGAAAGGCCAGATAGAACAGCATATCATAGATACATAAATAAGGAAACTGTAAGTCGTATATATGAGTGAGGGTGGGTTGGGGGATTGTAGGGGATAAAGTTTTAAGTGTTAGATACTTGCAAGCACAATGGTTGTCTAACATTCAGTATTTCCAAGATTGATGCACCAGACACAACATACCCAAGACAGGCACCTATATTCAGGATAACATGGCATTTAATGGTATATAAGTTCAAAGTAGTGACTGCCAGCACCCAAACATTTCAGTTCCTATAGATTATAGGACTCAAGACTAGAACCAATGGCACACACTATATAAATATTTTAAATCAGGAGAAGCAGGAAACTCACTCAAGAATGTACCCAGGCTCGTGCATGAACCGTTTCAACCCTGCTTCAAAAACATTGTGCGCTATCTGCATGAATCTACGGCAATATCAATAATAAGCTCCATCTATAGATATTCCTTATCAATTGTTAATAAAAGCAATAAGAGAAGAGACGAGAGAAAAACATGTGAGATAGAGCTTAACCATTGGGAGGGTTGTCTCCTCTATTTACAGTTCTAAAGACTAGAACAACAAAATTATCCTTATTACATAAAACCACAGCTAACACTTTTGACATTCCCTTGAGCTAGACACAGATTTTCCATCACGCCCAAGTAGTTTACGTTACTCTATAAAAAAGTGAGTTAACTTGCTTAGTGGGGACAAAGGCTAATGCTCCAGAGTTTTTTACTAATGAGCAACAGAATATGAGCCGCTTTACAGAAAATAACACCTAATTCCTAATTGATGTTCAGATTTAACTTAGGTTGTAAAAATCCTCTTTCTCGTCATTATATCTCGTACTAGGTCCACCTATATATGTTCGCTTCTCTCATACAATGATAGATTAGACATCTAATAGTTATAAAACATGTTCACAGGTGAGTCTCCGCAAAAGCAAGCTAACCCAAATCATCTCAAACATCACCAAGTATGCATCACAATACCCACATCAAAAGAACTAGAAGGCCCGAGTACGAGACCATTTCCTAGACCTCTCTTGAGGTTCCTTAAGATGCGAGTTACAGCTATTGAATTTTATCCTTGGACTCTACATAAACAGCTAACAACCTTAGCAGTAAATGCAACATCCAGACTAGTCAAAGTTACATATATAAGTTTCCCTACCAATGTTCCATAATGGCCACAATCATGAAATAATTGGCCTGTATCTTCTTCAAATTTGACATTAGGATCCATGGGCGTTTCAAATGGTTCCTAAAAGTCCCATTTGACATGCCATGCCTAAATTATAAGAAGCATAGGTCAGTCACACCAGCATCATACATGAGCTTACTGGATGGCTACATCGCATTTGGATGGCATGCTTTGTGTCTAGAGTGTTCCATTGCAATATACCTAAAATATTATGGTAGATAATAATGGCATCTGTTATGACAAACGCAGCGAAGTGAAGAACAAATCACGAAACACGAAAGAAAAATAAACACGCTTCAAACAAAAACAAAAAGACTTAGCGTGGTTCGACAAGTTGTGTCTACGTACACGGTGAAGATCCGGCAAAAGGTTTCACTATGCAAAAAATCTAGAGATTACAAGTTTCAGCCCCCCAAACCTTAGTTCTCACTCTCTTTTCTGTGATTTTCAGCGTCTCTCAATATCCCATTACAAACCCTAAATGCTCTTATATATCAGGCTACAAGAGAGTACTAAATAGGGTCCACAACCAGCAAGCAAAAACGGGTCAAAAAAATTTCCTCGGGGGTCGCAGGGTTGAAAATGGGTCGACCCAGAACAAAATTTGGGCCACAACATCTCAGTATCTAGTAACAAGAGTAGAATTCTCTAGAAGTTTATGGAGTGTCATAGTGCCTTGTGTATCTTAGATAACAAGCATAACAATAATCTTAGGCATGGCATGTCAAATGGGACTAATCAGAAGCGCAAGAAGAAGAAGATTTCAAGAATACATTATGTGAGCATTGAGGTCAGTGGCAAAGCCATGCAAGTTTTGGTGGACACGGACGCCACCACTTACAGGCCTACTACCTCGAAGGGTTGCTTCTCTACTTATATTACTAAAGATTGATATCATAAGATTACCAATCCTAACAATAATCTTATTAAAAGACCGTGTAAAAGTGGATATTTGATATGCATTTATTTACAGTAGCTTAATATGTTGCTGGTTTAAAACAAACATCGTTGACCTTGGTACATCATACATATGGGGAGTAAGGAAGAAGGGGAGGGGGAAATGAGCAAAGACCATCCTATTTCTCTGCAGCTACCTAAATTTGACCACACTAAGACCACTTCAAAGATCTCAGTCAATATAAAGTAACAAAGTACAGAGAAAAGACCTTGCCTTTTTATTTGGAGGAAGTTTGAAATTATCCCTCTACCCAAATGGAGTAAAGTGTAGGACTGCAATATTTCTTTTTCCTTTTTCTAGGCATATAAAGGAAAGATTGTAATAAAGCATAACCAATGACCTTTGGATCCTTGTCAAGACAGAAAGCCATCATGGCATAAGCAACATAAACATGGTAAGTGCAGTTTGGAGATTTGCGTGCATCTACGAAGTACTTGCGAGCTGCCTCAACTCCTTCAGTTCTTCTAAGAAAGCGAATAAACTGCAGTATCAAAGACCATAAACACTTTTTTAGTCACCAGAAGTAGATAGGAGATGAGTTCTTCTAGAAAACTGAAAGTTCATTGAAAAGCTATGAAATAGGATTTTCATCAAATTTCTCTTCTTCAGTCAACAAACATTCCAAAAATATTATGTATCAGGCTATCAGCCAAAAGAGATAACCAATACATGTCAATGATAACCCTATATGTGGTGTGAACCATAAGTATGATGATTAAATAATGAACATAAAATAAGAACAAAATATGTAGAAAGGAGAAAGAACAATACATGTTACACAGTTCATCAAGGGCAAACCCAGTGCACAGGAATCCCGCTATTGCGGGGTTTGAGGAGGGTCAAATGTACGCAGCCTTGCCTCCGCAATGCAAAAAGGCTATCTCTTTGTGTCGAACCCGTGACCTCCACGTCACAATGGAGCAATTTACCGTTGCACCAGGCTCGCCCTCAAGCTACACAGTTCGTCTTAAAATTAATTAAATAGACCGTTGAACGGAGACGTGGCGGCGGCGGTGGAAGGTGGTGGCAAAAGGCAATGGTGGAGGTGGAAGACGGCGGCGGTGGAGGAAGGTGGTGGCGGAAGGAGGTCGTAGCGACGGCGAAGGCGGCGGTGGCAAAAGGAGGTGGTGGTGGTGGAAGGCGGTGGTTGTGGTGGGGGAAGGAGGTGGCAGCAATGGTGGTGGTGGTGGTGGCCAAGAATTTCATTCCTTGGAATGAATTTTCATTCCATCCGTTTAGAAGTGGAATGGATTTTCATTCCCATTCTAAATGTCATACCAAACAAGGGAATGGTTGGAATGGAATGGCCATGCCATTCCATTCCTGCATGCCAAACTAGGCCTTACTGCAAAATAATGCAAATGGACTCTTGACAACGTCCTTCTAGTTTTTTTTTTTTTTTTTTTTTTTTTTTTTCTCTCCTCTCTCTTTTTTTTTTAAAAAAAAAAAAAAGATTTAAAGAGCCTTTTGGAAGTTCTAGTTTTCTTTCTTTTCCTCTCTCTCTCGCTCTCTCTACCTAAAAAGAGCTTTTTGGAAGGTAAAATAAAGGTAGATGAGAAATATTTTCAAGCTAGCTAAAGCTACGACATTGAATCTACATATACATGAGTGGCTTTGATCCTCAAGGTAATATATATATATATATATATATATATATATATGGGGTACCCTTGAGTGTATACTCTATCGTGTTCTTGCACTAGCCCACACACTCGCTTAACATGCAAGACAAACATCTCCACATCCATGAAACCACTGCTAAGATATCCAGAAAAAGACTAACATCTCCAGCTCAAAACAGCAATCTATCTATTGTGGTACGTACATTGAAAATAATGAATTACTAAGAAATTAAAAATCCATACTTGTATATGTGATAGTGCTGTTGCATTGACACCATCCCCTAAAAGGCTTTCATATATTTTCTTAGCAGGCTGCAAAAAAAATTAACCACATTGGAAACACAAATAACTACGGAAACCAAATGAAAGGAAATCAATAATATGTAGCATTAGTTGTATGTGAACCTGAATTGCTCCACGAGATTCCTCCAACTCCGCATAAGCATATTTCAGCATTTCCGAATCTTAAAATTAAAAAGAAAAGAAAAAATAATAATAATAAGTAATTAAAATTGGAAGACGGAAAAAGGAGACGTGGAATATGAGGGAAGAAGTCTACTCTAGGGCTTCCTAGAGGTAAGTGGGACAAAAACTGTCCAATACCAATATCGACTTAAATATATATTAAAAAAGGCTAGCCCAGTGCACGGGGGTCCCAACACTGAAAGGTCTGGGGAGGGCTACATGTACGCAGCCTTTATATATACATACATACATACATATATATATATATATATATATAAAGGATGACTATAAACAAGAATTATTAAGAGCATTATAAAATTGAATATTCAGGTGACTGAAAAGCATAATGGAGTGCAATAAATACCAGGAAGAGCTTTCAAAGCTCGCTGGAATACTTTGATTGCAGCGTCTATTGAACCACTTTTTGCATGCCATGTGGCGTAGTCATACCATATATCAGGATAGTGATAGAAATACATGAGACACTGGAAAAGGGCACAAAAAGTGAGCAATTTATGAGACATAAAAACATCACACTGATAGGGAACTTTACACCCAAAATGGAAAGTGGCCATGTAACTGATAATCGCACCTGCACACTCAAGCTTACTGAAAAGTGGATAGCAGTGATTTTTTAATTTTTTTGATAAGTAAATAGTAGTGAATGTATATGGCCATATTCAAACAAAGAGTAACTAAAATCTATAAATTGATTAAATACTAGAGGAAAGTAATATAAATTACAATGGAATATATATATATATTATAAAAAGGTAGAGAATTGGAAAGATTGTCCATGTCAAATGAAGGAGTATTCAAACCAATCATCCTGGTATCAGTTTGCATTTACAAAGCTGGTACAGCATCCAGCGTTTGCTTGGTGTGCTACAGTTTTAGCAATTATTACCTTGATAATTTTTTTCTTTTTACATAGGTTTTTAATTTATTTATTTGTTCATTTATGATTGATTTCCAATTACGTCCCTATTCACTTTTAACCTTGCAAGCTTCATTGGGAGTGACGTGCAATTATTTCTTGTTCCATTGTTTGCTTTATTCATATATTGGAATATGACTGCCATATGTACGATCCATAAAAGCCTTGAATAGTTGATCTTAGGTGATGCGTAGAGACCTACTTAGTGAAGAGAGGTGGGACGCCTTCCCCTTCCCAATTTGTACTGCAATCCTCGAACTTGGTTCCCACATGATGATAGGAACAGCCTTATCAAGGAACTAAATAGAGTGGTTTCTTGGCATCTTATATACCAAGTGGTGATTCTTACTAAAATGGAAGCCCACTTACAGATGATTTATGGGCTTCGGATTTTTATATAGTGCAGTCACAATGGACCTTCCGGCTTAAACTTTATCACATGTGAGTTTAAGACTCGAGGGATATTGGAGTGTAAGCCCAGCAACCCTGTATGCGGGGCCATACCAATTAAGCTCTTCAATGTGTCACAGGCATTGATCGTCAAGCAGATTTGCAGCCCATGACATCTTGCCACATCTATGTTTCTATCCCTGTTGAGAAGAATTTGATGCATCGAAATGAAATAACATGTTAATCAACGTCTTGTGTCCATACCAATGCAAATTAGCACCTTAAAAAGTCATAGATGAAATCCCAGTATATTCAATTAAGATTCTGCATACATACACAAAAACAACAGTGGTACATAGACGAGGTATACAACTATTCAAAATTGAAAAGCAAAACGAACATTTGACAAATTTATCTTCCAATACCTGTTCATATGTGAATGCAACTCTTTTGTTAGAAGAGGTGCTGTCTATCCTCTGAGGGTTTCCTCTGCAATACAATTAGTTGGATTTTGAGTCAGAAAAAACTCCAGTGAACCACATTATACAAATCAACTAATGACTTGTGGTAAAGGAATATAAATTGCAGACAAAAATGCAAAGGCGTTCAAGAAAGAGAGGAGAAAAATAGCCTCAGATCAAAATATGCATGAGTCGCATGACTTGAAAGGGAATCATACTTGGGATTGATTCGCTAATAAGAACTTTTATTCATCAATTTATGAGTAACGGGAAAAATGAAAGCCATCATTAATTAAGTGCTGAGAGGATAGAACGGGTACAAAACTAACCTTTGGCATTATTTGCACAAAGTGGTTGTTTTCGAACTTGAACCCATGTTCTCACAATTACTAGCCCAACTTCTACCACAACACCAAGCAGTGGCTCCTATATGAGGTTAAAGGAGGAGAGGGAGAAAACAAGAATGATTGAGATGTTTTTTCACGTGTTACAAAAGGACTAGATAGGTCCAAAAAAAAAAAAAAAAATCTACTTGGGATAACCAAGACCTGATTTACAAAAACAAATTTTTTACTCATAGGTCCAAAAAGGGCCCTGGGGGTCCTATCATCCTGAGACTCTTTAAGGCTGACTAGGTTGGGCATCCAGATTGTATCTTGCTCATGGTTTACTTAAATAAAAGATAATCTTGACATTTGAGAAGCAAAGAATGAACCTTCAACATTATAAATACCAATAGCTAACTATAAAAAATTTGGGCAGCAAGGGTTGGAATTGCTTTTTCTTAAAAGCCACATTCTTGTGAAATAAGATTAAGGCAGAAAAAAGAATGAAAGTTTCCATATTTAGTTCCAAACAGAAAAGAGAAAGGGAAAAAAAAAAAAAAAAAAAGTTACTTGAAAAATGTTAGCTACATTCCATTAGGGGTTCAAGTTGGGCAGACCCAACCCGAGTCCGAGCCCAACCCAATCGAACTTCCGGTTTAATATGTTCAATCCGAAAAGAACAAAAAAAAAGTGAAGACAAATCACCAATAAATAAAATTTATTGTGTATCTGACCTTTTATGCTGCTCCTTTTCATCTTATAGTGAATTCTATGAGAAATCCTCCATTGTTCTCAACAGTGAATTTTATGGGAAATGTGTTATTTATTGGGAAACGTGTTTATTTTTTCTTTATTAGAAAAGAAGCAGAAACTTTCCAAAACTAAACCCTAAATTTTCCACCACATTCCAGAAACTCCAAGAAAATTAGATTCCAAAGAGGAGAAAAATAAAGAATATTTCCACGGGTTCAGACAATTGGTGGCGGCGATAGCAAGCGGTGGTGAGAGTAAGGGGCGGTGGTGGCTAGAGCAAGGGTGGTGGCAGTAGAATCGAGAGAGAAGAGGTGGGTTGCGAGTGACTTGGACATTACCTAAAATATAAAAGATGGTCGGTGAGGTTACACATTTGTGAAGACCCAGATGATCATCGGCAACACTGAGGATGGATTCTCAGTGGATGAAGAGAGAGAGATACAAGGTAAGGGTAGGGTTCTTTAGTCTAAGGGTTATATATATACCAGCACAACCGTTTGATTGAAAAAAAGAAAATAAAATTATATAATATGCAAATGGGTTTGGGTTGGGCACGGGCTGAAAAGGATCAGGCCGAGCCCAACCCGGATTGACGAAAAACAAACCCCAGCCCGAAAAATCTTGGGTTGGGTTTGGGTAGAACCCGTCCAACTTGCATCCCTACATTCCATGAGTAGATTCTTCGAAGTCAGTACGAATTCACTTTCAAGCCATCATTAACTTTCAATGCTTAATGGCTTATTATCATTATAATTATAACTTTTTAGTTCCTCGCCTTTCTCCAGATAAGCAACGGTATGAAGGAGAAATAAGAAGAAAATTCGGTGGGTGTTGACTAACAGTGATGGGAGATCTTGATAAGACTAAGTACATCTATAACGTTTTAAGTTTCCAGGTCCAGCATTAATTCTTATTGATTCTGGAGATGAGTCAGGTAGAATATATGGAACAAATTAGAAGGCGAGGGCACAACATCTAGACTGGTATTTTGTGACCAATTGGAACCTTTCCTATGCCAGTGTCTTGCTAAAGCTTATTAAATAAAATGAAAGCTTGAACTCGAGTCTGCAGCACAAAGTCCAAGTTACCCTTTAGAAATACTTGTAATGATCATGTAAAAACCAACTACAATGAGGAAAAGAAAGAAAATAGGAAAAGGACAAACAAGTACCACTACCAATATTGAGTTTGTGGGGGGGGAGACTTCTTTTAATTACCTTATCATAGAACTCTCTATTAATAGTGTAAAGTAGAAAGGTGTAAATTCAAAATATATTTAAAACCTGTTTGAAACTATCTAATTGTATGTGCACCATGTCAAAGTAAAACTGCTTCTTACTCTTCAAAGGCTAATAACCTTTTCCATGCCATCCATTGCACTTCTTCCTGTAGGAGCATAACAATCATATTAATTCTGCCTATGCATGAATTTCATGGAAAAACAGTCAGTAAAATGCCAAAAAAAAAAAAAAAAAGGTGAGTCAATGTGTGTGCATACTTTTAACATCTTAAAGCGAAACCACAAAGAAGACAAGTATATTTCTAAAATCATAAATAATTCCTGGTCTACAGTTCTTCTTTCTAATAAAATACACTTGCACGAGAAGCAAGCAGGAAAAAAAAAATTAAAGAAAAAATCTTTAGGAAGTTACAACGGGATGAATAGGACACTTGGAAGTCACTTTATGACTTGCAAAATAAAGAGTTACACTTTCATACAAGTGTGTAACCTCATAGAATATGAGAAACGGAGTCAAGAAATTGCCTTGCAGGAGCCTGATGGTGGCACAGCAAGCATATTCCAATCAATTTCATCAACATATTTCTTCAGCTCTCTATAGACAGCCCTTGCGCTATTATATTTTGGTTGATAATCAGATAATAATCCTTTTGCCTGCATTAAACAATATCATCAGAATACAAGCCTTCATATATAGATGTTCTTGCAAGAAAAGATAAATATGAACATAGTTTAAATAATTGAAGTCAATGGTGAGTTGACACATGATTTATAATGTAAAGAAAGCCAAAAAATTATCATGCATGTGTCATTCAAAATGCTAAATGCAAGTCTGATTATAATAGCCAGCACAAGGGAGATGGAAACACATAAAGGAACTCAACAAGTAAAGCAATGATCTTTTCCGAAACCTTAAAACATAAGCGACACCATGGATACCAGATTTGCCATCTTTTGAATTGTTAAAATAGAGCATGAGAAGACACATCATTCACAAACAAGCTTACGTAAAAATAATGTAAGTAGACCAAAGCACAAGTATAAAACTTCTAGAAATCATTCTACATTCTTGAGTTTACGAGAAAACATCAAAATAGTTTCATTAATGTCTTCTTTTGTGATGAGAAACTTATATTTTTCTTATGTTTACTACCCCAATGGTGATTTGACAATAAACTGTCAAAAGATATTGTTAGTATTTTGTAATGACCACCATAAACCTTAATCTTTAAAATAAAAAAAATAAAAAATTGCATACCCCCCCCCCCCCCCCCCCCCCCCAAAAAATAAATAAATAAATAAAAACTTATAATAACCAACAAACCCCCCTGCACCAAGAGATCTCTCTTTCTCACACACATACACAAAAGCAGAAGAGAGAGAAAGAGAGAGAAAATATATATATATATATATCTGCCTCTTCAAGACCTTCAAGCAGAGTTAAGAAGTCCACTTAGTTCGTGTAACCATCAACAACTCCTAAAGTTCAAACTACTAGAAAGGGTTTAACTTTATTTATTTATATCCTCTAATATGGACCTTCACATGTGGCCAGACTCTTCATTACAAATGAAGCAATGCATGCATCAACTATTATTATCAAGATGGTAGTCAAAAAATCCAAATCCTCTCATTTACCTTCACACGCAAATATTTCTCTCGATAAAAATCACGCACCAGTTCAAAGAGTCCTGCTATTTTTACTTATCAAAAAAAAAAAAAAAAAAGAGTCCTGCTATTTTCACTGACAAAAAAAGCAACCAAATAGACTCTTTTGGTAACATTTAGATGCACTTAAATGGGACCCACGTGAATTCTATTTAACTGCATCCAAAGGTTACCAAAAGAATCGGTACACTAATTGATTGTTTGTTTCACGGGTTAGATACACTAACCTGCCCTAAGGTTTGGTATAATTACACTTGGATGAAACTTTTCAAATTTTTTGCAATGACCTGGCTTCAAATATTACTCAGCATAAAAATACCAAAATATCTCTGATAATGAAAAGACCAAATTACCCACTTTTATAACATCAACACATGGGGCTTTCTGTTCACAACCTACCAGCCACCGTCGCTTCCCCCCACCCCCGCCCACTGTTGCCACCACAACCACCACTAGGGACGGAGGGAGTTAAGGCCTAGAGGGGGCACGTGCCCCCCCTGAATTTTCTCCCTCTCCTATATTTTATATATACTTTTATTATAATATATATGTTTTTCATAAAAATATAGAAAGTGCCTCCCCTGAATTTTCTCTTTCCCTTATATAATATTCTATATATGTTTTTTTTTCCCTCTTAAATAGTTTCCTTAATCCTTATTTTCTATATCTATAATTAGTTTAATCCCAAAAATATCACTCTATATATATATATATATATATATATACACACACTCATAAACATTAAGTTATATGCATTGACATTATACTATATATATATTATGGTGTACAACATTACAAAATGTGCCCCTCCTGAACAAATTTTCTGGCTCCGTCCCTGACCACCACCCCTTTCCCCTCTCCATCTCATCCTTTCTCCACCCACCATTGCCACCCCCCTCACCATCTCTCTCCACCCACAGTTGTTGCCACCACCACCATCTCTCTCCTCTCTCTTCTTCCTTAGTTCTCTCTCTCCTCTCCTACTCATCTTCTCAACCCACCGCCGCCGCCACCGACAACGAAACAACCACCGTCGTTAATCCCAACACGTGGAGCCCTAGCCAGAGCAGCACCCGTCAAGTCCTCAGGCCGATTGCCGCCACTCCTCTTCCTTCACCATCGCTTGACCTCAACCTCGCACATATGGGGGAAGCTGCCATTTCGCCGGATTCATCCCGGCGGCAGCACGCGATTCGGCATTCTAATACGATTTTGAGGCAATTTTGTCATTTTAAGGCTTGAAACAACATTTCAAACTCAATTGAGTGGATTATAGCTTGATTAATCTAATTAGTATAAAAATGTTCCTTTCTCTCTTACCGTTTCAGTTTTTCTTGTATTATTATTTTTTTTTTTGGAGGAAAACAGGAAGTTGAGGCCATCTGATATGCCGATGATGACGTCATGGACTATCTCGATCTGATAAGCCTTTTCTATCTCTTTACTTTGATTATGTTAGAGAAAGAAGAAGTGGGTAAGTGATTTTCTCGTCTGGGTCTTCTTTCAATAAAGATGTTTGCAATTGTTCACATGCTTTTCTAAACTAGGTCTTTCCCCCTCGCTCTAGAAACACCATCCAAGCAATTGCACCTCCAACCAAAACTTGATTCAGAAGAGTAACTGATCTGATAATAATCAAAAGACTATTTGAGGCTTCAAAAAAAAATAATAATAATGAACAGTAGTTGATATAATGATGCACACGTGGGATGAAATGCTTCAGAGAATAATGTAATTTGGACCATAGACACACTGTATACATGTAACTCAATATATCTTCATATGCCCCCAATTTTAGACCCTTTTTTGTTTCAGATTTTCTTGTATTTTTTGGATATTTTTCATTGTCAGTGTTCTTCCCATTTCAGTTTTTCTTGTATTCTTTTTGCAGAGTTAAAAACTCAACATCACTAAGTTTCCATTGCATTTACACATCCTTTAGGTGCTCTACAGCGATATATTAACTTATCAAGTGAAAAATAATTGCATCAAAAATTCAGAACAAAAGAAACTACCAGGGCACGGCTGACAGAATTTTCAAAATTTTCGTAGTCCTTCCAAAGCTGTTCAACATGATGTGTAGGAGTAACTATAGCCTTTTGGTATGCTTTTCTTACAGCAGTCATCCGTTGCGACTCTTCTTGTGTGTTTTGAGCCTACACCATAATCTTACAATAATGCTACAAGAAAAAAGTGAAAAGAACTAGAAACTAATGTACTTATAAATTATATTTTACATATGCAAAAAAGTGTTCTACAAACCGGCAATGACTTTAAAAAGGTGATGTACTCCATCCACACAGGCCCCGATGCAATGTCTGCTCCTGTAAGCAGATAATGGCAGAATAAGCATGATAGGTGTGTCTGATAATCTGATTCAAAACTATACCTCATTTATTCACTTCAAAAATTATTCTTTATTATCTACACATAATTGTACAAGCAAATAAAAACTTTCCACCCATATCCACTGCACACTAGCTTTTGCCTGCCTGAAAACTTTTTGGATGACTGCACAATACTAAGTTAAAAACCTATATCAATGCAACTGCAACTTGCTACTGCTGCTCCTATCCATTTAATAACTGATTCTTCAATATCTCTATACATTATTGTACAAGCAAATAGAAACCAACCAGCCACCCACAGTCCCACTGCACAAAAGCATTTACCTTCGTGGTTATTTTTTGTTATATTCACCACACCACCATTTTAAGGATCTGTGACGTTGTGTCCCGACTTTGGTTCTGGAAAAATTTTGACCCGTTTTTTGCTTGCGGTTGTGGACCGTGTTTAGTACTCTCTTGTAGCCCAAGAGACACTGAAAACCATAGAAAAGAGAGCAAGAGCTAAGGTTTGGGGGCTGAAACTTGTAATCTCCTCTTTTTCGCATGGTGAAAAGCTTTCACCGGATCTTCACCGTGGACGTAGACAAAACTTGTGCCGAACCACGCTAAATCTTTGTGTGTGGCGTGTTTATCTTTCAGTCGTGTTTCGTGATTTGTTCTTGGTTCACAGCATTTATTGTAACAAGATCTGTTTTTATAAAACTGCAACTGCTAACTTCCACCATACTCACCTCACAAAGCAATTACCTACCTGGTTATCTTTTGTTATATTAACCATTGATGAGCACTGAATGTTGCACATTCGAGCCCTTAAAGTTGCATATCTTAGTTCTTTAGTAATGTATGTAGTAGTACTTGTATCATTTACTTGGTTTCCATTATTTTCAGGTATTCATTGTCAAATCTGGTCAATTCTGCCCGATTCAAGCCTTGAACGGTGTTTCCAAGGATCGGGAGGAGCAATGACATGTCCGGGGACGATTCTGGGCTTAAAATAATGAAAAAGTGAAATGCACGAAGCTAGGATCGATCCTAGCTCCTCTAGGATCGATCCTAAACAATTTTCATAGATGTGTCGGCGCTTAGGATCGATCGATCCTGGGTACATCAGACTTAAATCCTAATAGTTGCGGGATTTACATGTTTTACTCCTTTCTTACCATATACAGGCCGGACTTCATCAAAAGCTTATGGTTCACATTCAGGGCCTGTTCTAAAGCTTATTTAGGGTATGGTTACCACAATTGAAAGGAGTTTTTGGAGTTTTAGGTAGAGACAAGCTCTACAGAGAGAGACATTGGCAGCTAAGGGCTTCTCTCTATTGTTACTTATCGCAAAAAAAAAAAAAAAGGCCTCTCTATTGCTGAAGGTTGAAGAAGGTGGTTCTGATCAGATATAGTAGTCCATGGAGATGGCGTTCATCACATCATTGAAGATTTCTTCCTTCTCCATGAGTAGCTAAATTCCGTCTTAGGGCATTGATGTAGCCCTAGCAAAGAAAACATGTGCTAATTGTTCTTATTTTTGGGGATCTTTTCTGGATAATGTATATTGATGCATGGTTAAGAGCAATTGACTTAGTAGAACTAAGCAATTGGGATTTAATGATTATAATCAGTTTTAATGAATCTCTATCTTGTTTTAGAATTGATTTTGCTTTAATCGAATTCAAACTTCTCTTATTTTATGTGATTATAGGAGTAGGGATCATGCAATGGTGCTTAACGAATATGTGAATGAATAGTTTGATAATTCATGCCCAGGGAAGACGGGTTGTACTGCAAAGTAGATTATAGTAGTTAGGTAGACAGGCCGTGCCAACCGAAGATGAGTTATGCTTAGTGTTTGCTCATAAATATCTTTCTACTTGAATTGGAAGTGAGCGTGATGCCACTCAATTCCCAAATATACATAAATATGAGTTTCCTCATAAATTAATACAATTGACCGAGTTATGAGGCTAGTGGTGAAGTCAATCCCTAAGTTTCCCTTCTCTGGATACCTATTCTCTCGTAACTTAGTTTAATTTCAGTTTTTACATTCATTGCATAGAAATCAAACCAAATTCTTCTCTTGAATCAAATCTAGAAGTAATTTTACACTTAACAATTCCACCACAGTCCTTGAGATTCGGCACCCTCTATATAGCCCTATCCTATAAGGATTCGTTCTATTGCGAGTGGTTTATTATTGGTAGAAATATCATACGCATCAACCATACCAAACCATTTTGAGGATTTGTTTCAATCCAACTGCAACCGCTACTGTACTAAGAAGAAGAAGAAGAAATACGAAATAAGATGCATTTAGACAAAGGGGTTGGAAGAAACACTTCCCAGATTTGTTTGTTAAGAATATTGAGGAGAATTTTCCAACATGGGAGTGACTGATCATCACACACAGAGTTCAACATTGATTCAGTGTGTCATAACAAGAAAAGGTGCAAAACCAAAATTTCACTTGTAGATGCCATGCATCTTGCAACATCAAGTCTTGGGTTACTTCCAAGTTTTTCTAATGTTAATAAGGCTATATACTGCTGCATGGTTTTGTAGATGAATTCCAATATTTTAGGAGTCAAGTGTGTATTGGTTATTTTAATATTTACTGGACATGGGTTGTAGTGGTGGTCCATGGATCGTATGTTAAAACATGTTATGGGTCTTTATATATGATCATTAGTAGGTCTAGGAGAGTCCTAATACTCAAAAGTTTCATCATAAAGAAGTAGGAATCTAAGTAAAGTGCAGCTCTATGATTTCTATTCAATCGAGTAGAGATTTGAAATTTTGAATGCATATTGCAACCTAAAACGGGGCTGAAGATCAAGGTATTCAAGGTGAGATTCATAAACTCCTTTTCCACTTCTACTCTTCTCCTTCTCTTTAATATTCTGCTCTTTATATGCTTTTAAAAGTCAATAGCAGCCCTTATCAACCCCAATATCTACCCCAAAAGTGCTACTTTAGTAAGTCCAATCCATCCCCCGATACAATTCAACCCCAGGATCCCAAACCCACAAAAGGATGCCATGTCTACAGTCACACAACCCTAGAGCAGCCCCTGTTTCACCCTCTCTCCCTACCAAACTAAAATCAACCATAACCCCTTTACCTTCCAGCCTGTAATTTATTACCTAAAATACCTGAAGTTCTTGTTGTCTAGAAATTCAAGCAACTGGTTATCTAAAAATTCTGTGACATTAATTCCAAACCAAGACAATTCCAAACCCATAGCATCTATAAACCCAACTCATTCTCCCACCATTTAAACCCTAAACCCACAACCATAACTCACGACAAACCTAACCGTAGGCAGTAATAATTTATGATTTCTAGGGATATGCTCATCAATTATTAAATACTGAAACCAAGAAGTAACCAAGAGTCTATTTGTTTTTCAACTAAATATAACAGAATCAGTGGACTTGCAGTCTTATTAGCCAGCCTACTCATTTACATTAAACCCAAGAAAGATTAACTCTGCAACAATCATTTTCCACCATAAATTTCCATGATTCCATCTGTAGCCACATTATCAGTAAATCAAAGGTCATCATGTATTTTCTCACTTTGCAACCCAAATTCATGGATTTCTCTCACCCTCACAGTGCCTTCAACTAGAATCAGATGACATCTTTGCGGGCTTTCAATGATTTTCTTCATTGCACTAGTAAAGCATCCTAAACAACAGCCTCACCTACCTCTAAAAATCCTCTCCTACGCAGAAATCATCCTTTGAGATTAATCAAAAAATAAAAACATATACATCTTCCAAACTTTCCGCAAAGTTTGTCTTTGTCCTACACCCCTACTTTTCATATAACTGTATGATTCAAGAGTTTCTATAATCATAAAGTTTGCTCCCTCCCTAGTTTCATGAACTGAAAATAGTGATGCAGTGCAAATGGAATAGGACTTTCTTCAAGCAGTTGAAGATCCTAAGAAGACTAGACTGAGATCACATTAATAGAGGCAGCATTGTTTATTGGGTTTAAGTCATTTAGTTAAGTCGTAAATCTATCTAAATTTTCTGTTTAATGTTTTACCTTCTTCAGATTTATTTCTTTTCTTTCAGAGCTGAATAGTAGCCGTTAGATTATATTTATAAGAAGGGTTAGGATTAAATTTTTGCTAGGGCATCCCTTGGGGCGTATAAAAGGGTTGTTCCAAGTTGTAATCAGCAGCCTCTTACTTTCCAAAGGGAGGTTAGGGGTTCCAAGTCTCAGAAGAGATGTGTGCGTGAGTACCAACTAGGAAAAAAAATAATAATAAAAATAAAGGTTTTTACTTTTATGATATGATTTGGGGTGAATTCTTGGAACGCACTACAATTGTTAGGCCGTTGGTGGAAGAAAAATTAAAGTTAATAAAACTTCTACTGCAAGATACATGTTCAACCAAGTTTTGCGAATCTACCCAATTTCAAAGAAAATCCAGTAAAATTCATGCTGATTATGCAAATGTGTTCTTTGTGAGTATAAGAAGATTATTGTATTTGATTCGAGTTCGGAAAAGAAGAAAGAAGGGATGGAACGCCATGCTCATATTTTTTATTGATCGTGGAAATTTGTTTCCAACTCCAGGACGAGTTTTCTCTCACCTGGAGGAACTGATGCAGTGCAAATGGAATAGGACTTTCTTCAAACAGTTTAAGATCCTAAGAAGACTAGACTGAGATCGCATTAATAGAGGCAACATTGTTTATTGGGTTTAAGTCATTTAGTTAAGTCGTAAATCTATCTAAATTTTCTGTTTAATGTTTTCCCTTCTTCAGATTTATTTCTTTTCTTTCAGAGCTGATTAGTAGCAGTTAGATTATATTTATAAGAAGAGTTAGGATTAAATCTTTGCTAGGGAATCCCTTGGGGCTTATAAAAAGAAGGATTAGGATTAAATATTTGCTAGGGAATCCCTTGGGGCTTATAAAAGATTTGTTCCAAGTTGTAATCAGCAGCCTTTTACGCATTACCAATATATCTAGTCTGCTGTAGCAGCTTTTTATCTCTCCCTTTCTTTGGGATTGACCTGTGGGTGTTTAAGCTATTCGTTAGCTTAATCTTGCTCTCTGTTTTCCCTTCTTCGGATTTATTTCTTTTCTTTCAGAGCTGATTGCATTAAATAGTCAACAATCAACAATTAACATGGTAAATCTTACCAAACACTTATAGTAAATCATCCATAACCGATTATGATAGATAAAGGCTCAATGTTGAACCTCGATGTACACCTTTCTTGGATGGAAATTCATTTTTACAACATTAGGAAAAATTGTGGTATGCTTGGAAATGCACTTGTACATGTATGCCTATTATGATCGTAAATATGTATAACATAGCCTTATTATCCTTGACTACTTAAATTCTTAATATAATGTTTCTCTAAAACCCATATTTTAGGAAATTAAAGACTAAGACACCCTTATTACTCCGCAACAATTCATAGCAGAACATTTTATGGAACAGCAGCAAACCACTGTTGCATACCCTAGTTTTTTTAATCAAAATGAACCTGCTGATGCACTACATAATTCTTGACCACTATATTGTGATAACCATTGGGTCGAAATCATGAGTTTCAATGACATCTTACCACTGCACTGGTTCGAAATCATGAGTTTCAATGACATCTTACCACTGCACTGGCAAGTCATGGTCAAGATCCACTAAGAGTTCAAGGCAAGTAATAAGCCAGAGAGCCCATTTATTAACTTTTACTATGAAAAAGAAAGGGTAAATTTTGCAATTTTCATTTGAAAAGGATAATAATAAAAAGTTATAAACATACTAGAGATTTGACAATAATTCAAGGAAGTATAAGAAGAAAAACACACCAACATAGCTGAGCATGAAATCAAAAGCTTTCCTAGTCTCTTCATGACCCTCTATCCCCTTCATCTCATTGACTTTCCTGATGAAACGGATATAGCATCGCCTACAACGCCGATGGTTGCATTACCCAGAAAAAAATTTAAATCAGCAAAAGTGAGTAACATGAAAAAGGGAATTGTGATGTACAAGTGGCAGAGGGTAGACAAATTAAAGTATGACATGTTACAAACTGCAATCAGAGATGAACGAACCACATTAGATTCTAATAGAAACTGTAATTTCTAAAAATTTAAAAATTTCCATATTATATCAGAAGATAGTGCACAAAATTATTTTCTTATTTTGTTAAGTAGAGCACATTTTTTCCAATCCATCCGATAAAATAAAATAAAAATCAATTTTTTTTTTAAATAAATAAGCTTAAAAATGTAGATTGGTAACACCATGTTGCAAATTTAGCATAATTAGAATCATTAAAGTCATGTATTTTTCCGGACCTAGATCACCTTCATCAAGAATTTGGTTTTTTAGATGGAAATGATAATTTCATTTAAGAATTGGGAGGAAATTTATATTACAGGACAAGGGTTATAAAAATGGGCTTTAGATTGAAAAATTAAAGGAGTGTGTGGCAAATTGTGATTAAAATAGAATTTTTGACTTGCAAAAATATAAAAAAAAATAATGAAGAGAATTATTTTCGAAGAAATACTCCAAGAATCGCCTAAGCATCACAATTGTGTTTTGTGTAATTGAGAAGAAAGGAAAGGAAAAAATAAAAAAAAATACAAACTGTTCTCCTTCACTTTTTGTGGTTTTGCTATCACAGGATAGTGTGAAGTGTGGACCCCAACAATAACTGTTTTCCTATAAGAAATATGTTCTCTCAGATAATTTGTTACGTTCTGTACAGAGACATGCATCACAGGAAAGTTATAGTCCTATTTTTCAACAAATTATCCTGCAAAAAAAAAAAAAAAAAACACTCTTTACTTTTATTTTCCTTTCTTCTACTTAAGTTTACTTTTCTTGATAACCACATTTTTGTAGATGATGTTTACAAACAAACAGAGCCCCAAGATCAGATGCATAAGACAATTCCAAGGAGCTTCAAATGGTACCAAAAAATTCTGTAAACTGATCTACATGAATTGGAAGGGTTTGTGATAATACATAGATTGCTCAATCTCTCTTGAAATTAAGATTGTGATTCAATGATTGGAACTTGGAACTTTTTTTACCCCCCCTGAGTAACTCGAAATCTTTGACAAGTACCAAAATAAACCACTTAACGCTGCACATAATAGCCAAATAATATACATACAACCCAACAACTAATAAAAAAAAATCCATTGGCCTCTACTGTCAGAGCAGACAAAATTTGCACAGTGTGAGGTAAGTCCTGACAGATAGACAAGCCCGTGATGGACAGGCCAGCAAAAATGCTAGGTCGCCGAGAGATGCATTATAAAACCCTGAGCGTCGAGGAGGCAAAGTAGACAATATTTGAACAGCTTGAGGCGAGTCGTAACAGCTAGGGATAAATTCATGAGATGGTTAAAGTAGCACCAATTAGAGATAAAATTTGATTAAGATGGGCTGGACTAGTGCAAAGATGACCAATAAATACACCAGTTAGGAAGAATAGCTTGGTCCACACAGGGAGTAATGCTATGGAAAGGAGAGAACGAAAATCGACACGAGTATAGTAAGAAAAAAGATATAATAGCATACAGTTTGACTAAGGTTACGACATTAAATAGAGCGGAATGAAAAATTAAGATTTATGTAGCAATTGAGCAAATTCAGAATCGCATTGAATTTTGTATGACCTAATACATCCAGACCTATATACATTTCAAGTACACATTACACACACACACACACTTATGAAAATGTTTTCTTAAATGAAATCCTAGATTAATTGTGTAACTTAGGATGGCAACAAATAATCGGCTTTCCATCAACAACCCCACTGATAAGTGCAGAAGAATGCAACCATTGCACGTGGCCATATAATATGAGCTCCCAGAGTATACCAATGTCATTAACGTCAACAATATGATCTCGTGGTATAAATTAACATAATGTAACTTTACTAATAAACAATTAAAGAGTGTAGCCAATTCTTAAGACCATAAGATGTAAGCATCACAATACGACAAAGCTAAAAATTACAAGAACCTAACACGACAGTATATTACCAATAAAATATACCATTTCAAAGAGTGTCACAGAAAATTTGTGCCACCTTTGATAGCAAGCAAGTGATAATATTAGCCAACAACAATCCTATTTCAGTAGACGGAAAAAAACATACCAAAGAGGAATTTGCAGACAGCTCAATAGACAACGGCTAAATATTTGTTTAATAGCATCATAATTATTTACAGCCATGTGTGCTTCCACATATTGCTTCCAGTATTTTGCCTACAGAAAAGGGAAGATAGCTTCAGCTATGTAGGAGACACTAAGATAATAGTCAAATGCCTTGCAGAAAAGAACAAATTTTCTAAAGCAAGGAAATCAGTCAGATCATAAAGGCAGTTAGCTGAACACTCAGCTGCAGAACTCTTTTTATAGTCTTTGCATGCTGTCACTCAAAAAACTCTTAAACAAGTAACATAAATTGAGGACAATTTACAAAGCCCTACTGCCCATCATTGGAACAATTTGGAAGAAAAAAGTAGGAACATTAACCTTTTATTTTTTAAATGTCAGTGGTTTGTCGAACATAATCATGCTTTCATTTCAGCATGACAGGTTCCATAATACACTTTTCATTTTGACTGCTCAACGGTTCACTTAAAAACTTAAATCAAATGCTCAACGGTTTACTTAAAAACTTAAATCAAATGCGGCAGACACAGAGACGCGACGAACACAGTCCAACACATGTCGGACATGCAAAAAAAAAACATGTCTAAATATTTTTCATTTTCGGACACACCGTGGACACAAATGTCTAACTAAAAGGGGATATTTAAAATAAAAAAAAAGATGGGTTAAAATTTAAAGTGTGGAATTCTTTGAAAGTTTCAATAATATAAAGGTCAAAACACACAAAGAATAAATAATTAAATACAAATCTATATGATATTTTTTATTTTTTTTTATTTTTTTTTTTGATAAGTAAATATATATGTAACAAAAACGCTCAAAGGGGAGCGACCTTAACAAAACAAACAAAAGACGCAAAAAGCGCCATTACAACGATAAGTTGTCAACAAAATCCAACAAACGGTCCGCAGATGGACAATTCCTCCCATTAACCCAAGAAAAAAGCGAATGCAAAACATACGACTTAATCACCCAAGTCGGCGCCTCCTTTCCCTCGAAAGATCTCATGTTCCGCTCTAGCCACAACCCCCACCAAACACAAAGAGGTGCAACCCTCCAAGCTTTCCTAACCTGACCACCCATTACTCTCCCTCTCCAAGCCTCTAACATGTCTACCGTGTTCCTTGACACCACTCACTCAACCCCAAACACATTCATAACCATACTCCAAACATCCGCTGCCACTTTGCAATGCAACAAAAGATGGTTTAACCGATTCACCCGTCATCTTACACATGCAACACGAATTGATTGTTATTCGACCTCTTCTTCTAAGGTTATCGATAGTAAGAATGCTGCCAAGTACTGCTGTCTATGTGAAAAACGCCACCTTCAGTAGAGCTGACGTCCTCCATACATATTGCATATTGAAAATGTAAGAATCTTGCTCACTTTTGCAATTGGGCTTCTTACTTGCTATGACCAATCATTGAAGCTCGACTGTTGGCAAACCTTCTTCTTATTCTTCATCAATAAATCCTTTTTCTCATTTTTTTTTTCCTTTTCTTCTTGTCCTCTTCTTCCTACACAAACCCCTTTCTTCCTCTACAGATTCCCTCTTTTATTATCAACAACAAAAACAAGCCTTTTTCCCACCTACTTGGGTAGGCTACACGAATCATATGTTTCCATTCCACTCTATTTAAGGCCATAGTCTTAGTCACTCCACATGATATCATGTCCTTCCTTACTAACTCTAACCACGTTAACTTTGGTCTTCCTCCCCTCTTTTATTATCAACAGTGCGCAATTTTTTTCTCAACAAAACCTTAATTCTCTTTATTTCTTTATTTTTTCTTTCTTTAACCGATTCTCTCCGTCTCTCTCTCAATAAAAGTCTCTTTCCTTTCCTTCAACAAAGACCTAATTTTGGAGAAGGTTTAGAAATTCTACTACTGCCTATTCTCTCTCTCTCTCTCTCTCTCTCTCTCTCATTCTTTACACAACTGTAATTTTTGTTTAGTTAAGGTTTTAGATTACAACAAATTTTATAAAGGAGTATAAATATTATACTTCAAACCCATTCTCTTTTCTTTTTTTCTTTTCTTAAATGAGAGAATTGTTGTTGTAATTCATTAGATATTTTTTATTTGGGATTTTTTATTCTTAATTTGATCATCATCATCATCCTTGCCTTTATCCCAAACGAATGGGGTCGGCCAAATGAATTCTCTTTTTCTATTCTATTCTGCTACCTGTCATATCTCCTCTAATATTAAATCTTCTAAAGTCGTTCTTAATAACTTCATCTGAAGGTAGTTTTGGCCGGCCTCACAGCCACTTACCTTTTATCCGAATTAATTTTCCTTTTTTTACAGGTGCATCGACGGGTCTACATTCCATGTGTCCGAACCACCTAAGCCTACTTTCTACTATTTTGTCATTAATATGTGTTATTCCTAGTTTGTCCCTCGCATTGTGATAAGTAAGCTTATCTCTTCTGCTCACCCCTATCATCTATCTCATTATTCTCATTTCAACTACCTGAATGCGATGTTCTTATTTCTTCTTAGAGCCTAGCATTCTACCTCGTACTAGATAGCCAGCCTAATAACCATTCTATAAAATTTCCCTTTAACTTATTTGGTATTTTTTTTTTTTTATCACGTATGATAGATACCACTAGCCTGTCTCCATTTTGTTCATCCTACTCTAATCCTTAATCCTTGATAGTAATACAATCATCTATCTCCCCATCACTTTAGAATATTGATCCCAAGTATCCAAAATGATTATTCTGAAGAATTCTTTGAATTTGAATTGTTATTGTTATATTATCGCCTTCTGATACTTTTGTTAAATTTGCATTCCATATATTTGTTTTAGTCTTACTAATTCTTAATCCTTTTATTTTAACACATTTCTCGATATTTCAATTTTGTAGCAAAGAGATCATTAGAAGTATCCAATATCAGTATGTCATCAGCAGACAACATGCGCCGTGGAATGTCTTCTTGTATATCTTTCGTTATTTCATTTTAAAACTATTGTAAATAAGTATGGGCTAAGGACTGATATTTGGTGCAGTCTCACTTTTATAAGAAACTCATTAGTTTCTCCACATATAATATGAACTCAACTTTGTGTCATTATACATAACCTTAAAAAAATGTTTATAAGTTTTAGAGGTGCTCGTTTTCTTTGTAAGGCCCACCAAATTACATCTGTTGGTGCTCTATCATATGCCTTAAGGTGTAGGTTGATTACCCTATTTAACACTTAATTCTTTAACAGATGCGAGTTTGATAACACAATTTGAATATCAATTTAAAAAATAAGTGCCACGGAAATTGGGCTAAAATTTTAAGTGACTTATCACTGAATGCTGAACACTTGAAATTCAAAAAAAAAAAAAAAAAATCAATTTACAAATACCACTTAAAACATCAGCATTTAAAATTTTCAGTACTTAATTTCAGTTTTATTAAACAACACCCAACTCTATGAAAACCGTGTGCAAATCTTATTGGTTGCTTCTACATTCTTTTATTAGTTGCCTAATTAAATAAATGGCCTCCATAGTAGATCTCCCTGGCATAAATCCAAATTGAATTTTAAAAACTGTTGATTCATTTCTTAGTCGTTACTATATAACCCTTTTTCATAATTTCATTGTATGACTGATTAATTTAATACCTAGAGAGTCACCACAAATTGCACTTAGTTTATGAAGTAATAAAAAATCATAAAACATATTATATATGTGCAATCTTAGGCAACTTAACCAGATATAGAAAACACACAAGCTTCAAACTTAGTATAACTTACACACTAACCTATCTTACCCAATTCTAACTTTGCAACATATTTTGATATGTGAATTCTATGACATATTCACCAATATTTTTCTTTTCTTCTTCTTTCCTCGTTCATGGTTGGCGTAATAAAAGATACTTATTTCAGTTGACACACACATGCACCAGACCAACTAAGGGGGTTAAGGCCGGATAGATATAAAGGAGCCAACTATTGTATAGAAAATCAGAAAAGTGATCAGATTGGTTGGAGCAAGAATTCTTCATGGAAACAAAATATGTGGGATTTCCATTACCCGCCTAGAACTGCATATTTACATAAACAGCAGGCCATACTTACTAAAAAGGAGGAAGAAAGAAGTGGGCAAATCCAAACATTCAAGGATGATGAAGGAGCTTACCGCCGTAGGAAACGTGGACAGAAGTTGCTCATATATCGGCACTGCCTCTGAAATTGGCAAACGCTAAACAAAATAACAATAATTACAAAAATAATATAAAAAAATAGGCACCATTATATGCCATGAATCATAACCTCAAGAAAATAAAATTGAACACCAAGAATTTAGAACAACATACCAGTGCCTCGTTTGCAAGTATTTCTGCAGCTTCAATATTGTATTTATCGGCCATATGGTGTTACCTTGTTTTTTTATGCTGCAAGATCAAATTTTTCTGTGACCCAAGCCCTATATCTGGAGAGATGTTTCCAGAACTGTGCTTCTCTGCAACCCAAACGACAGTGATGTATCAAATTTTTGGGTTTGGTGTTTCTTCAACCTTTTTAACTAGGCAATAAACGGCAACGATGTTCGAATTATTAAAACCTAAAAAAGTTCAAACCAAAACCGAAAATTCTCAGGAGTAGCCGGAAACCCGCCCGTTTGCCCCGATTAAGCAAATCGAGCTTTGTTTGGATTCTTCGGTTGCCACTTGCAAAGAGAGAGTTCAAGGACTTTGAAGCCCAAACATTGCCTTTTTTTTTTTCTTTTTCCTTGTTTTTATCCTGGCAGGACACACGTTTGATTGGGCATAAGTCCAACACATGGGTGTGCAATTTAGCCTATTTTATTTTTTATTTTATTTTGATATATCAAAACCCATGAAGGCCACTTATATACTATTTTATTTTTATTTTTTTTTGGCAAGACTTATGAACTAGTATTTCACTATTACATCTCTTTCCTATATTATTTTCTTTTCCGGTGAATTGGATAGTCTAATGGGTAGAGACATTAACTTAAATCGTGTGCATTATTGGGTAGCTCAGTAGTTGTAATAGCTTAAGTTTGACCCACCCAATATTCTCTTTCCTACCTTGTCATTTAAAAAATTAATTAATTAATTAATTATATATATGTTCCTTTCACATAAATGGATATGAGTTTTTAAAAATAATAATAATAATAATAAAACTCAGTTGTTCTTATTAATTACTCTCTTGTTTTTTAAAAAAAAAATTGTCGTACTTTATTTTTTTGTCTGTCTCAAAATAGGTGTCTACTTTCCTTTTTTCAAACAATATATTTCACATTTTTCTATATATATCATTTGAGCTTAAAATTTCAAATTTGAATATTCAAAACTTAAAATGGCAAGTTAGTAACTTTTCAAGAGGACAATGTATGTTCCACATGTCCCTTTAAAAATTACTACTTTTCAAAAACGGTACTTAAATTGGAATGGAGGGAGTATATCATATGTGCATACCTATTTTATCCTACTGTTTCAACACTCTATTATTTTGTCTTTTGAAGATTTTTTTTAGCATTATAAGAAGTCTTTTCTAAATTAATACCGTAAAAAACTAACACTTCTTGAATACAAAAAAATTGTTATATACACTTTATGGTAAAGTTATTGATAAGAAAATTTTTTTAAAAAATAATAATAAAATAAAATAAACAGTTTTTATTCATGACGTTACTTTTGTTTAAGGTATGTAACATACAAATTTGAATGTTTAAACTTTTAGGATAATTTATGACTATTGATTCTTGCGGTCCTAGGGAGCGCGGTTGCGAATCTTCACACCAACTAACTTTCAAATCTAATATTCTTGTCATAAAAAATAAAATAAAAAATTTGAAAATTTTTTTGTTCAATTGACTTTTTGTCTGAAATATAGTATTATATTTTAGTAATAAATTTAGAAATATATATATATATAAGGGCTTGTATAATATATGGCCTCCCACCACACACGCTTGTATCTTAGTTGGTTATTTAATAAGAGTACATAATAATGTAACCTACTCGTAATTTCTCAAATCGAAATAAAAGATTAAGTGTTTAAGTTCGCAAGACAGTATCAACCAAATATAATTAAAAATATCAATTGGGTGTAAGACGAGACACCCATTTGGGCCATTTCACAAAAACTATATATTTTTTTAACAAAGTACAAGAAGCGTCCGAGCATCCTGACATATTTAAAAAATAAATAAATAAATAAACTTCAACAAATTTAATATAAATATTGTAACAAAATTTAATCATAGTGAAATATTTAACAATCATAATAATAAAAATGTTACTAAAATTTAAAATTATTATAAAAAATGAAGGGAAAAGAAAAATTATAACTAATAAAATAATATTTTATTTATATATTTATTATTAATCAAAGTAAGTTCGGAACTCTCTTTCTAAACTCACTATATAATCTCATTAGGATGATTTTAAACCTGTTTCAATAAGAATAGAATGGAGGGGATCCCACCACTCTCTTAAATCTTAACCCAAAAATGGAATTGACATTCCACGAACATAATGGAGTATTTGTTTATTTTTATTTTTACTATTGAAATCAATAAATTGTTGGGGTCAAGCAGATCAATGTTAAAATAACAGAGTAATGTGCAAATTAACAAAATAAACTGATCCCCTGGTAAGTGGCAACTGAAATGGGTCTGGAGTCTGGACCACGCAGGGAGAGAGAAGACGAAGCGAAGAAGACCCTCAATAATCATCGCCATCGTTGGCGCTATTGCAGTCACATCGGTTAAATCAATTCTCTCTCTCTCTCATCCCATCCGGACAGTCTTCGATCTTGCGCAGTTTGCTGAGAGCTGCTTCTGGTTCTAGTTATCAGTATTGATATTCATGGAAGTCAATTACCAGTCATTCGATCTGAAATTCGTGACTCCCGTATCTGAATCGACGAGACCTGTAAGTTAGTTTGATCCCGAGAGAGATATATACATATATATTATTCTCTAGGTGTGTGTGTATGTGTATGTATAATTGTATATGCATATGGATATGTATGACATGACCACGATGTGCTACCAGTATAAATCCTGTTCTGTACCCATTAACATTTGGTTCTGAAACCTTTGCTTGATGAAGCAACAATACGTTTAGCAGACTATGAAACCCAGATTGGGAAAGGGGAATTTTCTTATAATAGACACAATTTCAGGAGTTTAGATTTATGCAATGTTTAAGAACAAACATATTCAATTTTGTACAAGAGAACAAGGAAAGAACATGGAAATTGGTGAATGATACCAGATAACAAGCCCCAATTTAAATTTGCCATTTTTGGTGTGTAATTGGTTTTGATTGTCACTGATACGAAGCTTTTGTTGACGGCAATTGTACTGAATTAGTTTGGCGAGTAAGGGAAGGGTTGTAGACTCCTATCTAGGATTCCATTTGGTTGTGTACAAGGAATTGACTTTGCATATATGATTATTATTGTTGGTGTTGTTTTGAACTATGGCATTTGACAAGACATTTTAAGAGGCAAATTTTATACAAAGAATTACTAAATGCAATTACATACAACAACTAAGAAAAGTTAATTCACAAAGCTGAAATTGTAAGCTGACTGGATTTATAGCATCCTTATTCAGGAAAAAAAAAATGAAAGCAAGGAACTTCCTAGGGGTTTTCTTTTAATGTCATTAATATATTAACATCCCAATTAATTTCTGAGATAGAAATTATGAAAACTGGAACAGGGGCACTCACGAATCAGTGGAGATATCACTCAATACTTATTCCATACAAATATCATCGTTTACTAATTTTTTTTTTTTTTTTTGGTCATTCTTTACTAAATTTTGCTAGGCAAGAAACCGTATATATATATATTAAATTTTTTTTTAATTATTATTATTATTATTTTTATTGAGTTGTCACTAGATAAGTAATTCTTAAATCAGGTATTGTTAACTTGACTGCGGTTGTTTTACAATATGTGGCTAACAAGTTCCCGTTATCTGGTTTCTGCAGGATTCATGAAACCCCAAAACATGTTCTTGCTTCTAATTATATGCATTTCATGCACAGATAACTCAATTATTATCCAACTCATTTGTTGTTGAAGCTCAATTATACCATGTAGAGAGGGAAGCAAGACTTCTATATAGGTACTGAAACTCTGGGGATGAGATGTTTCTTTGCACATCAGTCTTAAGTTTCTGCAGATATGGTGTTTAGTAGGTTTGCAGAAATTGTTTCTGCTACAGCAAGTCGTTTATCAGCCTCAAAGCAGCTTTCTACGGTTTCATATGTATCAACCGAATCATCACCTCGAGAAGTTTCTGTTCATGATTATGGTTTTTCTACCTCTGGGCAGAAGAATAATTTGCGACATTCCTCATCTCTTCAAGATTTATCTGCATATCGCCAACTTGATCCAGAAGAAGGCAACCTAAATCCTGGAACAGATGGGAGTTTGACCCATGCGAAACAACCTCATTTCTTACAGAGAGAAAATGCCGGGTCAAGCTTTTCCAAGGAGAAGGCATTGCCTGGAATCCCTTTTGTACGGAAGAAGTGGGTGCGAGTGATCACGGTTCTCCTGTGCTTATTGTTGTTGTTTGCTTTTATTGTATACATGATACAGTTTATTTTCCCTAATTGGTCTCAAGGGGCTTCCAAGTTCTATGTTGTACTTGATTGTGGTAGCACTGGGACCCGGGTTTACGTATATGAGGCATCTGTTAATGACAAGAAAGATGGAAGTCTCCCTATTTCATTGAGCTCGTTACCAGGTCCGCAGAGAAAACATAGTTTGCAGAGGGGGCGCGCTTACAACCGAATGGAGACTGAGCCTGGATTTGACAAACTGGTGCATAATAAAACTGGTTTGAGGGGAGTAATAAAACCACTTATTAAATGGGCAGAGAAACAAATCCCCGAGGATGCACATAAGACTACTGTCCTCTTCCTTTATGCTACAGCTGGGGTTCGCAGGCTGCCAATTTCAGATTCAGAATGGCTTCTTAATAATGCTTGGTCCATTTTGAAGAATTCACCTTTCTTGTGCCAACGGCAGTGGGTTAAGATTCTCAGTGGCATGGAGGAAGCATATTATGGATGGATTGCTTTAAACTATCACACCGGAGTGTTGGGGGCTACACCAAAAAAAGAAACATTTGGTGCACTTGATTTGGGTGGTTCATCATTGCAGGTTACCTTTGAGAACAAGCAACATGTGCGTAACAAAACTAGCTTAAAGCTGAGCATTGGTCCTGTTAACCATTATCTCAGTGCCTATTCGCTATCGGGCTATGGTCTGAATGATGCTTTTGACAAGTCTGTGGTTCATCTTCTTAAGAGGCTTCCTGAAATTACTAATGCAGATTTAGTTGGTGGGAAGTTTGAAATTAAGCATCCTTGTTTGCAGTCTGGTTACAAGGAGCGATACTTCTGTTCTCAGTGCGCTTCTATTTACCAAGGTGAGGGTCCTCTGATTGGAAGAAAAAAATTGGACAGAGGAGGAAAACCTGGAATTCCAGTTCAGCTTATTGGTGCTCCAAAATGGGAAGAATGCAATGCACTTGCAAAAATTGCTGTCAATTTGTCTGAATGGTCAGATCGAAGCCCAGGACTTGATTGTGAAGTGCAACCCTGTGCTCTTGCAGGTAATCTGCCTCATCCTTATGGTCAGTTCTATGTAATGTCTGGATTTTTTGTGGTGTATCGTTTTTTTAACTTGACTTCCGAGGCAGTACTTGATGATGTGTTGGAGAAGGGTCAGGAATTCTGTGAAAAAACTTGGAAAATTGCGAAGAACAGTGTTGCTCCTCAGCCCTTTATAGAACAGTATTGCTTTAGAGCTCCATACATTGTGTTCCTATTGAGAGAAGGCTTGCACATTGGAGATGGCCAAATTACTGTTGGTTCTGGAAGTGTTACATGGACACTTGGGGTTGCCCTTTTGGAAGCAGGGAAGGCATTTTCAACCAGAGCTGAGCTTCCCAGTTACAAAATACTCCAGATGAAGATAAACCCAGTTATTCTTTTTGCGGTTTTGTGCGTTTCATTGTTTTTCCTAGTTTGTGCATTATCATGCATTGGTAATTGGATGCCAAGATTTTTCCGTAGGCTACATCTCCTCCTTTTTAGGCATAACAGTGCCTCAACCACATCTGTTCTCAATATCCCATCTCCTTTTCAGTTTCAGCGGTGGAGTCCTATCAATTCAGGTAAACTCTTCTACAATATCTGTGACTTCTATAATTTTTTGGAATACTACAAAGAACATACAACAAAGTAGTTGGGAAAAAGGCTTGGTTGTTGTGTAAAAAACATAATATTCTATATTTTTGATCTACCAAAATGTGCATAATATATATAATTATGTATGTGTATATAGTTACATTTTTGGTAATTGCCCCAAAGAATTGTGCTTCTACCTCTTTTCTCTACACTTCTATCGGTGTGTTTCAGTGAGGCTGTTTTACCTCACTTCTTCTTTTGTACCATACTGTCATATAAAATTTTCTTCATTTGGGGGGAAAAGAAAGAATTGTGCTTCTACCTCTTAAGACCTAATTTTCCTGTATTTGAATTCCCTGTACAACACACAAAAAGATTCAGATTAACTTTGCACAGTTTGTCAAAACAACAAAGTATTACAAATTAATAAGATTCAATTGAAAGGCTTAGTGCACATTAGATTTTTTAATTTCTCCTACCCTGTTGCATGTCAAGAGTTGTGGATTACAGTTTTGTCTGGGCGTGGATGTAAACCTAAATAGCTACAGTCAAATGTCACCTCATAGGATTTCATTTCACTTAGACAGATGGCTCATATGTTTTGATGCGCATGGAATTTTGGACTGCTGTAAATTTCCGAGCTAGCTTCTCCTTTAATACCGCAGTTGATAAGTTATTCAAGTAGTTTTCCACAAGACAGACATTCGGTAATCAACTAAGTTTTTAATATCTTAAAATATTAAGTACTTGCGGTGTTTGCGGCTACGAGCAACTTATTTTGATGAATTTGAGAGCTTGAGCAGTGCAGCTAGAAAAAGCTTCTCTAGTGAGTAGTGCTATGACAAATTAGGAGGAAAACTAAATTCACCAGGTCGGTTGATAGGACACTGGGATTTGAGATTCTGCTAACCTTATATAGCATATAATTTCTCACCTCCATCTCATCTTGAACCTGTTATGCACATCTTTGTTTTTTGAGCAGTTCCATTTTTCAATTTCAATGTCCCATGATCAAAAGCCTTTTCCTTGTTCTAGCAGATCTACGGTCAAAATCATGATGACTAATGCCTGCCACATGTATGGATTTTATTTTCTCTCCTTAATTATTTCCGTTCTTAGTTTACTTGTTATTCCATTTCCAGTAAGTTTCTTCTTTTTTTTAAGGTTACCTGTTATTATGTAAGTTTCAGCTTTATTGCTGTTATTGTTTGTTCGTATGTTGTGTGAATATTTTCATTGCAAATCCCTTTTACCTTATGTAACTTTTTTAGTCGTGAAATTGTGGTGTTTTAGGGGATGGAAGAGTTAAGTTGCCACTGAGTCCAACGATTGCTGGTGCACAGCAGCAGAGAACATTTGGCATGGGAAATGGCTTCAGCAGCAGCAGCATCCAGCTCACAGAATCATCTTCCTTATACCCCTCTACTAGCAGTGTTTCACATAGTTATTCCTCAGGGAGCTTAGGGCAGATGCCATTTGACAATAGTAACAGGGGTCCCTTTCGGTCTCCTCATAGAAGTCAGATGCGGCTTCAAAGCAGAAGATCGCAGTCTCGGGAAGACCTTATTTCTTCACTGCCTTAGCCACACACATTTGGTGAAGATTTTAATCGTGCCTCTCGAAAAACTTTGGTACAATTAGGTGATCCATCTTCAAATTACATCTTGCATAGAGGAAATGAAATCAAAGGTTTCCTTTGAAAGTTTTGCTTATCTACTCGAATTGAGGCACATTCGTTTTTGTTCCATATAGAAATCCATTCGGCTAAAATAGATTTAAGCTTTAGAGTTAAAATCATTGACTTATTTATATTCACTATGTATATTTTTTCTGACGATCTCCAAACATGTAACTAGCTGCTCAGTTTATTGTAGAAATTATGACAGTATCAAGCAAATGAATGGTCTGTCGTGATTTCACATTTTAAACCCCTGAAATACAGTAGGCATGGACCACTTTTGTCAGTCAGGTATGAACATAGAAGCAATTATAATGAATCGTCCATTACACTAACACTAACTAATGAGGCTAAATGGTATTGATCAGAAGCATACGATCATCATTTCTGCTATTAATACGTTTTGCATAAGGCCAATAAGCTGAGTGTTTTCCAGAAACAAGATTTAAAATAAAATAACTTATTAAAGAATCACCCCCTCTTGATTTCTGAGTTAATTTTAACAAAACAGAAATGTTTTGGAGTCCAAACTCTAAAACAGCCACTCAATGACTGGTGTGGGGCCCACCAGCCTGTGTCTTCGGATTTGGAGTTCCAGACCCTGTATTATTGCTCTTTAACAAAATGACACTAGTTTAGACTAGAGGTTTGAACCAGTATCTCTTAGATTTAGGTTATTATGATGTTCTTTGATGTACCATATAAATTTATAAATAGAGAAATTATCAGATTCTGGGAAATTTATGACAAATCTCTGGAAGAACGGGGTAATAAATCCAATCCATGCCATCTGATCTAACCAGGTGGCCACTTCATCTGTCTCCCACCAAGCACATGCAAGTGGAGATGGTAAACTGATTGACCTGGAGAGAGAGAGATGTCAAAACAAGTCTAAACTATGGATTCAATTAAGTTCTATTTGATTTCTGAGAATACGAAAGAGATTTTGGATATTATAACTAGTTGGGTTGAAGTGCCATAAGGTTCAAAGGTGCCAGCTAAGATAGCTGGTAAAGTCACTAAAAAGCCACACTGGAGACTTGGGTCAAATTCTACCTTTTATCCAGGTTGAGACTTTTATGGACCAGGTTCAAGCCACTGCACTGAAGTGTCACAAGGTTCCACAAAAGGTTCTCCAATTTCTCAGCAACCAAAATGGTAACTAGAACAAAAAAGAGAATTTGAGAAAATGGCTTTATAACTTACATGCAGTAGGACCACTGTTGATGACAACACGGAATCCATCAAGGATGCCTTCTTTCTCTGCCACTATTCTCGAAGCGTAGAGAAGATGGCCCAGTATCTCTCCATGTTTTGCTTCAGCCTACAAATAATAAGTCATAATTCTAATTAAACACCAATCCCAGTCCAATATCCAATTTTGACAAATAAATAAACATTACTACATCATACCAAGCTATATGAACTGTTTTTTGGTCATTAAGAAACCTTGAGTGATTCTTATATGTATTAAGCTATTATCCAAATCATTGAATTTAAAAGAACACATCCAAATTTATTTTTGAATTCTCTCGTGTAAAGGTCGAGTTGCCATCGGTTGCTGTAGTCTAGCCATGAAAATTGGGTAAAGCCTTAAAGGGCAGTTGAACAGTTTTCCTGCATTGGCTCAAAATGCAACTCCTAAATTGGAATTTACTCCAGGATACTTTATGTTTAGTATAGAATAGTCAGGTGAAGGATGTGAGGATACATAACTGGAAATTACAATCAATAACCTAAATATTGCAAAATAGAAGGCTCACAACCCACGGAAGCGTATCGTCTTTTTTATTGTAATTCCTTTTAACATTTTGTAAAATAGGTATGCATATAATACAAAACACATCAAGATCAAATCAGCAATATACAATCAATTCATGAAAAATACTGTAATTTAAATATGCAAGCACGTGCATTGGTCATTTAGCCTTAGACAACCACCTCACAAAAGGCTTAAGCTATTGGAGAATGGTCCCAACAAATGATATCACGGTTTCACACCCTTCCTTATGTTATGTGTGACCCCCTATGACGTGGGGAGACAGATAATAGAGTGCAAACAAACTGAATGAGGAACAAATGCTAACAGAGAAAGATAGAGATTTGAACCTAAAATCAAGACTCTAACTCATGTTATACTTGCACCAACACTTGCACCTTTCTGAATGAGCCAGAAATATATCAAGCTCACCCATTTAACACAAATAATTAAGATCAGAAAAAATAGACTAAAGACGGAGAACTATATTGTATCCATTCATCCTACAATCCATTAAATAAACTTTCTTAGCATGAATTTGTCCCCAAGAAACCCCTTTTATGATTTGTTGCTAACTATTTGAACACTATCTTTCTCTTCAAAAAGCTTTACATCATCATCATTAAAATCACTAAGCATTTTCTTCAATTGATAAAAAATTTTAGAACATCATTTGAATTTTCCTCACACATGACAATAATAACCCAAGTGTAAGCTAAAAGAGGTTTCATGTAGATAACCAGCACACTAGGATAGCCACAATAAATTCACTTCAACTACAATTAAGGGTGTCTCTACGAACATCAACTTTAGTGTAAAGATCCATGCATGGTTTGGAGATGACAAAGACACAATGTAACAGACTTGGGGCAGCATTGGATGTAATGTAATGGAATTAGTTATCGCAGTCGTGAAATTTTTCGACCTTGCATACTATTAGATGTGCTGACCCAGCCGCTTCCCTAACTTGTTTGGTCGATCTAGATTCGAATGCAACTGGCACACCCGACACCTTTTGATATAATGCGAGATTTGATTTCCACCGATTTATCAGTGAGTATTGGATCGGACTTGGAGGAGTCCATTACAACTCAGCTGATATGGAGAACTACAGATCCGTATAGAATGGGTCCCTTCCTTCCTTCCTCCCTTTCACCCTTTCTCCCCTTCCTTTGGAGGGTGGAAAAAATACTAGAATCTAAAAGAAAATAAAACTCAACCTTAGCGACTAAACCATAAAAACCTTCAAATCTCTCACAAAATTATATCTATTCTCTTAAGAAGAGCGTGAAAACAAACAAAACTTCAATTGTTATTTATTTAATCTCATAATACAATGGTATTCAGAATATTCAAGAAAGATAGTTATCGAAATGGCCTGCATCTAAAGTTTAAAATACTAGCAATATATATTAGAAGATCAATTATCTTTCTTATCGATAGGCAAATAGTCATTAAGTTATAGTGGAGTCATTTATTCTACAGCTAAACATGCAAGTGTCCTAAAAGAAGCGAGAATAGCATCCATCTAAAGATTAGTAGCTGATGAGGACAGATAAAATCATAAAAGACAAGAAAATAACCTTGCCAAGCTCTGTTAACCCATCTCTGAACTTTGGAATGACTAAAACATGAACAGGAGCCTGTGGGTTGATATCCCGAAATGCCAGGACCTTTTCATCCTCATATACAATGGTGGAAGGAATCTCCTTAGCAATGATTTTGTCAAATCTAACAAAAACAAAATAATATGATTTAAATGATAACACTCTTCATTCGCTTGAAGTTTCAAGAACATTAAGGTTAATAACCACTTGAAATATAAAGTGGAACATTGCAATTTTGAAAAGGGTCAAGCTAAATATGCATTGGTTTCATCTTTTCACATGTTTTTGTTGTATATAGACAAGATGAACTTTAAGTAGATTGTGCAGTTAATTACTTATCAAAAAAACAAAAAGTAGATTGTGCAGTTAATATGAGAATCTCATTATGTTACAACTCTTAACAAACAAATATAACTAATAAAAAAATTATTTTAGGCAATTTGACTTAATTCTAAAACTTTCTTGCTTGACAACACCCCCTGATTTCTTCTACATAATTTCCACCCAGTTGTTGGATACACTTATAGGACTTCTAAATGTGAATTATTTTATTTTTACTCATTCCAATTTCCAAACTAATTTACATGATATAACAAAAACCAATATATCATCTGAACATCAGCAAGCAAGAAGGATAATACATGGTTGGAGCTCCACTATCGGCACTGGCTGCAGCTGCTTTGGCCATAGCTTCTTTATCATTTATAGCCCTCACATCGGACATGGCTCTAGAAGGAAAAGTGAAAAGAAGCAAAATCAACAATAGGATAGTAGTTTCTGAAAGTAATTAAAATCAAACTCTTCAATATATACTCTAGATGAAACATCAAGAGACAAATATATATATATATATATATATATATATATAGTTAGGTATTAACTCACTCACACACCCAAAAATGCCCACTATGGGGTTCAAACCCCTCACCTTCCCTTTGATACCAGTGATAAGTGCTTAAATGTTGCACATTTCAGCACCTAAGCTAAGGTATTTCAGTCTTTGCATTTATCTTAATTTCATGTTTTAGTCCTAATTTATGTTTATGTGTATTTCAGGGTAATAAAGTTAAAATGAGCTGATTTTGGTTCACTAAAGCCTTTTTGGAGTCGAGCAAAGATATTCAGAAAAGCTCAGAAAATGGCAAAAAGGAGGTCGCAACCCATTGCTTTATAGTGTGTTTATTCTTCAAAAGCGGTCAATCTCGGGCCTTTGATGATGTTCCCAAAGATGAAGAAGCAAACCAATGAGTTCGGGGCCAAAATGGAGCTAAATAGGGCTTAAAGGAAATTTCCAACTCTTGGGGGATCGATCCCCCAGGACTTGGCAACATTATAGGATTTTCTTATTGTTTGGGCTTATTTTGTGAACTATTGGGCTTTAATAGGGTTATTATTTAAGGCCCAGTGAGCCATTAGTTTAGGGTTAGTTTTTATTTTATTTAGGAGAGAGTTTTATTATTTTATTATTAAGTTTTTTTTATTAAGTTTTATTTTATTTTTCTGTACCGTGATATTACGTTCTCTCTGGGGGAAAAAGGAAAAGCTAGGGTTTGAAGAACATTTTTACAGAGGCTTTGTCTACAATTGAAGGAAGAAGAAGAAGGAGCCAAAAGATGGAGATGGAGCTTGTTGACACCATGATCATCTTCTCCATGAGCTAGTTCTTCACTTAGGGCTTGGATGAGCCCTAAGTTCATGTAACCTAAACCTTTGTTTTTCTTTTCTTGGGGAATTATTAAGTTGTAATTAAATATTTGGCCTTGTGATTTATTTATATATACATGCTTGATTTGACAAATTAGGGCTTGTATTGATTAATCCTTCCATTGAAATCTCCAAGTTGATTGTATGTCTATATATGATTAATTAGGGATTTTATTCTTCATTAGATGTTTGAAAATTAATTCTTCCATTGATTCTATATGAAAATTGCATGTCTATGTGTGATTGATTTAGAATTATACTCTACACTAGATACTTCTTTTAGTTGTGTTTAGTGATGGCCATAGCATGAGACTTAGTTGATACAATTGTAAATTAATTTGATGGATAAAGGCTTAATCTTGATGGGTTGTTCTACAAATTAGCTTATTGTCATTAGGTAATTGTAGTAAAGTAGGCAATTTGTGCTTGATTATGTTAATCCATACTTCTAATTACAATTAGTATTATCCTCTTGATTGATGTGTGCTTTTATCGAATACATTTGTGAATGTGTATGGTGGGTTATGACGTAGTCTTGAATGGGTTCTACACTTTAGTTTAATTGTCATTAGGTAAACAATTCATTCTTGATGTTGATAATCTATGCTTACAATTGTGATTTGTGATGATAATGTGACCACATCTATAATTACACTAATGAATTCCCCATTAATTGAAAGCATATGGTTAATTGCATGAGCTTAGTGGTGAATCCTAACCCTAAGACTCTCTTCATATCTCTTTAATTCTTAGTTTAATTTAATTTAATTTACTTGCATTGTCATTTCTATTTCCATGCTTTCGATTTAACTCTAGTTTAATCACTTCACCAAAAATCTTTTGCTCCTCTCTCTTGTGCAATCTCATTAGCACTAAAATCAAGTTTAATCCTAACACGTGTTCAATCCCTTGGGTTCGATCCCTTCTCACTTCATACTACATAGTATAAGTGTCTAGCGGTTTATAAATGTAAACTATGATGCCCGCTTGATACCATTTCCAAAACCAAAGTGTTGTGCATTATTTTGTGCACACGCTCGGGTCACATCAACCAGCTGGGCTAATGACCCACCGGTGTAGATATATATATATATATATATATATATATATATATATATTGTTAATATTAAGTCACTAACTTTGAGGAACTTGAAAAACGAGACTGTTACAGACCAAATATAAGAAATGGTAGATTTTTTGTACACCACATATGGTTAGTAATGTAATGTACATGTTGTCTTATAGACTACGATTCAAAGATTGCCAACATGCTAAATCTTTGCTAGCATAGTTTACTCTCATTATCTATCTATTGTGCAAAATACCGTACTTGATATTAAGTATAAAAGGAGCTTAAATGCCAGTAGAGTTCTCAGCAATTTCGATCTATATTTAAGTTTCAAATAAATCATTAATGTAGAGCATAGCAGAAAATGACTGGGCAAATGGCAATAATACGCAGCTGCAATTATTATTTTGCTAGATTTGGACAACTTATATGACTGGATTTTCCCCCCAAAGTGGGATCTCAAACTTAATATGGATGTATATGGTAAATCAGCTACTCGAGTCGAAAAGGGTATTATTAGAACTTGCTAGGGGGAGTATTCTCATGTACTTTGCTGCTAGAGCAACTAGTTATTCTGACAATTGTGATGATTTATAAGAACATTTCTCCAATTGACTCTAGATGAGTAAATCTGTAAGCCACTGTTGTCCTAGCAATATCCAGACCAAATTAGAGCCCTTGCTAATGAGAAGGGACATGGATTCAGAAATTGATGATAATATACTTCAGAATTATTCTAGTGGAGCAGGAGTCTTAGAAAATTGACTATTCTGCTGATGTTCTGGCTTTGGATATTTAAATTGCTGTAAGTTACTCATTCTCTGGACTATCACCATTAATTGTAGGGTAAGTACACTGTAATTGTCGGGTAAGTATTGGATGATACGGAAAAGCTAATCTAAAATACACTGTCGAATGCATATACACATGCCACCAAGCACAAAAAAAAAAAAAAAAAAAAAAAAACCGCATAAATTAGTCCAATTACATGCAAAACTGTTGTTACTGATAGCAAAGGTTAGAAGCAAGTAAAATGGGTTTGAAATGCAAGACATATATACCTGCGGAAATGAATAGGAAGACGAAAGAGGGTGTGTGCTTGGAAAAATGAGTTTTGAGGTCTGACAGTGGCCAAAGCTCGTACAGTTGTTGTAACCCTGTTCAAAGAATGACCCAACTGAATGAATTCGAGAGAGAAGAAGAGATTATATTACAGAATCACCCAACTGAATGAATTCAATAGAGAGAAAAATTAATAGGGATTATTACCTGAATAGGGAATAGGAGGAGGATGAGATTATCGCTGCCATCTCTATTTGAAGAAGCGATTGCGCAGAATTTCAATCAATAAACCCCAGCTTGGATCGGACCACACTTTGAACCGGATCACCAATTATTCGGGTTGGATGGGGGAGGATATCTTGACAGTGGGAAATACTACATGAATATTTGTCCTAAATCGAATTTAGATGAGAAAGTAATTGGGTATAAATGTGTCGACATATAGTATACTCAATAGTTTGAGCTTTGAGTATATGGGTAAGTGTCCACCCATTACAGTTAGCATCGTAGCCAGATTCCGTCCTTGATTCGATGCCATGTTAAATGCTCGACATAGACGTTACGAGTTTGGATGGGGGAAAATATTATTATAAGGGGATATTTGTCTCACATCAGATCTGGATGGAAAAGTGATTGGGTATAAATGGGGTGGTAGGTATGCAACATACCTAATAGTTTGGGCTTTTGAATAAATAGACAAGTGCCCACCCATTTTAAAAAATAAATAAAAATCTAACTCATTAGAGGTAAATTTATTTTGATAAGAAAAATAGATTTAAGTGTAATTTACTTGTTAGGTATTGAGGTATTTTATAACAAAATATGATAATTCAGGGGTATTATATTTTTTCCTAGTTGGTACTCATACACACTTGTCTCTTCTAAGACTTGAACCCCTGACCTCCCTTTAGAAAGTAAGAGGCGGTATACTGATACCATTAGGCCACTGACTCGTTAGTTTCAGGTATTATAGAGTTATTTACAAATTCAAATATAATTTAGAGACAATTTTTTGCACTTTACACTGTTTAATAACATCATTAAGGCTGTTTTGTTTGGATGTAAAATATTTTTTAGAAAATATTTTTTTATTTTCTGGTGTTTGGTTGTCGTAAAATATTTACGAAAAAAAATTTAAAATTTAACAAAAAAAACTTATCCATCAATTTTTGAGAAGTTATTTTACATATCCCACCCGATAGAATCGACTTCAATTTCAACGTAAACCTTTGCCAAACACAGAAAAAATGAAAAATATTTTATGAAGCCTAAACATCTTGTTTCTTTGGCAATCGATTTTGAACCTTCTTTCCGTACTTGGAGGAAATGGTAAATGTTGAAACAAAGAAAGCCAATAATAAAATTAAGGCTAAAGTACACTGACCTCCCTTGAGGTTCAGTCAAGTTACACTGACCTCCCTTTTTATTTGACAAATTACACCAACCTCCCTTCAAGTTTAAATCTTTATAACAGAGAGTACCCCTCAATTAACTGCCGTTAAATGTCAAGGCCCAGTCAATGTTAGTAATTGCTGATGTAAGTTTAAAGTTACTAAAGTACCCTTTTAATTATTATGAAGACAAATTTAACCTTACTTACTGAAGTAAAATTACTTAAAAACCTTCCATGGTTGCCATTACATTGGAGCCTTTTGGGTTCCATGCAATTTATTAGAATCTACTGGAGCCACCGGTACAAGCTCTCTCCATTAGACCTTTCAAAAAGAAAAACCTCTCTCGACTAAGTAATTTTCATTGGATGGTTCTTGTACTCCACTCTACATAATAAGCAACTGGCTTTTTTTCTTTTTTCTTTTTTTCCTCTTCTCTCTTTTAAACTCACCATTGAGTTACTTCATTTAATGTATTCCTTATTATGTAGAGTGGAGTATAAGAATCATCCAATATCAACGCCACCAGAAAATAAATTTTCTAAGTGTCTTGGTTTTGGACTTCTTTTGTAACCAAATGCAATTGGATTAATTATAAATGGAAGGTGGAGAGGATCTACTACAACCAAACCTCTAATTATATATAATCCAATTGATTATTTGGTGTGTTTGAGTTTCAGCACTAAATTTGAGTTTCTGCCTTCCTATACCCTCATTGTTGTCACCAATCAAACCCAAAATATATATACACCAAATCAAACAAATATATCCTCTCTCTCTCTCTCCCTCCTCTTAAATTGTTTCTTATCAAACAAATATATTTAAGTATATATATATATATATATATGTCTCCTTCCAAATTGTTTCTCTTTGACATAAGGATAATTTTGTCTTTTCAATGTATTGATGCGAAAATCCTTGTGACTTAGAATGACGGTGTTTACCTACAAAACAAAGGCACGTCACCTCGAATGGCACCAGTGGGGTGCCAGCCGAGGACCCTCCGACAATCAAGTTAGTACTTGTAATCGTATCACATAATAATTATGAAATATTCTGTTTAGGGGTTTTTCCTCGTACCTTCTTTAACGGCTCGGTGCTCTATTTATGGTTGTCGATTGGAATCAAATTAGTCTCGCAGGAGATCCGCTTGTGCGAGATAAGAGGAGATCGTTTGTTGCCAGATTTGTCGAGGATGTGATTTACTCCTTTGACTTTCTCAAATTGTGCCCAGGTTATCCTTACCCTATTGAACTATGCCGTCACTCATTATCCTGGATAAGAAATGTTATCATTCTTATCCGATAAAAATCTTTATCTCTGATAACGAAGCATATCGAAGAGGTCTAGCGGCTGGTCAAGGTAGGTTAGGTTTATTTTTCCCTATCAGTTGCCCCTTATTCCCGAGCTTGCTCGTTTAGCTTTGGGAATGTAAATTTTTATTTTTTATTTTTTTATTTTTCCCTTCCCTGAGGGAACAGTGCCCGCGGGTACTATTCATGTGAACAGTATTTTTTATTTTTATTTTTTTGCCCTAGGCACTATTCCATCGGGAAAGTGCTCGCGGGTACTGTTTATGTGAACAGTAACTACTTTTTTTTTTTTCTTTTCGCCCTGGGTACTATTTTTGGTAACATTGGGTAATCTTCCCCTGGGTACTATTTTTGGTACCCTTGGGCAGAGTATTTTTGGTACCCTTGGGTATTACTTTTGGTACCATTGGGTACTCTACCCCTGAGTATTATTTTTGGTACCCTTAGGTAATCTTTCCTTGGGTACTATTTTTGGTACCTTTGGGTACTCTGCCCTGGGTACTATTTTTGGTACCCTTGAGTATTCTTCCCTTGGTAAGGGAATAAATTGTACGAGCTTCACTCAGGTCGTCACTTCTTTAATAAGGGGATTAAATTTTACGAGCTTTACTCAGCTCGTCCTTTTAGTAAGGGATTTTTATTTACTATACCTCATAGTAAGGGGATATTGATTACGGGATTCATTCAGTCCGGGTCCTTGTAGTACAGGACACTTATTTACTATCCCTTATAGTACTGGGATATTAATTACTGGATTCATTCAACCCGTGTCCTTGTAGTACATGACACTTATTTACTATCCCTAATAGTACGGGGATATTAATTACGAGATTCATTTAGCCCGGGTTCTTGTAGTACGGGACATTTATTTATTATCCCTTATAGTACGGGGATATTGATTACGGGATTCATTCAGCCTGAGTCATTTTAATACAGGACACTCATCATCATCCCTTGTATCTTTTTAGTAAGGGAATTAGATTTTTGTCAAGCGTCGAGAATGCCAAGTCCTATTGAGCTAAGCATGCTTGATGATTACTTTTTTGCCCCTTTTAATAAGGGAAGTGGATTTGCTTGAGTGTTGTGAGCTCTCCCTTTAATAAGGAAGTAGTTAACCCGTCGTCTCTTTACCGAGGGAAGAAGATGAAGTTGACCCTTCGTTCCTTTATGGGGAAAGAGATGTAGTCTGAAGGAGGGTAACCCCTTTAATATGAGAAGTAGTCGTCTTGTCTTTCTAGTAACTGAAGGAAACTTTAATTATCTCATCCTTCTGCGTAGAAGGAGTAGCCGGCTTCTTGTCCCTTTAATGAAGGAAAAATGTGTTATTGGCTTCTCGTCCTGGACGACTAGTGCCCTGGAGGGGTCGCTAAAGGAGAGAGAGACTAGAAACTCGACTAGCTCGATATACCAATGTTGGTACGTCAATCTTCTAGACCTTGTCATCATATGCAGATCGACGATTAATATCGTGTGATCCACTATTCTGCCCCCGATGGTGGGATCTTGGGTGATGACCCATTCTATAGATGTTTATACAGCGGACGGGGTGCCTGGTGCTGCAACAATTTACAGTTGTCTAAAAATATTAAATTGTGTTAGAAATGATTACTGAAAATTAACCTGCCATGGATTATCAATCCAAAATTCTACATAATCTGAAGTCGATAGGCAATTGCTGCAAAGGAAGAGAGGTGACGACTGTCATCTGGTAGGTGGAGGCTTGGTGTCCAGCGATTGGCGTAATGGGGGCGTGGTACCCAATGGCTGACAGATAATGGTCTGGTGGCCAGTACCTCGTTGGGTCCAATGATTGCACTTCACTTAGGAACCTCCTTGGAAATACAGACCTCATGGGATCTGGAGGGACATTAGACCTCCTTGGACCTGAAGGCCTCGATACATTCTTGGGTGTAGAAGGCCACCTTGATTGCACGAACAGACGGAGTAATGAGACTTTGTTGCTAGAGACATCCTCAGTGGTAGAGGGTTTACTAGTAGGTAGAAACCCCCTTGTTGGTAGTGATCCTCTTGAGGGGTGGAGACCAACTCACTTATGTAGGCGTAGAAGGACAAGGCTTTAGTCTTCAACGATCAGGCCTTGGTAGTTAGCTGCTGTCAGATATGATATTGAGTTTGGTCTTAGACGACCAAACCTCAGTAGTGAGGGGACCAAGCATCGCTAGATGGAAAATACCATACTGGATTGCTTGGGTCGACGTGCCAAATTTTGATTATTGTCATCGTACACTAGATGGCATCACGCAACCCACCGTTTTGCCCCCAATATGATGGACGGGTAATCATGATGTAGAGATCCGTCCTTATATAAGAACATGGAAACCCGTTGTCAACTGATGACTTTGGGATGGTTTCCATGATCGGAAACTTTCGTCTCGCTGTCTGAGCCAAGTCGCGTTAAAATTATTATTTCTTCAGAGAACTAATCGTTTCCCACAGACAATGCCAGCTGTTGATGCAAAAATCCTCGCGACTTGGAACGACGGCATTTACTTGCAAAACAAAAGGACGTCACCTCGAATGGCACCGGTTAGTACTTGTAATCGTATCATATAATAATTATGTAATATTCTGTTTAGGGGTTTTTTCTTGTACCTTCTTTAACGGCTCGATGCCCTATTTATTGCTGTCGATTGGAATCAAATTGGTCCCGCAGGAGATTCGCTTGTGCGAGATCAGAGGAGATCGTTTGTTACCAGATTTGTCGAGAATATGATTTGCTCCTTTGACTTTCTCAAATTGTGCCCAGGTTATCCTTACCCTGTTGAACCACATCGTCATTCATTATCCTGGATAAGAAATGTCATCATTCTTATCCGATGAAAATCTTTATCTTTGATAACGAAGTACGTCGAAGAAGTCTGGCGGCTGGTCAAGGTATGTTAAGTTTATTTTTCCCTATCACAATGTTCATCCTTTCGTAAATAAAATACAATAAATATAATGAGGACATATATATAATTTCACTTGAACAATTAACACCATCCACTTGACAGCTATAACAAAGAAGTTGGTGTAATTTGACAAACAAGAGGGAAGGTCAGTGTATATTGATGAAACCTTAGGGAGGTCAGTGTAATTTTCTCTAAAATCAATGCAACAGAGAATTTTAAAAAAAGAAAAAAAAAAAGAAAAGATACCAACAGAAATTTATGAAGTCATTTGCCGTGAGCAAACAAAAAAAAGGCAGTGACATAGGATGGAATTCTGGTGTCAGCCCTGATCCCACCACCTCACTCATTATTCAAAAAAAATTAAAAAAAAAAATCATTTCTTTATATCAAATATACTTGGTTTGAAATAAAAATAAAGCAGAATGTTCGTGACTGTGATTTTCAACATAGAAACCATGATACCTTAACCAAATGGAAAGTTACATCGACTTTCTGTCTTATCTATAAAAGAGAGCATGAAAATGAAGCGGCATACAAACGTCATCTTAAATAGGACACACCAACTACGTCAACATTTTTTCTGCATTTGCTCTCTCAGACCTCCAAGAGGGCCGTAACCTTTCTCCCTCAGATTCTGTGTTTTGCTACAATTACAACTATCAGTGTTGAGATTCGCACCGCACTTGAGACACAAACCTTTGCACCTTGGATCGCATAGCGCGTTAATGGTGATTTCTATGTGCACCATGTCTCTTATATGCTTTGAAATGTCAATTTCTTTTTCTTCGGGGGGAAAATACAGCCTGTCATCTAAATCAATTAAAGCTTCGTCATCATCTTCTTCCTCTTTGATACTTCCTGAATTTTTGAATATGTCTTCACCAAATATCACTCCCATATTAATAGTATCTGGTTCTTCAATGGGTTCTTCAGTTAGTAACAGCGTGAAATTCGAGAATATGCACTTAGCAGCTGGCTCACCACATCTTCAACATAAAACAAAAAGCAAGATCAACATTCATGATGAAAGGAATAGAAAATATCATACATGTACGAAACCACGAGCAATTAGGCAAACTTGACAGCATGCTGTTTTGTTGTTCAAATTACCAGCATAAGGAAGAATAAAGAGGTCACATAAAGAAAAGTAGTCGATTTTGTTTCTTCATAAATTTTAATAGCACATATTCATGTTTCAAAATGGGATCCTTATGAATGAAAAGACAAAAGGACAAATTACTACACATGCACAAGTTCAGGGAATTCATTGAAGGGGAAAAAACACAAAAGAACAAGAAAAATGGGATACATATACATACATACATATCACGTCCACAAAGATGATCTTTCAGTTCACTTAAAAATGTTCTCCATTGGAAATTAAAAAATGCCGGTTTAGTTAGCCATGGCCTGATGATACTTCCTCACCTTCCAAAATAGAAGGTTGAAGGTTCAGGTCCCCAAAGGGGCAGAAGTGGGTGTACGTGTCTTTCTTGCCGATGAAAAAAAAAGGAAGTTACAAGCCAATGAACACAAGTAAATTATTTGCAGAAAAATAATAAAATCTTTAGTGCTTACAAAAGATCAGTGAAGAATTTATACCCCAACTAATCAAATAGGATTTGCATTGTGAACTGAGTCTACAATTATGCATCCAGAGAAGAAAACCAACAGAGAAGGGTGATAGAAGAAAGCTAACGACTTCACAACACATGATACCCTACTCCCATCTCTATTTTTTTTTGCCAACTAAGCAATGGTATGTCAATAAATAAATTGATACATTCATTATATTCATATATCACAAAAAATCATTACTGTTTCCTTATTAATTTTTCAGGTAATATAATACTATCTGAACATACACCAACTCCATGGTGATTGCAACTGCACCAGCAAGACAATACAACTGCGTGCATGATTCCCCTCTTTTTTCAAACTTTTTTTTTTTTTTTTTTTTGTGGGGTGGGGGGCGTTCAGACAATAATATGAAGTAACCCACTAGGAAGTGGTAGCAACTTTACCACCAAGATATTGTCAATTGTGCATTAATATGAAATGGAGATAGTTATCTGATACCGGTAAATATTTGTTACTCACAATACTATAATGAAAAGTAGTTTTCACAAACATATGAATATTTGTCATATCACTTAGTAACGTAATGCAGCCTAGTCTGTCTGTCTAGAAGTAAGTTGTTTAGCAAACAATTCTGTTCTGTTCAACCCAATTTCTTTCTTAATCTTTCAGAAACATCAAATACAAAATATTTATGATTTCTTTCACTTACGAAAAGCCATTTGCTTCTAGAACAAAAAGTGTTCCAAATGGAACTTTCTTCATTTGGACAGTTATGACAGATCAGGTTCGACTTAGCAAGCAGTGAATATAATCATTTCTTCATAAGCTTTGTCACAAAACAATAACAAATCCATATATATATTTTCTTTAATGGAAAACATAAACGAATCCTTAATCATTCAGGAAACAGAGAAAGGGCTAATAAAATATTATTAACAGCATACTTTCTTAGAAGGACACATATATAAAACATCTAACCACCCTAACACTTTTTACGTCAGACTTATTTACTATTTCTAACTAAAACACAAAACAAGAAATGAGTTGAGAAGTAGTCACATCAATAAAAACCAAAGCAAAACTATAAAAACATAAATTTTGGGGTTGTACTGAAAAAAGAAACGCAAACTTGATGATTAAATAGAATACCTGTTGCAGCCCAGAGTGATTACAGTTCGTATGATCCCATCGAGTCTCAACTTCTGCTTCTTCCTTGTTACATCAATGGAGATAAGAGTAGGTGTTCCAAGCGGAAAATCCTTCACAGCTTTTGTGACACGTAATCCCATTACTGAAGCCCGAGATTTTGAAATCTTGGTTGAAAGCTTCCCTAACCCAAGTCTCTCTAAAGTTGTGCAGTATTCCACATGTGAGATTGAAGCTTCTCTCTTATAAACAACTGCCCCTTCCCATGGTGATCCCATATCATCAACGTCCCCTTGTTCTTCACTTCCCCAATCATCGCCAATTGGGCTTTCCTCACCAGATAACTCATTACTGAGATTTGTGCATTCTGTAGCTATAAGCTTCAAGGTACTGGGTGGCCTGTTTTTGAAAATTGTACTTGTAGTTATGGTACCAGAAGGTAAATATCGTTGTGCATTGTAATGAAAGAAAATGAAGTTTGGGTTTAGAGAAGCATTTCTTTGGAATTTCATATTATATCCCTTAAACAAGGTAATATGAGAACATGAAGCTATGGAGGATGAGGAGAATACAAGCGACATCTCTCTCTCTCTCTCTCTATTTGGTTTGAAACAACTCTTTGGAATTCAGCACCCAAGGTTTCCGGATAATTCGTCAAGTTGACACGTTTGAAACAACTCTTTGGAATTCAGCACCCAAGGTTTCCGGATAATTCGTCAAGTTGACACGATATATTGACAAAATCTGGGGACGGGAAACTATTAGGTGTTGGGAATACTTTAAACTATTCTTTTGGTAAAACCATGACGAGGTCAGAGTACAAATGATAACAAGCAAGCCCTGTGGCAATAATGGTACAAGTTAGAATAAGAAAACAGGAAGCGATTTATATTCAAATTTAGAAAGAGAAGCAACTGAATAATTTCAATATGTGCCTAATCATTTAAGTTACATATTCAATTTAAATATTACTATTAATACCATGCATTAACAAGAACAAACACTACGATGTATAGACAGCAATGAACAAGAATAGGAGCTATTGGCGGATATGCTAGTAATGAGAAAGCAGACATTGGCATACTCACATGATATAACTGGTTTCCTCAAAGAAATAGAGTTTGCTTACAAAGTGTTGGTACAGACAGAAAGCAACTGAAAAGTATTAAAGACAAATATATAATCAATGGGATATGTTTGATATCATGCTGATGTTTTATTTATCACACTATATCATCGACATAAAACGGATATTGAGATAAATATATGTTTTAAATGTTATAGGCACTGATATGAGGAGTTACTGGAAGAAAATGACAGTAAAGATTCAGCAGTGGCTGTCACATAATGGTAAAATGTTCCTGAGAGAAATTGAAACATTAAAATTGACAATGTATAAGAAATTTACATTCACCTCATTCTGAACATTTTTAGAGTTATTTTCTTGGAATTATCTAAAATTTTCATTTTGGTGGTTAATTACAAAACAATAGATAGTAAATTAACTAACAGATTTTTCTTAAATTTGAATAACTTCACTCAGTTTGGAAGAAAGGCAAGCCATAAATCCCTGAGACATGGACATTTTTCTAATAAAAATATTTAAATATTTGCCTTGTCATGAAATAAATTTCAGTATATCTTTTTGCTTGCATTATTACTTTGGAGTGCAGCCATCCAATTTATGAATATTTCACCAATAATGGAGTTGTGGATTGTGAGAATGGAAAATGAAGTTTTTTTTTTTTTTTTTGGGAGAAATAATGGGAAGTGAAGTTGATGGATGGAATTTGAGGTTGGAAATTAAGCAATAAATGTATTAAATTAGAACTAATTGAATATGAAGTGCAAGATGGAGTACCGATTGATCTAAGGATGACCAGAAATCGAAGCGCGCATGATGTGTGTGTGTGAGTATGAGAGAGAGAACGAGAGAGAGAAAGAGAGAGAGAGAGGAGGAATCTAATGTACGTACCGGAGTTTTGCGAGGCGGAAGAGACGGCAGCAGCGGCCACAGGCGGTGAGAAGGTGTTGTGGAGAAGAGGAAGAGGGCAGTCGCCAGTCCCAGTGGCTTTGAAATTTGTAATTGGGGCACGCTTTTACCTTAATAAAAGAGATAAGGAACGAAAAAATATACTAAAAAAAAAATGAACGGTTCTGATGCACCAAAATAAGAATCAGACGACCCTTGAGGAATGCAATAGTATTCCATTATAAAGGGATCGCCACCACCGTAGTATTTCTTGCACTCTGTTTTATCTTGAGATGGCTAATTCTGTGGTGACCGTGAGAGACAGAGAAAGAGAGTCCAAAAGATGGCCGCTGCTTTTCTACTGCAACTCCCAAACAACTTCAGGAACTTCTCCGTTTCGGCATCCTCTAACGGTACTCTCTCTGTCTATATATACATATTATATTATATTACACAAGTATAGTAAGTATGTTTGATGGGTTGGAGTTGTTTTAGGGGCTCCTCCCGGTGTTCCTCAATCTGGGGGTCCAGTGATTGTGGAGATTCCACTGGATAGAATTCGAAGACCACTGATGCGTACCAGAGCTAACGATCCACACAAGGTCAAAGATCTCATGGATAGCATCAGCCAAATCGGCCTTCAAGTACCTGTAAGTATTTTTCTTCATTTGGTTCAAATTACTTGCACTTTTCTATAATTCTATCATTCAGCTATGTATTGCTACATAGCTGTTGAATACTGTGCTTATGCTTATGAATTTATAACTGTGGAAGTAGGTATTAGCTTAAAGAAGAGTGTTTTTTATTTTTATTTTTTTTTATTTCCTTTTCTTTTCAAATTCGATTCACACCATCCACAGGACCACAATTTGCACCTAGGGTTATGATGTCTCGAGTGTGATATTATGCTGTCAGTCACAGCATTTGTTCTATGTGTGATCAATACTTCCGGTACTATTACAAGTTACAACACTAAATTTTTACCTACCTCTTCCACAAAAAAGAAAAAGAAAAAATGATCATACTATGAATTTTTTAGGTTATCAAATTAGTTTAGGTAGTGTTTTTTGTAAAGATTTTGAGACATGGTTTATTATTCTTTAGATTTCACCGAATTTAGGGTGCTCCACTGAGTTTGAATGCCTCACTTAATCCAACCAAAACTTACTAAAATCATGCTGAGATTTTGGTTCATTTACATTCCCAGTACTTGTTCTGATCCATGATGCCAATTGTTCATGTCCAATGCCTAAATTTCAAGCTAACTTCCAAAGCGAAATATGTTAGTATCGAGACTATAAGCAACAAGAGATTCGACAAATCATGACATGTGAACTCACATGATTTTTGAATTCTTGTAACTTGTTAAATTCAGTGGTTGAGTTCTTGTGTTGAGAAGACAACCTTTAAATGTTAAGCGAAATACGTTAGTATTGAGACTATAAGTAGCAAGAGATTCTACAAATCATGACATGTGAACTCACATGATTTTTGAATTTTTGTAACTTGTTAAATTCAGTGGTTGAGTTCTTGTGTTGAGAAGACAACCTTTAAATGTTAAGCGGAATATGTTAGTATTGAGACTATAAGTGACAAGAGATTCGACAAATCATGACATGTGAACTCACATGATTTTTGAATTCTTGTAACTTGTTAAATTCAGTGGTTGAGTTCTTGTGTTGAGAAGACGACGTTTAAATGTTAAGCAAAACAATATTGTTGTAAACAATGAAGCATTACAATATCATAAAATAGAACTTTGAGACATGTGAAGGGCTTCAATTCTTACTGTTTTACCATTTGTCATGCCTTTCTGTCTGTTTTCTGTAATTGTTAATTGGAGGAGTTGAATATGTACCTATAAAGAAACATATTGATACACTTCCTTTCCTTTTACTTCTCCAAACAGAAACTATACAAATAAGATATTGATGCAACGGGACTCCCATGTGTCTGTATGTTATGCATGTCTTTTGTGTTGAATATGTACTGATATTGCTAGGTGAACTTGTACAAGAAGGATTTAAGTTATATTGAGAAGGATGTATAGTGTGTTGTGTGGTTTCTGAATACCTATCAAGTGAAAGGAAAACTTCAGTAACGCTGGCTATGCATTATGCTTTGAGCACTGGGTAGTAAGGAAATAAAATGCTTAAAGAAACAAGTGCAATTTAGATGTGAATATTGAGAGTGATGATTACCAATACAAAAGCATAGAAGCTAAGAAATGATACATTTTTGAGAATTTCTGGTCATTGGAGGACAAGATGGGAAAGATCGTTTAAGATGGAACATATGCAATGGAACTAAAAAAGGTTCTGATAACAGTGACTGGTTTGCTCCAACTAGAAGCTAATTTCTGTTGTCCAATTCCTGAGAACCTTGATTGAGATAGTGAAAACTGCACATCAAGTACTTAAAACTGCACATTGACTAATGATTCAATGTAACATTTGGCCCCTGATAGAGCCAAATGGCGAAAAAGGTTGATGTAACTATTGTTTTAGAGCTGGGATTTAAGGCTTTTTGAATCGGATTGAGTTGAATGAATTAGGATACTTTCTGATTATTAATTTGTTTCAGAATTCTTCCGCAATTTAAATTGTATCTTTTCTGGTAGAGAGCCAACAGAACTCAATTCTTCCTCAAATTCTTTTTCCTAGATGCCAATCTTTTTTGCCAGTATTGAATGGAATTTTAGGCTATTTTGTATAATTCACAGTTAGGGTTTTTAAGCCTTTATTTTTTAATATACGCAGATTGACGTGCTCGAAGTTGATGGAGTTTATTATGGTATGTGCTTATTTAAATTCTTCAAAGGAAATTATTAAGTACTAATATTTTTCCGATTCATACAATTGGGTAGTCAACTGTTTTAGAGAATATATCAATGTCACCCAACAAAATTGAGCCAAATCCATTAAAGACAAGGAATTCTTTTAGAGGCTTGAATCCCTCAGCCATCTTTTTTTCCTTCTAAACCATCATTCATATCTTCTTTTGTGAGAACCAGCTTGTTGGGACTTGAGCTCCTAACTTCAGTTCAGGAAGTGGTTGCGGGCACCACTGGGAGTGACTCAATTTCCTCTTCCGTATCTCACTACATATCTTATGGTCTCTAGGGATTGATTTAGCCACCCCCAACATGATGACCTTTAATGTGCCTATACATGATTAAAGCTTCTCATTCCCTTTTTGTACCTCCACAGGTTTCTCTGGCTGTCACCGGTTTGAGGCTCACCAGCGACTAGGTCTCCCAAAAATCCGTTGTAAAGTTCGACGTGGAACAAAAGAAACTTTGAGGTTTTTTTGTTTTAATTTTTTTTATTATTATTTATAATAATATCATTATCATAATCCAACAATGCTTATATGCTTCCATTTGGTATTCAACCAACAGACATTTTTCTATCTTGACGTTTTTCTTGCAGGCATCACCTCCGCTGAGTCATTGTGAGCTGTCTTCTCAGAGTTGGATTGGTGACTTGCATTGTGTGCGGTGTTTCCAGTATATTATAGACTATAGTTATAATTTATTATGGTATGGCTGTTATAGAGGCTTTGTAGTAATTATGTATAGCATGACAACTTAATTTATCTCAAGGGAATATGCTCGGATGTAAGCTGTTGTTATCAATAAAGACAATCAGAAAATTGTGATTGTTGTTGTAACTAATGAAAATAAGAAACAGACTTTTAAAAGTTTTTTCCATTCGGAAGGAAAATGATAGAAGATCTGATGTTCAGCCCATGAGCCATTCGACTCCAAAGTTCTTTCCGTTACTTCATGAAACCGAATATAAGTCGGGATTTCAGCTATATAGATAATGGTGGACATGCAGAGCATGCATGTCTTCAGGCTCATGGAAACCATGGCAGTTGTATAACCCTTGCAGAGTAGCACAAGACTGGGAATTGAGGTTGTGTTCAACTCCCAAGGGCATCAACCCTCCTTCCTGGAGCTTACTTGATATCTGCAGCAGTTTGAACGCTCTAGGGAGAACACCCTCCATCAACCCCGACAACATTGTCCTTGTTAAACTATGAGGGATAAAATGTACAAATTTAGCTTTTTTTTGAGGCATTGTTTCGAATAAGGTGATTACATTCTTGTGCTCCAACGTACATTTACTATACTTGGTACTGTTGCATCAAGCAAAGGTCTGTATCTGGTAACAATGAAAGAATGTGTTATTATAGATTTAGCAAGGAACAAATAGTTTACCACTTGTGCTACCGTTAGTTCCTAAATTATAATCCAAAAAATTAATAAGTAATTGCATGTGCCCATTTGCCTTGGTAATTCTTGAAAGGTTCGTTTGGTACTTGTGTAATCTAACCTATTATTGTAATAACAATGATCTTTTCCGCTTTCTACAGTATTGTTCCATATAATTTCCAAAATCAAGCAACACTGCTCATATCCAAAACTTCTCCATATGGAAATGGGTAAAATTCAAAATGCAAACTTCTTAATTTTGATAGAAATTTCAGAATTTAAAGAAGAGAAGTGAATTGGCAACACATGACTGGATAAAGAAACCTAAATAACAAATGCATACTTTCTTGCTTCCTTGATTTTAAAACACCACCTGTAAATGCACCAAAAAAAGAAAAAGAAAAACCTTTAGAAAAGGATTGCCTGCATCACACTGCAAGGTTTCACTCAATGCTTTGCATCTTCTTCTTCGCAAAACTTGGAATATTGATCCGAGTCAAACAAGGACTCCAATTCATCAGTGTTGCTCATCTCCACCTTTATAATCCACCCATTTTCATATGGACTCGAATTTACCTGAATCAAGAAACTACATGTAAAAAGCAAATACAACAAAGAACAAAAGTAGAATGTCGGAAAAAGAACCTTTATCTTATGATGCTTATAACCCAAGGGAAGCTTCTCAACCAATAATTCAAAATGAAGGCAGGAGACATGAAAAACTCTATGCGCACACAAGTTGGACCGACATTTAGAATGAGAGCTGACTCATATAAGTTGGTTTGGACAACTACATATAGAAATCACATTCGTACATTGGAAAACTAATCTGATAAAAGAAGTTAACAGAGAAATTTGTAAGCGGAAAGAGAGAGTAAAGGATAAAATAGAGGAAAGAGAACAAGACGAGAGAGAACTAATCTGTCTTGAGCTATATATAACTTGTTACTTACATTTGAAATAGCCAAAAAAAGTATAATCTGACACAGTAGAAAGGCAATTTCAGCACTCGAGGCCCATCACATAACGCGTTACAAAATGCATTCAGTCATATAAATAATAGGGAAAATTCTGTACAGACTCTACCAGACCACTGTTGCAAGCAACACTTGCCCTCATACCACATTTTTTGGAACTTCAAAACCTGATTAAGATGCGTTTAAAAGATTTTACCAAAGCATATAGAAACTAAAGCAAGTACAATCAAAGAATGTTTCAACTAGTTGCATTACTACAAATTGCAGAGACATGAGAATATCAACACGACCAGTTTCAGTTAAAGCAAAACCTTCAATACTAATTTAACCTGAAATTGCATCATATGAGAATGACACATTACTTTCCTAAGGCAATATCACAAGTAATAATATAGCCCTAGATGACTCACCAGACCAGGGGAGTTGTTGAGTTCTTCATTGACTTCGACCACTTTCCCTGAAATAGGAGAGTTGATATCACTAGTAGCCTTGACACTTTCAACCGCACCAAAACTGCCGCCCTGTGTTACAGCAGCCCCAACCTCAGGTAATTCGACATATACAACATCGCCTAAGTGATCCTGAGCATGGTCGGTTATGCCTACGATACCAGAGTTACCTTCAACTTTTACCCATTCATGGGAATCTGCGTACTTTAGATCCTTCACAACTGCAAGCAGGAGAAACAAGAAAGTCTTTATAAGATAGTACGTGGGTAGACTAATCACGTATTTCAAAATCATCAGAAGTTCAATTTAGGAAGCAAAAGATATAAGCATCACAGGACCTGCAAACAAATACAGTTCAACATATGTATTTGTGTGCGAGAAAAAAAGGATCAAATACAATATGAAGATGGCAAATGAAAATTAAAATCAGATACAAAAAATGCCAAAAAAAAAGAAAAAGAAAAGGGAAGCCCATTTATCATCTCTTAAATGGTTGAAGTCATCTTTAATCCGAATGGAACAAAAAAATCCATCATAATTTTATATTCCTGACTAGAAGAAAATAAAAGAAAAAGTAGTACTAACGAAACTTACAATCAAGGGAGGTTTTTATATAGAACATATTATAGCTCCTTAGGTAATACTAATCACCTTCTTACAACCCCAAAAGGGTTCCTAGGAAAACATTATTTGGAAGAAGTCCTCCTCCTCCTAAATAACAGAAGCATCACCTACAGTAAGCTATCCTCATCTCTAAGGTTCCATATATTAACTGCAAGAAGTTCTGCTTCATTATTGCTTAGCATTAGGTCCAAACAACAACCAGATGCCGTGAAATAATTGTATTCAAGAATAGTGAAAAAAATTAAAGTTCAGTCTAAATCTAGATCACCAGAAATGTAAAGCCTATATTTATTGGGAAAATAAATATCAGTGTGAATGTAAATACACAGAGTCATAAGGTGAACATCGCATTTGAAACATGAATGCTCCAATGATGCCGCATCAAACCACCGATAAGACACAGATGGAGGAATATCAAATATTCAAAGATGACACAAGGCATTAAGTTTCAACAACTCGATAATTTCTCCTTGTCAATCCAACGCAAAACTTGAATCATATCAAACCAACAACACATAATAATACCTACATGACATACCCATATCGAAAAGCCAAATCTTTACTTGAAAAAATGACAGATCAAGCACTTTAACAGACAAATGAACTAGATTTATACAGCTGAGAAGCAAATCAAGAAAGCGTGAAGGTGGGGATTTACCAGAAGAGAAGCCTCTGTGGAACACTGAGATCCTGAGGTATGAAGCAGCCTTTGATGCCCACACCCTTGACGCCATCTTACAATAACCCAAACCTCGGCCTCTCTACAGTAGAATACTACAACACACTCTCTTTCTTTCCGTGCCCCTCCCTCTCTCTCTCTCTTTAGGTGTGCAACATATTTGATTCTCGTTGTCTCGTATCAGAGTTGGAAATAAATAATAAATATACAGAAAAGCACAAACTTTTCAAATGGAAAAACCCAAAAAGAAAAAGGTTATACTAAATAAAAAGGTGGTGGGTCAACTTGTCAACAAACCCATTAGGTAAGTGAGGGTGAGGCCGCATCTTTTATTTTATTTTTTTAATGAGGGCTGGATCTTTGTCTCTGGGACAAAATGTAATGGGCAAATTTATAATGATTCTGGTGTCACCGGAATCTTTGGTAACATTGCAACTTGAAAGCTGTGTTTTTGCGGGCATGAAATGAATCGAATTTGATTTGATCTGAATCCAATTAGACTCCACGCATCAAATGGCAGTTCATAGCCAGAGTGACATCAGTTCCTCAACTCGATTCAATTTTCAAAATGGTTTCTAAAAGTGGCAACAAAATTAATTTTGAGCTGCAGATTCTTCTCGTGGACATTTTTCCTAGTTCCATGTATGTAACAACTAACAAGCACGGTTTACAAAATTTCCTAGCAGAGGCATAACTTATGGTAGAATGCTTTGAATAAAGATGGCAGGCATCAATTAAACCGGCAACTCAGTCTTCATATCCTTGTGCATTGTTCTAATTACTGTAGTAACTTGCTCGATCTGATCTTCATTTGAACAAGCTGACAGAAGTACTTTGGCAGTTCCTCCATCTGGGTAACAGCCATCATCAATCATTTCTTCAAATATTTCTAAGCATCTTTTGTATTGTTTCTTCCTAGAGTAGGCTCCAAGCCGAGAAGTCCAAGTCACCACATCGGCCTTCAAGTTCTTGATATGAAGCAATCTGAAAAGCTCTTCCATTTTATCTAAAAATCCTGCCTTTCCGTATGTATTGATCAAGATGTTGTATGTGCTGATATCGGCTTCATATGGTCCATTTTCCATAGCAGTTAAGACTTCCTCCATCTTTCCAAACTGGCCCATGCGACCATACAGGTTCAGCATACTGTTAAGAACAAAAGTATCTGGTTCAAGTCCAGAATTGTGCATCTGATTCACGATTTCTTCACACTTTGCCACGTTTCCAACTTTTGAAAATGCAGATAGCAGTAGCATGTGAGATTTCATTGTTGGAGTTATCCCAAGCCGCTTCATCTCTTCAAACACAGCTTGTGCATCTAAAACAAATATATAAAAACTAGAGTTAAACATAGGGGATGGCTAGATTCATGGAGGAAAACGAAAGTTCAAAAACACTGAAGCTCTAGAAGCATGTCATTACTTAATGCAGATGGAGGAACTGCCAAAGTACTTCTGTCAGATTTATGCAGTGTGCTTATGCCTCACAGCTGTGCTTTGACCTGCTTTGGCCAAAGTCTAAGAATTGAGGATACAGAATATGCGGGTTGAATGTGATTCTAATAACTTATATTGGTTGGCAAGGAACAACATAAAAACACCCATAAAAAAATTTTGAATTGTCATTTTTATATGAGTTGGATAATCATGAAAGATATATCTGAAAAGCCCACGTGTTTTCTTTTATAATGCAGCTAACATGAAGATCAGAATCAAAGAAAATGAGGCTTGTTGGTAATGGTCACATGGACCAATAAGATGCTTTAGATGACTGCAAAAACAATAGAGCGATCTCTGGAAAAATGTCACCCATACTGTTTATTGCATTTGAGTTAGCATGTTTGTGTATTAGTTTTATCAAGGGCACATATGCCTGTTTATGAGGGCGGGCATTGTTGCAATAGTAAGGTTGCTTCATTGTGACTTGGAGGTCATGAATTCAAAACAGAAACAATATCTCCGTATGTGGAGGAAAGACTGCGTACATTTGTCCCTCTCCGTATATGGAGGTAAGGCTGCGAAACAGAAACAACCTTTCGTGCCCTCTGGGCTACCTCTTTACATGTGCCCACTCATGAGGAGGGCATAACCACCATCTTTTACATAGAAGACACTTTTTTTTTTAGATCCATCGAAGCAATTAGTGCCATCACAAATATTAAAGTAAGAAATTGCAACCGCGTCCAAGAAATCATAAAAATGTTCCTGCACATGAACTTTAAAATGCGATGAAATTGACTCATTTCAATTTTCAGAAAACAAATGGGACTCTTAATAGACACTAGTTGATTTATTGGGTTGACTGTGCACATGCTCCCTAAGCTTTTCTATAAGGCTCTCTTTTTCCAGTTGTTACTCTATTAATTACTTCTAAAAAATTTAAGAGCAAGCTGGTAAGTCTAGATTGATATAAAAATTTGAAAAAGCTAACATACCATTTCGAATTTTTAAGCATACAAAATTTTAATGTCGTAATGCTTAAAAAGGCTGTAGACAAAAAAAAAAAAAAAAAAGGCCTAGAAAACTTACCATGCCTTCTCAAAATATAGTAGGATTTTTAGCAAAAATATAACACAACTAAGTATTAAGATCAATGACTGATAGAAAACATGGATAAACAAAAATAGCATGATCACTTATCGGTGCAAGTATTTACCCTCATGAAGACCAGCTCTACCATATGCATCCACCATGATATTATATGAAGCTCTATCCGGTTCACAGCCCATATGCTGCATAAGTGAAAATATCTCTGCAGCCCCATAGGGAAAACCTGCACGACTGTGAAACGAAGGTGGTCAAAAACTTCTGGGTGAATTTGGCTCAATTCCAGTGCAACCAACTTTAGTGGATGCTGGAAATTTTATGAATTTCCTATTCAAGGGTGCATGTGATAGAAAGACTGGAGCATTTAAGTTTCAAGGAATATATATATATATTTTTGCTCTAAATTGGCTCTTCTAAAATCGCCCAAGATTTAGGTATGACTAAATTTTAGCAGTCATTTCAAACATGATTTCTCAGCAAAATGACTTCTAATTGTGCTCCCCAAGAAAAGTAATATACTCGCTAGTTGCCACTAGAGAACATTCTTCCATGAATGTGTTTCAACCTACTGTCGCTCATGTTGTCTGAAATTATTTCTCACAAGTTGCAAGAGTGAGCTCAAGGTAAATTATCCATTTAAATGCTTCATGGAAATTGAACAGTTCCATGCCTTTTCACATAGGATTTAAGAAGAGCTCAACATGTTTCTTGTACTTCTAACGGCGTCTGTTTTCAATCGTATTTAAAACAAATTCACCTCATTCCTAAATTGTAATTACAACTTTGGGCTCTGTACCATTAGTTCAGTTTTTCATTGAAGTATGTGCTCAAGTACTAACAGATCAGAGCCATAAATGCACCAAAAATAAATGAGCTTTATTTGGCTACGATGTTTAACAACTCCAAGACCCAACTAATTGGAAACCTGGTTACAGCAATTATATTTTGTTGACTTATGTACTTTTTCACATTTTCTAATATTTAATAACATCCTTTACTACTATTAGGAAGCGATAATAAAACAAAGTAAATGATTCCCATTTCTATGGGACATTCAAACATCCCAGAAATGTTTTAGATAATAACCTGTAACCTTCCATGAGGGCATTATATGCATAAACATCAGGCTCATATCCAGCTTCCTGTAGCTGCTCAAATATTTCTTCTGCTTTTTCACAAAGTCCATCTCTAGCAAATGCATTCACCAGAGCAGTGTATGTGCAGATATTAGGTTGACACTTTTTACTTCTCATTTCATGAAACAACTTCAAGGCCATGTAGGACTGATTTGCCTGCATATTACAATAGATATAAACGAATTTGTATTTTTTGAGGAAGAAACAAACTAGTCAAGGCCAACATCAGAAATGAAAATCTTAAATCTTTACACCCAGACTCCAGAGCATTATATTACTTTAACAGATGCCTTGCAAGTAAAAGTGAGACCAAACATTACAACACCCTACTTTAGATATCTGCAAGGTGGATTATTAGAATGGTGAAATAATTTTAGATCCTTCACTTGGCGTTATAAAAGTTCAGAGATTTTATTTTCAAATAATAAATCCCAACAAAGTAATTCATTGCACTAAAGGCCTCATAAGTACCAACAATCATATGATGTATCCAAAATTTAGAGAACTACAGCCACTTATTTAATTTTGGTACTTTAGCTTTTGTGCTACACTTCTGAGGTTTTGATTTTAGTGACACCATCAAACCCTCCCAATGTTTTAAAAATTATCAGTGACATTTTTTAGTGATTCTCAGAGAATACTAATTTCCAGTATTAGAATCATCTATGTCAATGATAAACAATATACATAAGATGATTTCCGGTACTAAATAACTAAAAGAATACTAACTACACCTTTCCATATAAGTTGATCAGCATTGTGAAAGTGTCCGTAGATAGTTGACAGTGATCTCTCTTCATTCTTTCAAAGATCTCTACAGCTTTTTGAGAGTTTCTTCCCTTCATTAACCCATCAATGTAAGCATTGTATACAACTGTACCTGCATATAATTAAGAATCACTCAATTAACTTCCATTCCTGCTCAATTTATATGGGAGTAAATTTGTGCCAGCTGTCTGGCTGATTAAGTGACGGATAAAATTCACAATTTAAGGTGGATACAAGTATAATCCAATCACGACAAGATTTACATGGTTTAGCCACATGCTGCACTCTTTCTTGCATGTATAAGCATTCAAGGAAAAGGGGGCTAGGCATGATATATGAGAACTGAGAATCTGTTTCAATGGAAAATGACCAAAATTATAGGTCTGGAGACTTTGTACGACTTCAACATAGGATGCTTCAAATTGCCACATACGGACAGAGCCACTAATTTATTTATTTTCAGTGGGGTCTAATTTAATTCGGCAGAAAGACTGAAAATATTGTTCTGCAACTGTAAAACAGTATAACTTCACCCAAAAATGACTATTAATGCAATATATAAAATAAGGACTTTGAAATTCCAAAGGGAGCCTTGCCCCTTCCTTTGTATGAGCCCCTGCCCTGGCCATATAGCAAAGACAAGAACTTCATCTTCTAAAACTTTTCCTAATTAATTAGCTTTACAGTTTTTCCTAAAAATTCCAAAGGAAGCCTTGCCACACTTCCTTTATATTATTAGATGCCAGCCATGCAACACGAGTTACAAAGGTTTTGGCTAAGAACGTAAATGATTTAGTTTATGTGAGAGAAAGAAAAAAAAAAAAAAAAAAAAAAAAAACACCCTACCATTAGCAGGTTCTAATTGTGCATGTGCATTATCTTCTGAAAAGAATAATAATTAAAAAACAATAAAGAAAAAGTGTTGAAAGTTCAGGAAAGAATTATCTAAGAATCAAATGCATCAAAAACACAATTAAGCAACCATACAGCATATCACGCATAATGCTCCGCTATAATAATCATAAAGAAGTATTAGTGCATACTAAATTATGAATGGAATTGGGATATTAGAGCTGGGAAAGGATTTAAAATTTCCAAAAAGGTTTTCTAAAAAGATTTTTTATTATCAGGATAGCATTTATAAGGTAAAAGAATAATTTTTTAATATAAAAAAGAGTAATTTCATATTTACTCATTGTCCCAAGACCCTTTCTGGATGTAACATTCTTCAAAATATGAGTGGCCATTAACCCATAAAAAACATACTTGGGGGAAGACCATTTTTCTTCATCTCAGCAAAAACAGCTTCAGCTTTCTCTAGTAATCCAGATTTACAGTACGCACTTAGGAGAAGTGCATAAGTATCTTCAGTAGGGATGCACCGAGCTTCAAGAAGTTCTAAGTAAGTAGATTCTGCCTTCTTATACAGTAACTTCTTCCCATAAGCATCTATAAGCAAATTGTAGCAAATGACATCAGGCTGGAATGAGCTCCTGTACAATATCCATTCACACATCTGGAAAGATGCTTGTTACATCCAACAAGATCAATAAGATGGTGAAACTTTAAGATAGATTAAGTGATGAAAATTAAGAAATAGCAAATGGATTCACTTACTAACATCTAACTAATCCCCACAAAATAAAAAATAAAAAATAAAGAAAAATGATCAACTTTGAATGAGACAGACAAGACAGAGGCCAAAAGCAATCTGTAAAATTAATATATACGGTATATTTTTTCTCTATAGAGGCTTTTTTGAAATTTTCATATTTTCCCAAAGCAAAATCTTTGGCATTCAAACTGAACTGGAATTGGGATATAATATAAACCATTGATAGCCTTCCCAAATGATAAACATTCAAGGTGAGCAAACCAAATAAAACGAATTACTTGCAGATTATTCCAATTTGGAAACTGATAAATCCCAACATAAAATTACATGTGAATCCTTATGCTACTGTGAACTGAAATCAGTAACCACACCCGCCCTCTGACCCAATAAAATAAAAGCAGGAAAAAGAGTATATGGTTCTTACCAGCATGATTGGATCCCATTGTTTATTCAAACGAAGTTGAACAGCTACATTAATAATATCATCCCATGTGGTGTTAGTGGGAGGAAGAGTGTCAAGAGAATCCCAAATTCTATTAGAATCTACTTCCTTCTGCACAAAATTTAGAATTTGCTGAGCAATGGGGCTTAAGACTGGGAAAATACCATCGACAAACCCAGATCCATATTTCCATCCTTGACCCCGTAAAGAACCACCTATACAAAAATGATGAATTAAGCATTTACAGGTGATATATTCTTTGACATATGAATGAAAATGATTGTGCTTAAACTTTGCAGTACCCCTTTTTCTAGAAACCTTTTTGTGATTAAAGCTTCTCAATTTGCCACGTTTATCGATGAAAAGACTATCACGTTTGTACTTCTGAATAGATTCATCTTTAGAGCACTTGACTCTACATCTGTTATCACTCTTACAACTTCTTGGCCCAATGAAAATATAATTCACTGTGCATTTGACAATCAACCTACAAAATTCCAGTAGAAAATAAGCAAAGGATCACATTAGATCTAATATCTGAAATGTCTTACAAGTTGAGCTTTCACTAGAGACTACTATGTCACGCCCCGCCCAAGGGAGGCCCCGTGACAACTAGCTCAAGGAGGCAACAAGAATAATACCAAAATATATATATATATATTGAATGACAAGAGATGCCATTCCACTTGAGATATAAAATGCAAACATGAAGAAGATATGTTTTAGCAAGATTTTAGCAAAAGGCCTGGAATTTTTCATTCTGCATCTGGAATTACGCATATATACTAGTGCGAAGAAATAAGTTATCAACAATAAACCTACAAAAGTTGAGTGGAAATAAATATATATTTGATCACTATTCCATATTATCTTTCATACGAATTACTCTCTAAGTACACATTTCACTGAAAGCAATCAACTAGAAGAAGTAATCAGGAATACAAGGATGGTTCATCCAAACAACAAGTGGACATAAGTTTTAGATCTCTTTCAGTCCAAAAGGCAAACACGTTGTGTACAAATCCAGAACATAACTATCACTTGCTGCAATATACTATTTGATAGTGCGTCCTAGGACAAGGCAATAAACCAACAAAAAGTGCATGAACAACATTTCAAACTAAGAAGAGCCATCACCAAATATATAAATATTATGAAGGTTGTATAAAAGTAGCAGCAGTAGGAAATTGGAATACATGGGAATTGTGGAACAAATAAAATAAAATTGGAATGCATGCAGAAAGTGAGAGAGGAGAGGAGAGGAGAGGAGAGGAGAGCAGGAAAAGGATAAGACTTACATGAATACATAACATATATGAGGATGAGGTCAGTCCACTCCCAATTGGGATCTTCAGCGCTCAATAATATATACATCACTAATATATATATATATATATATATGTATGTATGGAGGATGATGGGTACCATACCACTATACCGTTGTTGTTGTGACTAAGATACTCACACACATATGGATTATGGACAATGAAGCTGGTAAAAATTATAAGTATTTTAATTGGAATTCTTTTTTCACTGTTGTAACAGCAAGATAGAACTATTCTGATAGGCAAAGCGATGCGTGTATGTGTTGTTTACCTAGAGAGATAAAAAAGAAATAAAAAAATAGTCTTTCTAAAAATTCTCAAAAATTGTTTTTCAAAGAATTAAACAACTTTAAATATCAATCAAGTCCATAGGAAACGCGTTACCACTCCCAACCCAGTGTTTGAAAACAGTTCTTTTACCATGTGGGACAGAAGTAGCACCCTCTCGGCATTTTGGATATTTGACGGAAACAAGATGCCTTTCCTGCCCTCAAAGCTTCCCATACCTGAAAACACCCACCTGAAACTCTCTTTCTCTCTCTCTCTCTCTCTCTCTCTATCTACACACATGTATGTATATGCTTGTAAATTATTTTTAATGAATAACTGACATTGTCCACGCTCCCCATCCCAGCCCAATGCTCAGGAACCTCCGCACACGGCGGAGACCCCGTTACGGCGCACATGTGTGCGCCGTCGTCGCCGCTCTCCTCCTTCTCCTATCAGTCTCTCTCCTCCACAGTCGCCTCGGCTCCGACCGACGCTCTCACTATCGCCCCCACATTCGCCATTCCGAAGACGTCGCGGATCCGGTGCTCGACGACGCAGATTTCGACGATCGCTCCACCAATGCTTCCGATGACCGGATCGACGTGCTCGACGTCGTTCAGGACGACTCCGACCTCTCTAAAGATTCTGACGAAGAAGTGATTCTCAGAGGAGTAGATTTTGAAGATGAAGAAAATGACCAGTCTAGGGTTTCTGGGTACTACTTCGATCACGTTACTGGGGTCATTCGCCGAGCTCTCGATAAGCGCTCCATCGATCAGTGGGAGGATTATGCTACTTTCGGTACCAATTTGCATTCGGAGGATCGAAGTAGGCTTGCATTGGGTTCGGACGACATGCCGGTGGATGAAAACGTGAGGAGGAAGATGGGAGAGGTGAACGGGATCGAGGACGCGCTTCTGTTGAAGGTTGGTTCTAAGGTTTCTCCATTGAGGGAGGGTTGGGGACCATGGTTCGATGCCAAGAGTGATTTTTTGAGAAGGGATAGGATGTTCAAATCCAATTTGGAGCTTTTGAATCCCTTGAACAATCCTCTTCTTCAAGATCCCGACGGATTTGGAGTCACCGGGCTCACTAGGGGCGATAAGCTCGTACAAAAGAGTTTGTTCACTGAGTTCAAAAAGGTGCCTTTTCTTGTTAAGAAACCATTGGGAATTGCAGAGCCAAATGGATTGAGACTGAAACCAGAACCCAAAGATGTCGTAGAGGATGTGATCAAGATAAGTGGTAGTAATTTGCATTTTAAGGCCGAGGAAATTGAGAGCATTGAGGAGGGAAGAAGTGAAGTGAAGAGGGCAGAGCGAAGAACTTTAGATGACAATGGTAGTAAACCTTTGTATAGTGAAGGAATTGTTGATGCTAGTAATGACTCTGCGAGTAAAACTACAATTGCAAATTCATCCATTAAAAGTAATAGGAGTGAGGGTATTCAACAGGAAATTCGTGTCAACATTAGCAAGGTTGTTGATTCATCTACTGGTCAATTAGGTGGCTCGAAGAAGAACGTGCAATCTAATGCTCAGATAAAATCCGACTCGTCTGGTCAAGTATACGCGGATGGCAAGAGATGGGGTCATTTTCCTGGCCTGCATCCTCGTCTTTCTTTTTCGAACTTCATGGATGCCTTCTTCAGGAAAGGCAAGTGTTCTATGAGGGTTTTTATGGTCTGGAATTCACCACCATGGATGTTTACTGTTAGGCACCAACGAGGCCTTGAAAGTCTTCTTTTCCACCACAGAGATGCATGTGTGGTAGTATTCTCTGAGACAGTTGAGCTTAATTTCTTCAATGGCTTTGTAAAGGAAGGGTAATTCCTCTCTTCAAAATTTCTAACCTTTATGCCTAATTAGGATTAGTCAAATTTATTTTCAGCTTTACAAATTTGCTTATTTTTGGGTAATTATATGGTTGTTTGTCCATTAAAAGATGGGCCTACTTGATTCAGTATGTTAACAGTCCATTTCATTGGACTATAAAACGAGTTTTGGAATTTAGCTGCCCACATTTCATGCTTGAACAAGCAGTACTTGTTTTTCTATGATCTAAATTAGGTCAAACAACATATGAAATAATTGAACAGTTTTCTTACCTGCTTCCCAGCTTCAAGGTAGCTGTTGCCATGCCAAATCTTGATGAACTGCTTAAGGATACACCTGCCCACATATTTGCTTCCGTCTGGTTCGAATGGAGGCAGACGAAATTCTATTCAACTCATTACAGTGAACTTGTTCGGCTTGCTGCTCTCTACAAGTAAGCTTGTTTAGTAATCTACACATCAATATATGTGAATCTTTAAATTTTGCATTAGAGTGAGGTTCTATGATTTTGTTTCAGACTAGCAACTATAAAGATTTTGGTTCTTTTCAATATCAATAGAGACACGAATGGACAATTGAATACTATGATATCTGAGGAAGGCATCATGACCTGGGAAAGAACAATGATACAGCACTAGAATAGGGAACTAATGATAAACATGATCTTACAGATGACAGTTGATGAATACTATAATTAAATAAAAAAATAAAAAAGTTCTAAAATTCTACATTGATCTAATAGGCATAAAACCTAATTGACGCATCTTATTCACCATATTTATCAAAACTGCAGGACGGGGTATCCCATGAGTAAGAGATGTTTTTAACACTTCAATTGAAGAATTGTTTTCAGTTTGCCCCAGATAATGGCAAACATGAGCAATGTTTTGTGGAACAAAGGCATAAACCAAATCTAACTACCTTTATGGTTTCATGTGTATTTTTAGGCTGAATCCTCATTCCCCCAATTGCTCACTTGTTAAAAAAGTTCTAATTGATGAGTGAGGTTGAAAAAAGGATACACTATAATAATGAGATACAAACACATCATAGGACATTGATTAACATTTCTGGTAGAACTGTAGAAGTGTGGAAATATAAGAGAGGCTCTTTTATAAATTTGTGCTCATACTTTCTATATTCCAATATTAATTTATTTTAATTTAAACAAAAGCACATGTCATTAGCAAACAGCATGCAATGATTGAACAGAATTGTGTTATTGTAAAAATTGTTCCCTTTTGATGTATTTTATTCTATTTAATGTATTTTTTGTTGTGTCATCCAGATATGGTGGAATATATCTTGATTCTGACATCATCGTTCTGAACCCATTATCTTCACTTAATAATACTGTTGGTATGGAGGGTCAGCTTGCTGGAAGTTCTTTGAATGGTGCTGTGATGTCATTTAGAAAGAGCAGGTACTTCAAACACTTGGTTTTTCCGTGCAGGAGAGTCCATTTTTTTTCTTCTTTATTTTCTGTTTTGTTTGTTCACAAGAATAGACCATCTATACTTTATGGCACATAATGTTAGGCAGCTAGGAAACAACATAGTCATAAAGTGAGTGTGGCGAAAATTCAAATGTTGAGATGGATGTGCGGTAAGACTACAAAGGATAGAATTAGAAATGATCACTTTCGGGAGATGGTTGTAGTAGTACCAATTGGAGATAAAATGAGAGAAAATCGGTTAAGATGGTTTGGACATGTGCAAAGAAGACATTTAAGTGCGTCAGTTAGGAAAAGTGACATAGTCCACATTGAGGGTAATACTAGGGGAAGAGGAAGACCAAAATTAATGTGGGTAGAATTCATTAGGAAGGGTATGATAGCATGTGGATTGCCTGAGGCTATGGCCTTAAATAGAGCGGAATGGAAACATAGGATTCATATAGCCAACCCCAAGTAGTTGGGATAAAGGCTTGGTTATTGTTGTTTGTTTACAAGAATATAAAGTACAACGAATTGTTGGGTTATGCCTTTATATTTCCCATGTAATATAATCTTTGTTTTCTCGTATGTAATTTGAGCAATATATACATTTGTGGTTAAACAATAAATATACTTGCCTTGCTTATCTGCTTATACATTTATGGCTTCTCAAATATTTTGAAAATTATACTTATAATATTGTGAACTAAATTATTATATTTTATTAAGTTGTGGCCTACACCTGTTCCTTAAATTGCATTTCTTGGAGTTTTCAGAAAGGGTGGTGGGAAGTGAGCATGAGGACGCTTGTTTATACTTTAAGAATAATGTGTTGCTGTAGTACAGGTCTATTAATTTTACTAGCGTTCATGGAAAACCTATATTCTGGCAATTGTTGATACTTTAATACTATGGAAAAGTTGGGTGGCAATCAATATAGAACTTCAATTTTCCTTACTTTCTTGTGCTTTGTTAGATTTGAAATTTGTTTATGTTTCCATGCAGTCCTTTCATAATGGAGTGCTTGACAGAATATTATTCAACATTCGATGATACCCGATTGAGGTGGAATGGGGCAGATCTATTGACAAGGGTAGCTAGAAATTCTTTGTGGAAAGAAAATATTTCTGATAATTACAGGGAGCTGAAATTGCAACCTTCTTTCAGTTTCTTCCCTATTGGTCGTAACAACATCACAAGGTACTGTTCCAAATCATACATCTTCATGCAATTGTGCATGTGTACAAAGGCATTTATATTCCACACACTTCTTTTTCTTGGATGGGTTGCTAAAATATATTCTTCAGTACTGAAACAGACTTGACGATACAAAAAAGAGGAAAAGTATAGAAGACCTAAATCTGACTTATTTGTGTTTTATTTGTTGAAATTTGAGGAAATAGTGAAAGCATTTTCACCAATAGCCGTTAGATAAAAGGGCTAGCCTAGTGCACAAGGTTCCTGCCGTTGTAGGGTCTGGGAAGGGATATATGTGAGCAACCTTACCTCTGCATGAGGAGAGAGTCGAGAGTCTGTTTTCCATTTTAAATCCATGACCTCTTGGTCACAATGGAGGAACCTTACCGAAACATAGCACATCCTTGTGCTTAGACAGCCTTTTTTATACATGCCTTGTTGATTGATACATCTGCACAGTGTTATATACTGCCCTGGCATTTCACAGTATGGACTTAGTCATTTGCCATGTTAAAAGAAAAATATATATATAAGCATTTTATTTATTTATTGATAAATAAAAAGATATATGAGCATTACAACCATTTTAATGAAATTTGGGCAACTAATTAATGGAGTTTCTGCATGAATTACACTGATAGTTGTGTGGGGTACAGTCGATTTGTTAACTCTCTTGGCCTCCTAAGAGGGAGGCAATTCTCCTTACCTTGCTTACCGGAAAAAAATAAAAAATTCTCCTTACCTTAGTCAACGTCCAACAATAACAGGCTATCTTTCTCACTTATTGTAGGGCAATCAAATAGGTGCTAACATTAACTGCAATGGTGTGCATGGCAAGCTCTTTATGCATAAAAAATGGTCAACATGCAGACAATAAAAATCTCTGATTACCGTTACAGGGGAGTCCTACATGATTTTTTAACCCTTCATTTCTGTAACAGTTCTTTATGTTCATGATAGTCATTTTACAGTAGCAGAAAAATGGGAAATTACATGGGTAAATATTAATTTGATTTCCCACTTTCTCTATTTTAGATAAGGTGATTTAGTTCTTACATTAACAAGGACTTGCAAATATTCATGAAAACATCGAACCGACAATTCTTCTTGACGGGATTGCTGTTTTTATCCTGTCTTTAACACTGGTATTCAGATGCACCTAAATGGCATAAGTGGTTAGTTGGCCTTATGTGCATGAAAAGAAATATGAACGAAAGAAACAAGAAAAAGGCTATGCACAGAGTTGGGGATATTTGAATTTTATGGATAGACTTTCAAAAATATGAAAAGAACTGAGTGAAGCACTCAGAGATTTAAAAAAACAGAAAGTAGTTACTATGCATTTAATAAATGCAAATTCTTTGTAGTTTAAGTTCAATGGTATGAAAAGGTGATTGAGAATGGATGAGTATGAGATGATTTGTGTTGCATTAGGAGAAGATTTTTTTTTTTGTTCTTACTTTATAGAACCACCAATATTAAATTTTCAACCAAATAATGCTATAGGCTCTTCATAGTCAAAATGTGGCACGAGACCAAGGGCTGAAGGGTTAACTTTCTTTACTTATATTATAGACTCTTCATAGAGCAGAGTGGATGAGATCGATTCATGCAAGTAACTGGAATTAAGGCTTCTTGAGTTGTTGAGACCATTAAGCATCGGACTCCACAATGAGCACTGGAAGAATGTTACATATATTATAAAAGGTTGCATGTTACCAAAGGCTATAGCCTAGTGATACTTCCTTACCCTTTAAAGTAGAAGGTCTAGGTTTCAAGTCCTATAGGGGCAAAGTGGGTGTGCGAGTCTCAACTAGGAAAGAAATGAAAAAAGGTTGCATATTTACCAAACCTACCGTGAGAATTCTGAAATTTACATATAATTGATGGTTGTGTTACATCTAAGCCACTCTCGTCACTTGATGATTATCATTTATTTAGAAGCTTGAAGAACAAGCCAAAAAAAGATTGACATAATTAGGAAATTAACCAAATGATTTTAGTATAATTAATATTCAAAAGTTGCCATGGAACAGAAAATAATAATAATAATGGTCAACCAATCATGTAAATTGTTTCCTCCTAAACTTCATGCTTCAATCTTTCTATGCACAGACGAGCTGCTACTTTTTACCACCAGAAAAGAAAAAAAGAAGAAATACTTCCAATTGACTGATCTTCTGTGTGTAGACAAAATTAACATATGCCCTTTTGGTTTGTTATTGTTCAAGTATTACAGCTGGATTTGGAAGATTCCTTCGTATGCATTAATTATTCATAGAAAAAATCTAGTTTGGAATGCATGATTGTCCAGTTTATGCTGTTTATGAATTCTTCCTGTGATCCTCTTTTGCAAACAGATACTTCACTGCACCAGCAACAGAGACTGAAAGAGCTCAACAAGATGACTTATTTGAGAAAATACTGAACGAGTCATTCACTTTTCATTTTTGGAACAGCTTAACATCTGCTCTCATCCCAGATCCCGAGAGCCTTGTAGCCAGGCTTATTAACAAGCCTTGTATACACTGTTATGATGTGTTGTAATTTCTCTGTCTAAAGCAGAATGTGGGAATATAATAGAAGCATTCATTTTACCTCATACTATCTAAGCTGTCAAATAGGAAACACGAAGAGGAGGCATAATGAGATTGTTGTAAAGTTTGCTAAAATGGCCATGCTTTGCTGCAAAGACAGATGGCCAAACAACAGAGATAAATCAATTGCGTGGAAACAGGAAAAGACTTTGCATTTCTGGTGGCCGAGAGTGTGCTACTTGTGAGACGCTCTTTCTGCCCAAGTTTGGTTACGAGGGACTCCGGTTGATTTGTTTTTTATTTTTTGGAATTAATAAATGTATAGGCCATAGGAAATTAGAAATGTTAGACCTTAGTGTGTGTGTGTTTTTTTATCCCCACCCCCTTTTAAGGTTGCTTGGAACCTTAATAAGAATATAAGAATAAGAATAGTTCAAGACAAATTTGGACAATCCATTAGTCTTCAAGTGAGGAGACTGTTATACTACTACCTAAAGCAAAATCACAGAGTTGAGTGTAAAATGCCCAACGTCATTGTTGCTTGGTTCGTCTTACTTTAAACAGTGTGAATCCATTAGTTTGTTTTGACATAAAATATTTTTTTATTCTTATTTTTCGGTTGTGACGAAGTTTTAAAAAAAAAAAAAAAATTAGAGCAAAAGTATAAGGTATTTTTGTTAGGTTTGGACTATTTTCTTTTCTAAGTTGTGCTTGACAAAGATTTTGAAGTCAATCATCAATAATTGTGCCTTTGGGCATTGTTACGAATATGAAATTAGCATAAATTAGAAAAAAATTCACTGATTACTTAAGATTTAACTACTATCCTACCTTCCCAAGTAGAATAGACATTTTATCAACACTTTGAAGCAAGCATCGATTGGGGCTCTCTGGCGCGAGCGCTTTTGCAAAAAGTCTAAAGAGCTCCTACTTATTAGCCACACAATTCTTTTTTTAGGGATTTGGGAGAGAGAATTAATTAAAAAAGAATCTTAATAAGAAAACTAATAATTCCTTTTTTCTCTCTCCTCTCTCCACATCCTCTCTTTCTCTCTCTTGGTTTACACCATCAACCGGTTAACCCTCAACCACATTCTTGGTTATTTCTCATGGCCACATTACAGCCTTTATCCCATTTTTGAAAGATTTGATATTGTAAAGCTTGAAGGCTTGATTTTGGCCCCTTTATTTTCTACCAGTCTCATCACTGTAACGAACTTGAGACAATTATGTGTAATTATAATGTACTTTAGGTACTTCATGATCTTATTCCTTACTATACGGTTGAACTAGAACAAAACTGAAGAACAGTTTCATAACTCCTCCAATCTGATTTGTATAAAAGAGTTTGGATTCTTTACCTTTTCATCTGAAAAAGGCTATAATATCAAATCTTTCAAGAATGGGTTAACCAAGAGAGAGAAAGAAACAGATTGGTTGAGGGTGTTAATCAAGAAAGAAAAAGAGAGAACGTGGAGAGAAGAGAGAGAGAAAAATGATTATTTATTTCCTTATTACAAAAGATTCTTTCTTAATTAATTCACTCTCCCAAATCACTAAAAAAGGAATCGTGTGACTTATAAATATAATAAAAGAGCGCTCTTGCAATAGCATTACTCTATATAATAATTTACATATTGACAACTCTTCAATCTTTATTGTCTAACCTAATTGTTTAATAAAATGCTTGAGATGAGAACTGAATATTGAACACAATTTGAGGGCGGCTAACATTTATCATTTGTTAAAAAAAGGCTGCTACCAATTGTTTCAACATATTTTTTACAAAGAGCTTTCCAATGATCAAATAATATATACGTATGATTCCCTCCCCAATTAACTACATTTATATATATACTAAGTATGATTCCCTCCCCAATTAACTACTAACTATATATATATATATATATATATATATATTTATTATGTTACCGGCAAGTCTGGCATGATTATTAAAGCTAGCTCACATAAGAATAAAAAAATTAAAATGCAATAAATAAAAAATTAATTAGGGCTAAAGTAAGGAGTTCTAAGGGCACCCAAAAGAAAAAAAAAAAAAAAAAAAAAAAACATTGTGAAAGCACATGCATATGTCGTATGTGGTCATGCATGATGTGCGTAGCTGCTCACTGGCATACCAAATTCATTGTATGGGTTAGAAATTAAAAATAAAAGTGTAACGAACGAAGTTGGAGTGTGAAGTGCAAGGTTGATCCTTATATTATATCCACTGCAGACATGTTTTGTTTTATTTCCAACTTTAAATCAAATCATTTGCCCCAACGCCGAATAACCCCTTCTACTTTCTTGCAACTCTCTTTCAAGGTAAGCCCTGTTTCTTTGTTTCATTCTCTCCCTTCCTCTCTCTCTCTCTCTCTCTCTCTCACACACACACACACACACACACACACATTTGACTTCTGAAAATCGAGTGTCTTGCATGGATAAAAATAAAAATCTGGTTTTGGGTTGGAGTCGTAGATTCTATTCGTATGTTGTTGGCTTGTTTATTCTAAATCAATTTCTTTGTATTTGGGTTGCTGTTCTCTGAAATGCTTAGCTGTGTTCCATCATATGTTTATAGATGGCTGATTTTGTTGAATTCTTTGCTACTTTGGATTTGATATATGTCATTGTAGAAAAATAAAATAAAATGAAATAGGTGACCTTTGATTTATTTTAGATGATCTGCGAAATCCAACTGTTATTGCTGGGAAAAACCACTCTTTTCTTTATATATGCGTATCTATATATATTAAAATTTTCTGTAGGTTCCATGTTTTTGAAAAATATTGAGTTTGCAGAAATTTTAGCCACGAAAAATGGATTTTTTTTTTTTCTAATTAAACTTCTAGAGTTTCGAGATTATTGGGCCAACTTTATACAATTCTGAAGGCTCATTTCTGGAGTGGTCAAGTATATTTGAAATTTCTTTTTCCCTAATCAATGGATTTGTAATCTAAGTTGTTGGTAATTTAGTAAAGCTCATCTTTTGCTTGGGTGATTTCTGGTTTCATTTTCACAATCTGTTCACCTTTATTTTCGCGCTTCCCATAATAAATCTTATAAGAGCAACTTAGGCCGTACCTTTTGCTAAAATTAAGTAGGAAAATGAAAAAATTAGTCACCCATTGTTGCTCCCACTAAATTAGGTTGCTGGAAAATTACAAATTGAGACACAAATGATACAAAATAATAAATGAAACCTTGTCATATTGCATCTTTGAAGGCAAAATGAGAATTATTAATATGAGGTGTGTGTAGGTTGGTATAAGAATAATTTTCCTCGTACTATATGCATCTGGTTTTAAATAAATTTGAAATAAACTAACGACTTATACTATACCTTTCTTAGAGAGCACGAAAGAATATGATATTGACGACCTTATCAAATAAATCATCATTCTTTCCTTGGTCCCATATGATTGCAGCTACTATTTAACTTTTATAAGATCATTTTTAATTACTTCATTCTATGTAAAGTTTTGGTTGGCCTCTTTGTTGATTATGTTCTAAGTAAACAATCCTTCCTCTTCTAGCCGACGCATCTTGGAGTCTTTTTTATATGACAATATCACCCAAGTCTAGTTTATCTAATTTTATCATTAATAGGTGTTATTCCTAGTTTGCCTCTTTGTCGATTACCTTCTAGGTAAACAATCCTTCCTCTTCTAACCGACACATCTTGGAGTCTTTTTTATATGACCATATCACCCAAGTCTAGTTTATCTAATTTTATCATTAATACGTGTTATTCTTAGTTTTCACATCACTCTTTCATTACTAATCTTATCTCTTTTAGTTATTCTTATCATCCATCGTAACATCTCACTTCCGCTACATGAATGCGTTCTTTCTTTTTCTTTTTTTCTTCTTCTAATAACCGTCCTATAGAATTTTTCTTATAATCTATTTGGTAATTGTTCGTCACATAGAATACTAATAGCTTTCCTCATTTTGTCCACCCTGCTCCAATCATGTTTACTCCATTACCATCTATCTCCCTATTTATAGTCTTCTTCTGCTGCTTTATCAAAATTTACATTCCGTATATATACCGTCTCAGTTTTATTAATTTTTATGCCTTTTGCCTCTAAAATCTTCCATATACCCATGTTAATATATATGTTGTCTATGTATAATTTGAGAATCTTGATCACATAATCAATGAATGTTGGAACACTGATTCATGTTACTGATGAATGATTCAATGCTTGTTTTATTCTTGAATTGTGGCTGGAGGGAAGCAGTAGTAATTTTTGCAGGTAACTTATTCTTCAGCATTCTCTTCAAATGGCCCGTTCTGCACTAGACGAGATGTCAGAAACTGGCGCTTTTATGAGAACTGCTTCAACATTCCGTAACCTTATTTCACGAGATTCAAGCTCTCCATTCCCAGCAGAAGCTGGAAGATATCATCTGTATATATCGTATGCTTGTCCCTGGGCATCCAGGTGTCTTGCATTCTTGAAGATCAAAGGGCTTGACAAAGCTATCAGTTTCACAGTAAGTTATACTAAGTTATATAATAAATTCTTATGGTGGATATGAGTTTTTAAATATTTTTTTTTTGTGTTCCTTCACAATCAGTCAGTCAAACCCATATGGGGGAAAACGAAGGAAAGTGACGAGCACATGGGATGGGTCTTTCCTCTCCTGGATCTAGAGGAAGCAGGAGCTGAAACCGACCCTTTGAATGGAGCAAGAAGTATTAGAGAACTATATGAGTTAGCAAGTATAAACTACATGGGAAAATATACTGTTCCTGTATGTATTATTTATATAAGTGACCTCCCTTTTCTAGTATATATCAATGCTCAAATTTCTCAAATTATATGATGGGTTTATGCTTTTTGAAGGTTCTTTGGGATAAGAAACACAAAACGATTGTGAATAACGAGAGTGCGGAGATAATTCGCATGCTTAATACTGAATTCAATGATATAGCAGAGAATGCGGGTTTAGACCTATATCCTCTTCACTTGCAAGCCAAAATCAATGAAATTAACGATTTGGTATATGACGATATAAATAATGGTGTTTATAAATGTGGGTTTGCGAGGAAGCAAGAACCTTATGATGAGGTAAACAATACTTTTTCCTTTTTCTATCATTTTGTGTTTCCTTGGTGGGGTGGGATAGTTGACTTCAATCCTTGTTGAATTCTATCCATGACCATGTGCCCAAAAAATTTGATGGATTTTTGATTTGTTTATTTATTAAATATATATTTTTTTAGGCTGTGAAAAAACTATATCATGCTTTGGACAAATGTGAGGAGATACTCAGCAAGCAGCGATACATGTGCGGAAACACGCTGACTGAAGCAGATATTCGGTTGTTTGTGACCCTTATACGGTTTGATGAGGTATGAATTTGTGTCTCCCAAGTGAAAACTAATGCCTTGTAGATTATTAAGCCACTTTAGTATCATTTACACGTCGAGATAACTTCCCTCTTTGCCATATGATCTAATAGTACTAGACATATTGATTTCTTGATACAATCACTTATAGCCATGTATGAACAATTCCCCCTTTTTTCCCTGAACTTTAGTGTTTCTTTCAAGCGCTCCATTTTATTGCCAAGATGATGAAGGAGAAGAAAAGATGTTTTGGAATATAAAGCTTCATTTTTTAGCGTTATCATTTTTGCAATTTTAATTAAGGACTCTGAGGAATCAGAACTGAGCTTCCTCATCACAAAGCTTCTTGTGTAATTATGAAGCTGCGACTCTGCAATGCTGTACAGCTATTGTCTATTTTATTTTTCTATTCTTTTGGTAATGATATCACCAAATTGCTTGGCAATCTTCATTAAGAATAGTTCTACTTCTACTAGACTCCTTTGAGCGAAGACTTGACATGAAGTTAGTGGCTTAAACACTTCCTTGATATTTTCAGTTCATGAAGGTCGCTAAACCTTTTTAGGTGAAAAAATGGCTTAGCTACGTTCATGAGCTGAAAATATCAAGGAATTGTGTTTGACTATTTATGTAGTGAAATGACTTAGCAGCCCTCGTGTTAAAAATAGTTTGTGCGATGGTGTTTGTTTTCCCATGTCAAAGATGACACAAGGCAATAACGAAACAAACAGGAACTAAAATTTGCTTGAGCAATGGCGCGTACGGCAAATTACTTGACACAAGAACATTGTTCTTATATCCAATTGAGATGGTGAAAGGTTGAAAATCTGCACCGAGGCCAGATTCGTAAATTCCTGTTATTAAAATGCTTAATATGTGGCGTTAAGATAAAGCGAAATAACAACAGGATTAATGTAACCAAACCAAATATATAGCTTCGTTGAGTAAGTTTTTGATGGCACACTATTAATTAAAACACTTGTTTCCAAATTAAATTGTTACTTCTCTTAGTATATTAAATTTGCTATATTGCAGGTCTATGCAGTTCACTTCAAGTGCAACAAAAAGCTGCTACGCGAGTACCCAAACCTGTTCAACTACACGAAAGACATATTCCAAATCCCTGGGATGAGCAGCACAGTCAACATGGAACACATAAAGAAGCACTATTATGGAAGCCATCCTTCCATCAATCCTTTTGGGATTATTCCCTCCGGCCCTGATATCAATTATTCTTCTCCTCATGACCGAGAGAGGTTTTCTTCTTAGAATCCAGCATTCACACCACAAACACACACAAACATATATTTGGATGTAAGATATATAAGAAGCGTGTAATGTTGTGTTTGTTTTGAGAGTGTGATATATGAGAAGCATGTATAATAACTAGTGTGATGTTTTCTTTTTCCCAATGGGATATTGTTATGTTATTTACTGAAATTGTATGAGAAATATATGAACTACAAATTCCGCTACTGTTTTTTACTATGCATCTACAGAAAGCCCTTATAGATTATTCAATTCACATACTTGGTGTAAGAAAGTATTCATATTCATCTGTACAAATACTTCCTTGCCGAAAAGGTTTTATGGAACTCATTTTTTCTTCAAGCAGAGATGAGAGCTGAGGCTTGAGAATCACTCACTCTCCGCTGCATTTTGTAGTATGCTCAAACAGAGGCTTGTATATATAATATATATGATTTTATTAGCATGCATTAATTCTCTCAAATTAAGCTTCGATCTGTTTGCTATAGCATTGTGTATGTAATTTGGCATCAAATTATGGAATCTTGGAGCGTGCTTTGAGGAATTGTACGTTTTCCTCCCACTCAATCTTGAGGCTGTGTGACGTCTAAGATATGCTGCCTTCCTCTTGCTACAGCATTGCAAACGTTTTTTGATCCTGCTGCAGTCTGATTAACTTCTGCTTAGCCGGCGGCATGTTCCTGTATCTGTTTGGTGCACGCTTCCATAGCATCATGCTATTTGCTGCTTCATTGTAGCTGAGTTGCGGCATGTTCATGGTCCACATAGCACAAGATCAAGTAATGCCTTCCCACGTATCACACACACCATGCACATTATTAGTATGTTGATCCATTGCTGTCGGAATTAATGCACCTTATATGGCTTTCAATTTGTTCAGTATAAGTACGTAATTGCAGGATATATATACTCTCTTCAAGCATCACTCACTATTTCAAATGGTAGATCATGATGGAACCAAAATGGACCTATATGGCTATATATGATGACGAAGGTGAAAATACAGTACCAAAGCCCGTGGCCTAGACTATCTCTTCTCCAGAGTGAAAAGAACAGGGAGGGTACCCGAAAAAATAAAAAAAATAAAATTTGTGCACTTCAAAGCATAAAAGTACAAGCTAAATATTAAAAAGATAATGACTAACAACACGATAAATAACGCATGTCTTTCTCACATGAATCTTAAAAATTTGTTTTGACACTAATTATCAAAAGCATAGTCAAGTCATACAACAGACACTTTATTTACTTATTTTTGATTAAGAGAGAGAGAATTAACTATATATATCTATACATATGTAGAAACATATATATATTGTTTTCCTTGACATTTTGGCATTAATTAAGAGGTATATGTAGTCATATATGGTTAAAAAATTCATCCAACTTGACTTTTATTTCATATGCGGTCATGCATGATGTGCATAGCTGCTCACTGGCACACCAAATTCAATATTTAACTAGAATCCTTTGACACTGTTTGTTTGTTTGTTTGCTTTTTTTTTTTTTTTTTGGTAAGTAAAAAATCATTTGACACGTCATTTCATTTGTGTTGGTTTTAATATGGGTATACTATCCCAGAATACTTTTCGCCAATAAAATGAAGAGACCGTTGAAGAACTGTTTTATATCCAAATCCAAACCCAACATATCATTTGGCCCAACGCCGAATACCCCTTCTTCTTTCTTGCAACTCTCTTTCAAGGTAAGCCCTGTTTCTTTGTTTCTCTCTCTCTCTCTCTCTCTCACACACACACACGTGACTTCTGAAAATCGAGTGTCTTGCATGGATTAAAAACAAAAAAAATCTGGTTTTGGGTTGGAGTCTTAGATTCTATTCGTATGTTGTTGGTTTGTTTTTTCTAAATCAATTTATTTGTATTTGGGTTGCTGTTCTCTGAAATGCTTAGCTGTGTTCCATCATATGTTTATAGATGGCTGATTTTGTTGAATTCTTTGCTACTTTGGATTTGATATATGTCATTGTAGAAAAATAAAATAAAATGAAATAGGTGACCTTTGATTTATTTTAGATGATCTGCGAAGTCCAACTGTTATTGCTGGGAAAAACCACTCTTTTCTTTATATATGCGTATCTATATATATTAAAATTTTCTGTGTTCTTTAAGGAAAACAATGTTTTAGAAAAATATTGAGTTTGCAGAAATTTTAGCCACGAAAATGAGATTTTTTTCTAAATAAACTTCTAGAGTTTCGAGATTATTGGGTCTAACTTTATACAATTCTGAAGGCTAATTTCTGGAGTGGTCAAGTATATTTGAATTTTTTTTTTCCCTAATCAATGGATTTGTAATCTAAGTTGATGGTAATTTAGTAAAGCTCATCTTTTGCTTGGGCGATTCTGGTTTCATTTTCACAATCTGTTCACCTTTGTTTTTTTGCGCTTCCCATAATCAAGCTTATAAGAGCAACGTAGGCCGTATCTTTCGCTAAAATTAAGTAGGAAAATGAAAAAATTAGTCACCCATTGCTGCTCCCACTAAATTAGGTTACTGGAAAATTACAAATTGATACACAAATGAAACAAAATAATTAATTAAACCTTGTCATGTTGCATCTTTGAAGGCAAAATGAGAATTATTAATATGAGGTGTGTGTAGTCTGGTATGAGAATAATTTTCCTCGTGCTATATGCATCTGGTTTTAAATAAATTTGAAAGAAACTAACGACTTATAGTATACCTTTCTTAAAGATCAAAAAAGAATATGATATTGACAGAAATTATCAAATAAATTATCATTCTTTCCTTTGTACCATATGAATGCGGCTAATATTTAATTTTTCTAAGATCATTTTTAATTACTTCATTCTATGTAAAGTCTTGGTTGGCCTCTTTGTTGATTACCTTCTAGGTAAACAATCCTTCCTCTTCTAACGGATGCATCTTGGAGTCTTTTTTATATGACCATATCACCCAAGTCTAGTTTATCTAATTTTATCATTAATAGGTGTTATTCCTAGTTTTCACATCACTCTTTCATTTACTTTTATCATCCATAGTAACATCTCACTTCCACTATATGAATGCGTTTCTTTTTTTTTTTTTTTTTTTTTTCTTTTTTTAATAACCGTTCTATAGAATTTTTCTTATAAACTATTTGATACTTGTTTGTCACATAGATTAATACAACTAGCTTGCCCCATTTTGTCCACCCTGCTCCAATCCTGCTTTCTCCATTACCATCTATCTCCCTATTTATAGTATTTATGGTCTTCTTCTGCTACTTTATCAAAATTTACATTCCGTATATACTGTTTCACTTTTATTAGTAATTTTTATGCCTTTTGCCTCTAAAATCTTCCATATACCCATGTTAATATATATATATATATGTATATGTTGTCTATGTACAATTTGAGAATCTTGATCACATAATCAATGAATGTTGGAACACTAATTCATGTTACTAATGAATGATTCAATGCTTAATTTATTCTTGAATTGTGGCTGGAGGGAAGCAGTACTAATTTTTGCAGGCAACTTATTTTATCAGCATTCTCTTCAATTGGCCCGTTGTGCACTAGACGAGATGTCAGAAACTGGCGCTTTTATGAGAACTGCTTCAACATTCCGTAACTTTATTTCACAAGATTCAAGTTCTCCGTTCCCAGCAGAAGCTGGAAGATATCATCTGTATATATCATATGCTTGCCCCTTTGCATCCAGGTGTCTTGCATACTTGAAGATCAAAGGGCTTGACAAAGCTGTCAGTTTCACAGTAAGTTATACGAAGTTATATAATAAATTCTTATGCTGGATATGAATTTTTAAATATTCTTTTTGTTTTCCTTCACAATCAGTCAGTCAAACCCATATGGGGGAAAACGAAGGAAAGTGACGAGCACATGGGATGGGTCTTTCCTCTCCTGGATACAGAGGAAGCAGGAGCTGAAACCGACCCTTTGAATGGAGCAAGAAGTATTAGAGAACTATATGAGTTAGCAAATATAAACTACACGGGAAAATATACGGTTCCTGTATGTATTATTTATATAAGTGACCTCCCTTTTCAATGTATGTATATATCAATGCTCAAATTTCTCAGATTATATGATGGGTTTATGCTTTTTGAAGGTTCTTTGGGATAAGAAACACAAAACGATTGTGAATAACGAGAGTGCGGAGATAATTCGCATGCTTAATACTGAATTCAATGATATAGCAGAGAATGCGGGTTTAGACCTATATCCTCTTCACTTGCAAGCCAAAATCAATGAAATTAACGATTTGGTATATGACGACATAAATAATGGTGTTTATAAATGTGGGTTTGCCAGGAAGCAAGGACCTTATGATGAGGTAAACAATTCTTTTTCCTTTTTCTATCACGTTGTGTTTCCTTGGTGGGGGTGGGATAGTCAACTTCAATCCTTGTTGAATTCTCTATCCATGACCATGTGCTCAAAAAACATTGATGGATTTTTTATTTGTTTATTTATTAAATATATATTTTTTAGGCTGTGAAAAAACTATATCATGCTTTGGACAAATGTGAGGAGATACTCAGCAAGCAGCGATACATGTGTGGAAACACGCTGACTGAAGCAGATATTCGGTTGTTTGTGACCCTTATACGGTTTGATGAGGTATGAATTTGTGTCTCCCAAGTGAAAACTGATGCCTTGTAGATTATTAAGCCACTTTACTATCATTTACACCGTCGATATAACTTCCGTCTTTGGTTGATGAATATTAAGAATTTGCACTTTCTTTGCCATATGATCTTATGGTACTAGAGACATTTGCTTTCTTGATACAATCACTTATAGCCATGTGTGAACAATTCCCCCTTTTTCCCCTGAACTTTAGTGTATCTTTCAAATGCTCCATTTCATTGCCAAGATGATGAAGGAGAAGAGAATATGCTTTGGAATATAAAGTTTCATTTATTTAACGTTATCATTTTGGCAATTTTAATTAAGGACTGTGAGGAATCAGAACTGAGCTGCCTCATCACAAAGCTTCTTGTGTACTTATGAAGCTGCGACTCTGCAATGCTGTTCAGCTATTGTCTTTTTAATTTTTCTATTCTTTTGGTAATGATATCGCTAAATTGCTTGGCAATCTTCATTAAGAATAGTTCTACTTCGCCTATACTAGACTCCTTAGAGCAGGGACTTGACATGAAGTTAGTGGCTTAAACAATTCCTTGATATTTTCAGTTCACGAAGGTCGCTAAACCTTTTTAGGTGAAAAAATGGCTTAGCTATGTTCATGAACTGAAAATATCAAGGAATTGTGTTTTACTATTTATGTAGCGAAATGACCTAGCAGCCCTCATGTGTTAAAAATAGTTTGTGCAATGGTGTTTGTTTTCCCATGTCAAAGATGACACAAGGCAATAACGAAGCAAACAGGAACTAAAATTTGCCTGAGCAATGGCGCGTACAGCAAATTACTTGACACAGGAACATTGTTATTATATCCAATTGAGACGGTGAAGGGTTGAAAATCTGCACTGAGGCCAGATTCGTAAATTCCCTTTATTAAAATGCTTAATATGTGGCGTAAAGATAGAGCGAAATAACAACAGGATTAATGTAACCAAACCAAATATATATCTTCGTTGAGTAAGTTTTTGATGGCACACTATTAATTAAAACACTAGTTTCCCAATTAAATTGTTACTTCTCTTGGTATATTAAATTTGCTATATTGCAGGTCTATGCAGTTCACTTCAAGTGCAACAAAAAGCTGCTACGCGAGTACCCAAACCTGTTCAATTACACGAAAGACATATTCCAAATCCCTGGGATGAGCAGCACAGTCAACATGGAACACATAAAGAAATGCTATTATGGAAGCCAGCCTTCCATCAATCCTTTTGGGATTATCCCCTCTGGCCCTGATATCAATTATTCTTCTCCTCATGACCGAGAGAGGTTTTCTTCTTAGAATCCATGCATTCACACCACAAACACACACACAAACATATATTTGGATGTAAGATAAAAAAAGCATGTAATGCTGTGTTTGTTTTGAGTTTGTGATATATGAGAAGCATGTATAATAACTAGTGTGATGTTTTCTTTTTCCCAATGGGATATTGTTATGTTATTTACTGAAATTGTATGAGAAATATATGAACTACAAATTCCACTACTGTTTTTTTACTATGCATCTACAGAGAGCCCTTATAGCTTATTCAATTCACATACTTGGTGTAAGAAAGTATTCATATTCATCTGTACAAATACTTCCTTACCAAAAAGGTTTTATGGAACTCATTTTTTCTTCAAGCATAGATGAGAGCTGAGGCTTGAGAATCACTCACTCTCCGCTGCATTTTGTAGTATGCTCAAACAGAGGCTTGTATATATAATATATATGATTTTATTCAAACAAGACATAAAAATTTCATCATATATATTATATATACAAGCCTCTAGCATGCATTAATTCTCTCAAATTAAGCTTCGATCTGTTTGCTATAGCACTGTATATGTAATTTGACATAAAATTATGGAATCTTGGAGCGTGCTTTGAGAAATTGTTTTCCCTACCACTCAATCTACTGTTGTCAATTACATGGTATATGATCGACGACATATCCACAATGATAGCTCAACATAGCACAAGATCAAGTAATGCTTCCCAGGTATCACACACACCATGGTAATCAGGCACATTATTAGTATGTTGATCCATTACTGTCGGAATGCACCTTATATATATATATATGGCTTTCAATTTGTTCAATATAAGTCCATAATTGCAGAAATATAAACTTTTCGACAGTATCAAAGCCTGTGGCCTAGTAGTACCTCTTCTCGTTTTAGAGTGAAAAGAAGAGGGAGGGTTCGAAAAGAAACCCCTCTAAAGTGTTTTTTTTTTTTTGTAAATGGTGTACTTCAAAGCATAAAAGTACAAGCCCGATATTAGAAAGATGATAACTAACAATAGAGAACGATAAATAGCACATGCCTTTCTCATATATATATAATGTAAAATTGTTTTGACACTAGCTATCATAAGCATAAATAGTCGAGACATACGACAGACTGCATATACTTATATTATATTTCTATACATATGTATAAACATATATATTGTTTTCCTTGACATTTTGTCATTAATTAAGAGGTATATGTAGTTATATATGCCTGGTTAGTTAGTTAAAAAAATTACCCTGACATAGCAAGCAGATGTGGAAATATATGTATGCTAAATTTCTACATTATTGCAAACAAGAAAATGAGAAAATTTTAATTAGCAAAGAATATTATTGAACTAATAAACCAATGAAATCAATTTTTTCTTTCAAAATTGAAGTAATAAAAAGAAGAAGAAAAAATGATGATTGTATGATACTATGATGTCTGAGGAATTACCTGGATTGATTGGATCCGTAAAAGGGCCTTTACGATGAAGGAATTAGATCTTCTTATTGTTGGTGAGTGAGTGATTGAAGCTGCAGGATGACCTGATGGAACCATTCTCTCTCTCTCTCTCTCTCTCTCTCACACACACACACACACACCTAGCTAGCTATATTATCACTTCAAACAGATTTGTACTTGGCCCTCCAATTCTCCTAGCCTTTGGCAAAACTCATAAGAACCTTCTTTTTTTTTTCTTTTTTTTTTTTTTTGGGTAAATAACTCAAAAGAACCTTGACAATAAACCTAGCTAGATAGCATTCCCATATATCATTCCAAATATCATCATTCAATATTATAATTAAGATCCAATTAAATTCCCAAAATTTTTTAAGTTTTTTTTTAAGAAAAAATTATATAAAAAGTTAATTATTCTAGTGGTCCATCTATATATACTGATCGAAGTGGTATTACAAGAACAAAAAGAAAGAGATTGGCTTGTTCTTACCAGATCATGCTGGCAGCTTCAATCTCTTAAACCAACATACACATGTAAAGCAAGTACATCAGACAGAGAAGTAACAAAGTTTGATGAGCCAAAAAAGGAGAAATACTGAATAAGCTAGGGTTTGGGGAAGCACTTTAAGGTGAGGAGGCTGCCGTAGCAACATGAGTTTGCATGTTTTGGTTGGAACCCTCGTAATTCTCCTCCTCTTAATTCCTCCTCCTAATCTATATATGTATACTATATATAAACGCATCTCTATATATATCACCCTCTTCTTCAACCGTGTCATATATAAAATTTTCAAGGGTTGGTTTTGCCCTTTTGTTACAGCTATTGACGTTGACCCCTCTCTCTCTCTCTCACACACACACACATTATTGGACCACTGGGATTTTCTGAAGGCTTCGGCATTGTAATATACTAATTACTAGTCTTAACTTAAGGTAAATGCTTCGATCCGTCATATTATTAGAAATATATTCATAGGTTAAAAAATAATTGGTAATTGGTAAAATTGTGAATTGATGGATCTAATTTTGGAGTTGAACGATAATGGTGTACCTTGAGCAATTAAGGGTTACCAAAAATTTGGACCATTTCTCAGAGCAAGGATAGATAGATACAAAAGGTGAACCTTAATAATATATATATATATAGGCCTGGTGGATTGGTTGATTTGGATATAAATGGGTAATGCTTGCTTCTGCACATGGGTAGTGTCGTTTGCCCAGACACAATTCAAGATCCTCAAAGATGCTACTCTTTTAGTGCAGTTGTTTTCAATGTTAGGGCTACAAATTGTTAGCCTACAATACATTCACATTTAACGCACAACAACCTGGAGCTAAGACATACTCTTCGTTACCAGCTAGCTAGGGTTTCATGCATGTTGTATATATGTACATTCACATTATATATATATATATATATAGGCAGTTATTCTTTTTTTTCTCTCTCTTTTATTTCATGAGAAATTAATATATTAATTCCATATGCATGCGTGCTAGCTACAATATATAGAAGTTAGAAGTACTCTTTCAAATGTTATATATCATAAGAACACTTATGAGAGCTTTCACTCTTATGATATCTTTTCTACTTAATTTTGAAAGAAATTCATCGAAGTTAGAGGATTCAAATTAATCCTTATATGTGAGGCTGTATTCTTGTGCTTGGTGACCACCACAGCCACAGGACAGGGTAGCAAACTCTTCAATTAATACTAATTCATTATTTATTTACATAAAGAGAGAGAGTGTGTGTGTGTATATATATTGGCCAGGTTGGTGGAATCAGTTGAGAGGTCACCTTTTTGTCTTTAGCTTTGGGTGGTTCTTCTGTCTTTCATGGCCATGGTTGACAAACAATATGACATACAGACAAAGCCTAATGGAAAGGGAAGGACCACATGCAACTTTTCTCATGGCTTGATTAATGGATCAGTCACATGGTTTTGCTTTGTTATTTAGCTCAAATAGTTGAATCTTCATTTGATCGAGTTTGGTCAAGTGGCGGTTGAGTAATAATAATAAGGTAAATTGCATTCACATCCCTGAAATTTTGGTCAATGTCACTAAAACGTTGTTTAATGATTTTTTTGAACAATGACACCTCGGAAATTTCAAATGTCATATTTGAAAGCGATGGTAGACGCGCGTGGTGGTAGTTGATTGGGCGAGGATTGGGGGTGGCGGTGCCATCGAGGCCGTTGCATTAGAGGCCGCCGTTGCAGTCGCCGATGTTGCAAGAGAAGCGGCTTGTTGGAGTAGGTGCAGCCAGTGTGGGCACAGATGCGGCCGGACCAATGCTGGGTCAGGGTTGGGATGGCATGTGGGTCAGTTTGTGGAGGGAAAGTCACCGCGCTTGAGGATGGGGTGGCCGGTGTTAGGTTGGATGGCGTATCAATTGTTGATCATGGTTAAAATTAGCCCCGGGTGCGTAGCATTGGTGAGGGTGCATGCATAGGATAAGGAAGAAAGAGAGAAGAGAATAGAAGAGAGAGAGAAGTGATGGGCAACGTTCAATAGGTGGTCGTCGTCGACGAGCTGACAGATCATGAGGTCATCGGCGCGGAGACGAAAGTCTTAGTTAGGAGATCCGGCGAGTAGCGCAAGCGGAATGAGTCAAAAAATGATTAAGGGTTGAGGTTATGTTGATTGTGAACACGTTGAATTGCAAGCTATTGGTGGTGAATTTGAGTGAGAGAGAGGTGTTGTTGGCTGTGACCGGTTGTGGTGGCAACATCAGGCATTAGCTTGAGATGGAAAAGTTATTTTGTTCCTTTAAAATTAGTTAGAAACGGTTATATTGGTAATAATAGTTCTTAACAAGTCGAATGGTTAAATGATCATTTTACCGTGTGAAGGAGAGTGTCAATGAAATATTTTGTTACCTCAAAGGGTGTTGTTGTCCAAAATCAGGGGTGTCAGTACAATTTAAGGTTTTTTTTTTGGTCCAACAAAAAGAAAAAAGATAAAAAAAAAGAGTCTTCTTTTTATTAATGCTTTTGGTCGTGTTTGATTCATTCATGTATATGTGCTTTTATATATACTAAGAAAAGGCACGTGCGATACACGTAGTGAATATTTTGTAACTTATTAAATTTTTGTCTTCATATTGATTAGTAAAAAAATATTTTATATTAATAAATAAATACTGAAATATTTCGAAATTGGTGATAGAGTTTAAGTTTAGTAATTTAATAAATTCTTTTATATTTTTATATTAATACTAAAATATGTATATTTTATTTTTTATTAAATAATAATTTTTGATTTTAATAGTGAAATATTTGAGTTTTGCAAAGTAACAAATTTTTTAGGTAATTTGAATTTTATTTGGTAATTTGTAATTTGAATTTTATTTGATAATTTGAAATTTAGCATAGTTTTTAATTTACAATAGAAATTCAATCATATTAATTTTTAATTAAATTTTAAAATAGAAATTCAATTATACTAATTATATATTAGATTGAAATTGATAAAAAAATTTATTATATGGAGTTTGTGGTTTTTGGAAGACCTTAGGTTATATTTTATTTTCTTTAAATATGTAATTTGTGATAAAATTTTATAGAAATTATTTTATTTTATTTAGATATATCTTTGTAAAATTAGATTTTCTTTTATTAAAAAACTCATAAAAAATAGATAAATACAAGGTTTATATACTTCTATGTGATAGAGTTCTCTTTTTGTATTAATTAATAAATATTTTTTATACTAAAATGTTCAAATTCTTTAACATTTATATTTTATTTATATGTATTATTA